TTAAAATACCCTGTACTTTTCTCATAGGCAAATTGGTTGACTGATTGATGATCAACGCACTGCACATACTGTATTAGCTAAGAGTAGTTAACAAATTATATATATATATATATATCGTATTGTCCAGGGTATATTTGAAAATTAAAAAATAACGGAAACGAAGAAGAAGAATGATTCCGCTTCAGATTGCGATTTCGCTTTTCTCTCTCACTCGCTCTCTCTCTTTCTCTCTCACTGTCTCTCTTTCTCCCTGTCTCTCTCTGACTCGCACTCTCTCTCACTATATGCGCTCGTTCTTCAGATTGAATTGAAAACATTTTATGCATTTGATTTGATCAAAAGAGAGGAATTGAATACGAATGCGAATGCGAATGCGAATGCGAATGCAGTGCACAAAGACAACAGCAACAACCGAACGAGTCATTCAAATCAATTGCTAAATGGCATTCATTCATGCAATTTGCATTGTTTGTTGGAACGACGAGGACAACATGTGCAGTGGCAGCTACAGAGATCGAACTGAAGCTGTAGCTGAAGTGGGTGGTGGGAGTGGGAGTGCGAGTGCGGGTGTGAGTGGAAGCCTATGCCCATATCCATACCTCAATTGTCATTTATTCTGCCACCTGCCACCTGCCACCTGCCACCTGGCACACGGACTAAAAGCAATCCTAAAGCACACGCTGCAACGATTTGACAAGAGTTAATTTTGATTTTATTTACTGGTCAGAGCCGTAGTTAGCCCATGTGTGTGGTTGCAACAAAAGACCAACTAACTAACTAAAAAAACAAACAAACAAGAATGACAACGGCACAGGACTGCAAGTCATTCATACAAAGCAAAAAGAGAGAGAGAGAGAGAAACTTTGCATAACAGCAAATTAGCTAATAAAACTCAAAGTTAATGTAATATATGTGTATATATATAGCTTATATAAATACATACACATGCGTTGCTGCTATTACATGGCTCGACCTATGTACTTGTATATATGTATACAGTTAGACTCATGTTAAATAATTTGATCCCTTTTCTTCAAGCAGCCGCTACTATTTTAATGAACAACTAAATTTTAATTTTTTCTTAGTAAAATCTGTTCATCTAATTATTTATTTCAAATTGTCTCAGACGCACTATTTTTATGAACACACCTATATATATATATATATATATATATATATATATGGCTTGCCATTTAGCTGGCTTTATCTTGCAACAGTTGCTAATTAACTTTGTCATAAGCTTCGTCACACACATGTGTCTGGCATTGTTTGGGGCTTTTATGGGGACTGGGTGGGGGAATCCCATCTATTCCGGGCGCTGAACTCGACGTCCAGCCGTCCCGCTGCCATCCCTTGATGCAGTGTTGCGCTTGCTTTTTGTTTTTGCTCATTTTATTTGCTTTCTTTTTGCTATTTTCTTTCTTTTTTATTTCCAGCTGGGTTTTTATTTTGTAATTTGTTTGCCGTTTTGCTTGTAATTTGTTACAGCCTTTTTAATCTCGCATTGTTCTAAGCATCCGTTGACTGACAAACTGACGGACTGACGCACGGACAAACGGACGGGCGGATGGACATGTTTTGGACATGGCCAGTGGGCGGGCAGCAGCACAGATGGGGGCGCGGTCACAATTTAATCAACATCATAATCAGTGGCTCAACACTGGGTATGGAGGCTGCATCTGCATTGTCCTGCCGGAGTCACAGCTCTGCACTAGTTTTACTCCACTCTCTCCGCACCCAACCAAGTCCAGCAACAGTTGAGAAACTCATTTTGCACACTCGCACACACATGTGTGTGCTTAGCTAGAGATGGACACTTGAATAAACTTAGTCACGCAACTGATATTGGCGCATGCAATCAATGCTAGAGCTCTGTTAACTTAACAGCGTGTCGAATATTTGATCTGCATGTCAGCAGTGGGATCATCGATATTGTGACGTCACACGTGCACGTGCAATTCACTTCGCGCCTTCTCTTAAGTCACTTCATGCTTATTTATTCACAATATTCAATCAAATTGATTTATATGAGTCCAAATATTATTTATTATTTATTATCACATTCAAGTCGATAACTAGAGGCGTATTACGAGCCATATTTGTATGTGTAAATTACACTGCTTTATAACATTATTCATGATTACGAGAGATCTGCATTGTCTCCGGTTGCATTACGGAATAATATATAGCAGCTAGTTAGTCAGCTACTTATCTTTCCCAGACCTGTTAAAAAAGAATAACTAACTAAATTAGTTTAAATTTTGACATTGATAAATTGAACTCAATTGTTTTTGCCATTTGCAATGATTTAGCACTGATATGGTACATGATTTGATGTCACATGTTATCATGGAGCAGTTATTAGTATTTTATAAGTTTATTTTATTTATTAATCATTTAAATTACTTCAAATATGGTTTTATACATTCCATTTTTATATTTGTATGAGTAGAATACTATTAGAATTACTATTAATGGAACTTGAACTCCATTCTTTTTTAAAAATATGTACATATATAAATATGCTTACATATAATATACTATATACATATAATATACTATATATAAAACAAAAACTATATATTCAAAGTAATTAATTATATTTTTTCCCCGTTTGGAAGTATCATCACAAAATGCTTTTACGCTTGCCTGACCCTTAGAGCTTAGATCTGCACTGATTTTTTATTTTTTAATTATTATAACTACATACCAGCCAGGCATGCACACTCACACTCACGCACACATACCCACACCCACTCACACTCTGGCTAAGCAACAATGAGCCAAGGCGGTGCTTTCTCATAATTCATTTGAGAGCGCACAAAAGCGCACATGAAATTGAAATGAAATTGAAATACATATAATAATAAAAAGAAATAATAATGAGAAATGAACTGTGTATGTGTGTGAATGGTGTATGCGTGGTGTGTGAATGGTGTGTGAGTGGTGTGTGAATGGTGTGTTTGTATGCAGATGTAAATGCCGAATACAATAAAAATAATAATCAACAATGCCCTCACACACATATACATATACATGTGAGTTCACAATTCAGTTTTCATGGATTTGTGCTTTTTAATTTAGTCTGGACTTATTCTTTCGGAGCTCGTTTGCATGTGCAAAAAATACTTATGTATATGCATCATAGACGAGGGTGTAAAATATGCGGGTGATTTTCTAAAATAAATTAAAAGTCAAGTAAAATGGTCAGGCGATTTATATATATAAGCGTATTAAATAATAATAATATAGTAATATTTATCCTGCTTCATTTGAATATCAGGTTAGCCAATAAGTTCATATTACAATTAGTGAAAAGTGTACTATTTCTGTATGTGCTTATCTTTGAATATGAATAGATGAAACTGCCCGACTAGTAGATACCTTGCTCCGCTTGTGAAACTGCAAACAATTTTTTTATCTCTAAAGACAAGTTCAGCCTCTCTACTCTTTGAGTTTAAGAACATATATTCCATATGAGATCGACTTCTTCTCGTTTGACTGTTACATACGAACGCAGAAAGCGTATATACCTTGAACTGCAAATTTGACATGGTTTCTGGGGTAAAAAAAGCTCATGAAGCGAACTCAAAGTTCAGTAATTTATCATGAAGGCGTTGCTATCCACTTTGAGGTGCTTTTTCTTAAGTGAATCCCAATTGGAATCATATCGGTTGCAACGACGCCTATGTCAAGCTATACACAGTGCTTTGGTATCCAATAATTTGATAACTGAAGCTTCTCTCTGTCACTAATCGCTTGTGTTTCACTTTGATAAACTTTTTCTTTTAATATAATGTTAAAAGTTAGAACAACACTTATAGAACTGAAGGACCTAGTTAACTCTCTATATAATGCTAAAGTGCTAAAGAATTTAATAACGAACGATTATCTATGTCCAATTGGATTATACACATTGTCATACTCTTTAAATTAAATTTATAAAAAATTCAAATTGGAGTCAACGTTAAATTTAAATTAAAAGTAACTAAAGCTTCTTCTGCTGTTCCTCAGTGAGCAGAGTATCAGTGGGCCGAAAGTATTCGACTGCAACTTATTTGTTTTTCTTTGCCAGCTCGTCAATTTACTCATTTGCATAAAAGTGCAAAATTTCTCTTTTGGCTTCGCGATCGACCAACTTGTCCAGTGACTTTTTGGCATGCGAATCGGTTTTTTTTAGCGAATCGGAATATATTTGACATTGTTTTATTGCTTTCCAATGCTCATGTGCATTCAGTGGCATAACAACATTGACAAGACGTTGGCAGCTCCTAATGAATATGTAATATATAAATCAAGTCTAACATTTACACTAAATATTGCAAATTAAATTAAAAGTCTCGGAACGTTCAATTTAATATATAGATATTAGACTTGTCTATGATTCAGAGTAGTGGAAATGCCTTCAATCAGTTCATCATCATTAGAGCCTTTTAGATATTTTTATGAGCATAGTTGAAAGATTCCAAGCGCCAAGCGCTTTTAATTCTTATGATTTAACTGGAAACAAGAGCATTCGAAATTCGTTGTAAGTTCGAAAAGCTTTTACAGAATTTGATTTGATTTTTATTCTTTATTCAGCTCGCGGGTCGCTGGTATTCCGTTTTTATTTTTATCAGGTCGTCCCCATTTGTGTTTGCTACATATGACATATGACAGCGGGGCAGCTGCAGCTGCAGAAGCGTTGCTCAAACGCCAATACACACACCTCGCATGCCCATACCCATGCCGATACCCGTCTCCAACCCCCGCCGCCCACACTCTAAGCCCCATTTCGCGGCATTGAAGTGCAAAGCATAACAGTGAAAATAGCAGATAGCTATAGACAATAGCAATAACAGCAACAACATAACATCGCCCTTTGGCTCTGCCTACTGCCAAGCGCAGCGCAACGCTTGAACGCCGACGCCAGCGTCCGCTGCCAGAACCAATGGGACAACAATAAGCTCAGCTGATAAGCGACTCTTTTCAGCATTTAATTTAGTTTCAGTTCGGTTTTTGTGTTGAGCCCATTTGCATGTGCTGTTTGTTGGTGCTGCGAATCAGTTTTTGCATTAACAGCTAATCGGTTCGCGTACTTCTTTTTCTGTGTTTTTGTCCTCAGTGCGAGTATTCGAGTTCGAAAGAAATGATTCTTAAAAGTATCATGCACTGTTATCTGCCGCTGTTACTCTGCGTAGCAGCAGTTGCAGCAGGCTCAGTACCCGATGACAGCAGCGAGAACAGCAGAACCACCACTAGGTTTGCCAAAAAAAAACCACTTTACATTAGTGATGTTAATTTGAAATCTCACAAGATTAACAGACCGTCTGCTTACGATAAATGATCATGTTAACGTCCATAGAAGGCGGCAGTTGCATGCCAGTTAGCAGATGCTTGAAGGAAAAGCAGCAGACAAAGAAAAATATTATATATATATATATATATATATATATATATAAATATTATAACATAATATATAATATGTAATTTAGCAAGACCGAAACGTTTTCGAATTTGGAACGTAGTCTCTACAGAAACTTAAATGACATACTCAATATATATGCAGATATATTCATGTACCTATGGACATTTGCCGTATCGTATCAAAAAACCTTTGACTTTTGTAGTCCAGAAAACAAACAAGCAAAACCTTTAAACCTTGCATATTTAACAAACGAAATGTGTGAGATCTATGAAGAAGCAGAAGTAGGAAATAGATACATATATATATATATGTATGTACATGAACATGCAGGACGTTGGACAGATGTTAAATAGTTCTTTTCCCCTTTTTAATGTCTTCTATTTTCATAATCTCAACTCAATTTTGTTAATTTCTCTTTCCCAAAAAAATCTAAATTTATAAGAAATATGTTAATCTAAATATTAATTTTAAATTGTTTTCAAAATATTGAGCTTTTCGTAGATGGCCATAGTGCATCTCCCAGTCAGGCACTGAGTATTTGGCTCGTCCTACTGATTGTTTGAAATGATTACAGCAAATGGCTCTGTGACTCGACCGATCTTTGTCTGCCGGAAGAGGACCTGCTGCCGGAAAACGGGCAGATGCAGCCCAAGCATCGCTTTGAGAGTCAGCTGGATTGTCGTCTGTCTTGTGGCAAATATGGAGCTATTTGGCCAATGCCAACCGGTGAATGCAGCCTGTCGAATGATCGAGTGCACTTTGATCCATGGAAGGTGCGTTTTAATGTAGTGGCACCGAATGAGGTGACGACACAGTTCCTGCGCGAGACGAACCGTCTGTTTGTGAGCAACCTGCTCAAGGAGTGCACCAGGAACTGCACGCTGGTTAGCAGCAAGGAGGTGCTGGTGAAGGCGACGGTGAACGACAGCAGCCTGGTCCTGAACTGGAGCACAGACGAGAGCTATATGATGGTGGTTCGCACCACAGACACAGTCAGCTTTGTGGACATCAAAGCGACGACAGTGTACGGGGCTCGGCTTGCTTTCGAAACACTCAGCAATTTGGTAACGGGCAGTGTGTCCAATGGACTGCTACTGGTTAGCTCTGCTCGGATCATTGATCGGCCCGCCTATCCACATCGTGGCCTGCTGCTGGACACGTCTCGTAACTTTTTGCCCTTGCGATATATTCGCAACACTCTGGATGCGATGGCAGCTTCCAAGCTGAATGTGCTGCACTGGCATGTGGTGGATACGCACAGCTTTCCGCTGGAAATAACACGCGTGCCGGAAATGCAACGATATGGCGCATACTCAAATACGCAGACCTACTCCCATACAGATGCCCTTAACCTGGTGAAGTACGCCCGTTTGCGGGGCATTCGTATTATCTTGGAGATTGACGGACCTTCGCATGCTGGCAATGGTTGGCAGTGGGGACCCGCGGCCGGGCTGGGCAACATGTCCGTTTGCTTGAACAAAACGCCTTGGCGCAGCTACTGCGTTCAGCCACCATGTGGTCAGCTGAATCCTCTCAACGATCACATGTTTGCGGTGCTCAAGGAAATACTAGAGGATGTTGCCGAGCTGGGCGCCCCCGAAGAGACCATACACATGGGTGGTGATGAAGTGTATATACCCTGCTGGAACCGAACCGAAGAGATTACCAACGAAATGAAGGCCAGAGGTTACGATTTAAGTGAGGAGAGCTTTTTGCGTCTCTGGTCGCAGTTCCATCAGCGCAACGTCCAGGCCTGGGACGACATTAATCTCCGTATGTATCCAAGTGTCAGAGAATCAAAGCCTGTCATACTCTGGTCCAGTCGACTGACCGATCCCGAGACCATTGAACAGTTGCTGCCCAAGGAACGTTTTATCATACAGACCTGGGTCAGCGCTGACAATTCCCTCAATAGGAATCTGCTTCAACGAGGTTATCGTCTACTAATCTCCACAAAGGATGCTTGGTATTTGGATCATGGTTTCTGGGGCAGCACCAGCTACTACAACTGGCGCAAGGTTTACGACAATGCACTGCCCCTCGACCCACGCAAACGTCAGGAGCGTCAAGTGCTGGGTGGGGAGGTGTGCATGTGGAGCGAATATGTGGATCAAAATTCGTTGGGTAAGCCCTAGCTGCAGCGCGCAGAACCACAACTAACAATTGTATACTTGCAGAGGCTCGTATTTGGCCAAGAGCGGGCGCTGCCGCTGAACGCCTGTGGTCAAATCCCAAGTCATCGGCCAATTTGGCCCAGCGTCGATTCTATCGATATCGGGAACGACTCATAGCCCGCGGAATCCATCCAGATGCTGTCGTGCCTCACTGGTGTGTCCTTCACGAAGGACAATGCCTCTGAATGAACTGCCCCTATTCCATTGTTATTTGTATCAAATTAAAAAAGAGACTCGTGTTCTATTTTTAGTGCAATTTTTTTTTCAAATTTCAATAGCTGGAAGACCTATGTCTCTGTCTCTATTTCAATGTCGCATTATGATATATAATATATTAGAATCCTTAACGGCTATGCGCCATCTTTCAGTTCAATCAGTTGCTTAATTAGTAAGTATGGCAACGTAACTCAGCTGTTGTTTTTCGGTCTGGCAACCCCACCAATTACCAGTGCTTGTATACAAAGTGCAGGCTATTTATCTTAGTCATCTGTTTACTATACCATCTGGCAGCCCCACCTAAACAGTATTTGTCTCAATCAGCTGTTTATTGGCCGATCTGGTATTTGTATACAAAGCCGGTGCATTTCCAAGTCGTCTTATTAAATTCAGTAGAAAATGCTTTTACTGCTTTATGTAGCTTGCTTTGTAAGCTTCCTGCACTTTGGCCAATCCAATAATCCAGACTGCAACAACAATAAGAGCAGCGATAAGAATGCCAATGGCACTGTTCTGCCCGTCGTACTATGGCATGGCATGGGCGACACTTGTTGTTTCCCGTTCAGCCTAGGCTCCATTAAGAAACTAATCGAAGAACATACAAACGGCACTTATGTGCGATCCTTGCAAATAGGTGCGAACATTGTTTTGGACTATGAGAGTGGCTTTTTTATACATCCGAACAAACAGGTGGATTACGTATGTCAGCAGCTGGCAGAAGATGAAAAGCTGGCCAATGGCTACAATGCCATTGGTTTCTCGCAGGGCGGCCAATTTTTGTATGTAGCTATAATAAAAATTTGATTTCATTGTAAGCACAGCAAGCTATTTCACAGACGAGCGCTGGCCCAGCGTTGTCCCAAGCCACCAATGCGAACACTCATCAGCCTGGGCGGTCAACATCAGGGTGTCTATGGTTTGCCAAAGTGTCCCACGCTTAGCGTCAGCAGCTGTGAATATATTACCAAACTCCTCAATTATGCAGCCTATGAGGAGTAAGTGCAAAAACATACTCCATACATATAGTCATTGTTAATTCGACTATGATTCTCTTTTCTTAGCTGGGTCCAAAACGAACTGGTGCAGGCTACATACTGGCATGATCCGCTTCATGAGAACAGCTATAGACTAAAGAGCAGCTTTCTGGCCGACATCAACAATGAGCTGTACATTAATGAACGCTATGCAGAGAATCTTAACAAGCTAAAAAAGTAAGCTGTTGGACTGTTTTATTTGGTATTTTAGTCTAATCGCTGATTTTATTGCAGATTTGTAATGGTCAAATTCCTCAACGACACCATTGTGCAGCCCAAGGAGTCGCAGTGGTTTGAATTCTACGCACCTGGCCAGGACAAGCACATACTGCCGCTCAATCAAAGCAAAGTCTTCAAATATGTAAGACGTAATCTTAACCAGTATAGTAAATGTAAAATTAAATTATTACTTTGGCTTTAGGTTGGCTTAGAACTTATGCATAAATGTAAGAAGCTGTTTTTTCTCAGCGTTGAAGGTGATCACCTGGACATATCGAAGGAGTGGTTTGTAAAGGAACTCGTACCATTTCTACTCGAAGTTGACTAGAAATAACAGTCACCCTGTTAGACATCTGTGTTTTGTCATACGCGCAAACAAAGAAAAGTTTTAATAGCATATATAGCTGATTAACGTACGATATGGCATATAGAGTACGTTCATGCAATATTCTACATATATATATTTATTAGATGTGTTAAGCTGGTAATTAATATTAATAAATATTTACGGGAAATATTTAATTCAAGGCAGTCGCGTGATCCGACTATGATTCATCGCGTATCGTAATCATATTAATAACGTTCTTGATATCTACATACATATTTTTATATTTATATGTAAGAATATATATATAATGTATATATATATATACATATATATATATATGTATATAGCTATGTACAATTAGCATTTAACAAAAGCTTATTGACAACCATAGAATTATAGGATTTACTTTTGACATTCAATATATTAAAGCAAAACAAGTAGATAACCAAAACCAGCACAGATCCAGTGTAGCACAGAAATCGGTGTACATGGTGTAATATGGGAGTGAATATGGTGATGGTGCTTCAGAGTAAGACTTCATGTTGGTTCCTTTTTGGTAGATGCTCTACATCCACAAAGCATTGGAGCAGCGATGTTAGCAAGCACATCATAACTTGGACTTTGTATTCGTATTGCGTGCGAAAAAGATTTCTGGATCCTTTAGAGGACGCTGAATCTCACGGTAATTGTTGACTATCTTCTTAGACTCATCTTTGGGGCATGATTGCAAGTTCCGAAACACGCTCACCTAAATGGTGCACAATGAAGTTCGTTAATATGTATTACTGAGATCTAGCGCTAATCATAAAACACACAGTTGTCACATCTCATTGAAAAAGAGAGATTTTCTAAACATATTGGATGAGATCATCTGTGTGCTATGGTTAGTAATAACATCGATTTAGATGCCTTGGCTACTAACCTGTCCCCGCGAAACATAAATCGGCGTACGGTAGATTATCCACGTGACACTCTCAAAGTACGGTGCCGTTGTCAACGAGCCTTTGTATGTGTAGTAGTGTTTGCTTAACTCCTGTAGACCTATCCAGGAGAGACAATCTGCAAATTGAAAAATTAACAATAGATTAGAGCGAGTCAACGGGCTGTTGCATTGAGCTAGAGTCTTACCCGAATCGAGAGATGCGCTTGTATGTATCTTTTGGACAATCCGTATGCCCTCGGTGATCTTCTTGAATTCGGGACAGTCTTTGTCGCCGCAGGCCTGAATGAAAAATGCGACAACTGCCAGTCCGTCCGGTTTGTTTTTCGCTTCAGCAAAGTCCTTATACTTGGCATTATAGTGAACAGCGTGTGCCTCCATCGAATACTTCATGCCCTCCAACGTGTGCTCGCATCCAGACTCATCCGAGTCCGACCAGTGAAAGTGCAGCTGCTCGAACACATACTTATTTGTGTCCAGTCCGCCCCCAATGATATATGGCTGTTGTTTACGCTTGCTAAATGTGACCACGGCCGAGGTGCCAGTGTTTTGAACGCGGGCGACACCGACCGGCTCCCAATGGCCATGATACTCGAGCGGATCCACATCATCAATATGCTCGATAGCACGATTGCTAATCTCAATGGGCGACTGCACGGGCATACTGTGTAGTCTGTCGGCTCTGATATGGCTGGTCTGGCTGCTCCGACCCGCTACCTATCTATGTAATGTTCGCGGCGTTCAAGTATTTCTTCTTCCTCAGCTTGTAGACACGCCCGCGATCGGCAGCGCTGGCGTCGTCCAAGTGCTCGGCTGACAGAGGTGGCGCTTCCGGCGGCGACGTCGTGATGGCGATTGTTCTCCTCGACGCCGGCGTGTGGAAGGAAGTGTGACGGCTCTAAATCGAGCCCGCCCGTCCAATTAGTTAGATCTCCGCACCGGCCTCAACTGCCTTAACTGCCTGAAAGAGACAACAATAAAAATCAACATGAAAATGTCACTTAGTAATTGAAAAACAAAAAATAAATAAAAGTAAAGGCTACAAATTGAAAACTGACAACTCGTGGCCGACAATAAAAGCAATTAAATGGTTCAATACTTCCGTGACCACCAGCTGACCAGCTGACCAGGACCAGCTTAACAGTAGTAGCGTCGCCTGAGCTCTTTATTTGCAATTGTAATCAACACCTACGACAATGCATTCGACCACCCCCAAACCCCCCACGCCACCTCGCATCCCTGTTTGAGAAGCCATTTGAGAAATTGAAAAGGTTTGCGTGAATGTCTTCATTAGCTTGGCGACAACCCAATGACCATTCCACTTGGCCAGCTTTAAATATTTAGCGGCTTCGGCTATACACATACTGCTGCCTCCATTTCTTTCTTGTTTGCACCTTTCATAGCTTCGCTTCGATTGATTCGTTAGCTAATCGACAGCTGTTGCATATTTCATAAGTGACAATTGATGGGCTACAAATCGCTTTTTACTACAGACAGCGCTTTCTAAATTGCGTGTTCTGCATTTCCAGTGTATGAATTGAAGAGCCCATTTACCTTTCTTTGCATACCCATTGAAAGCGGGGTCAGCAGCCAATGCCAATGGAAGGGTAGAAGGGTTTCATGCCACTCTATGTAACACCTAGTAGAAAGTTTCTTTAGTAACAACAAGATCTAAGATTATACATCTGTCTATATATCCGTTTACTTCAAACGCAAACGAATCGATATTACGGAATATAAAAGATATTTTTGCGAGCGTGGAATCCGTCTTTGAGTATTTATCACTAATTATTTACGACTGGAAACTTTTTAAGCTCATATATCACATAGTCTACATAGATATTAATTTCTTACAAAATATAGAATATATATCTATATATATTCAGTATAATATTATATACATCAAATTCGATATCTTTAAAGATGTAGAGATAAGTCTTATGATTAAGTATACAGAATTTCGAACATTTTCCAATCAACCTTTTTACTACAAACCAAATCAAATTGAGAACTTTTGTGAAATAACGAAATATAAATTATTAATAATTTTGGAATATTCTTTTTTGGACACTAGACTAAACTGGGATTTTGACATATTACAGTTTTGTTGTCAACACGATAAAAAATAATATGAAATTCCTAGAAAGCCTTGCACGTAGTTTCTATTTTATGATTTGAGTATTCTGTCCTTAGATAGTGCTCAAGAGCTGGTCATAAATAATTTGAAAGGCATTAAAAAGTGCTTAGTTAAAGTTTTTAGCACAGATATTTATACATGAATTGATAAAATCAAATATGATTTTAATTGACATTTATACAATGCATTAAATACTCGCAACAAGGGCTAATCGGGCTGCTCCACAGACAGTATTGGCCGCTAATGCCGCGATTGCGAGATGCGGGCGAGGCGAAAGGTGGTCTCGTTACCTGCTGATTGGCGGTTCACGGGCTTGTAGACTCGCAGCAGAATGTGAATTTACGACAGATACTCAAAGCTTATGGTTATTATAGGTAGACATACATATGTATGTGCTCATATCAAAAGCATTCACTGATAAGCCAAGGAGGTCGAGAAACCAGCGGTAATATTTTTTCGTCTGATGTTTCGCCTGGTCACAGTCAATTTCCAGCTAACCAAGCATTCGCAAAGTAACATTGACTAACATTTCAAAATTTCCGTTCATAATGGGAGTGTCAAGCATTATATTGTTCTTTGGACTCGATTTTGGAGATTTTAGAAAACAGAATAGAATTCGATTTGATATCTTATCTTACACATGGCATCTAGAGCGAGTGCAATATGTGGCTGTGGCTGTGGCAATGGCTGTGGCTGTGGCTGTGGCTGTGGCTGGCTACGCGCGTCATAAGACAGCAAAGACAAACATATTAATCCTATATCAATGTTATACATATTAACGTTATATAACCATCACGTGATTTGTTTGCTGTTTGTGCTTAATGGATTCGTTACGTGATTCCACATTTGATTCAATTGGTACAAGCTCAAGAGATTCATATCTTACATTCGGATCATAAGCTTATCTGTACGCTTTACCAAGCGTCCCAAATTATATTCATGTATATATTAATGCCCCGAATATACCCAATTCGATTGGGATTATAATCGTCTAATGGAATTGTCCACTTTTAATACAAATTGATTGCCGTAAACCTGAAAGATATACCATTTGTAAGTTTCTTGTTAAAACAATAAAGATAGATACAAACACATACCCGACCATGCATGGCCCACGACTCAGGCATCCTTCATGAAATTTCTTATCTAAATAGACTTACACAGTTAATGGTTTAATAAGCAGAGACCAATATATTCATCTATCTACGATATTTTATTCATTTGCTTTATCTGTATAATCTATTATTATGCAAAAAACTAAAATGGGCATTGAGATAAGCAGAAGGCACGTTCTCAATGCTGCCGAATGGAACATTGATAGAAGTACTGCTATATATATACCCATATATATATATATATATATATATATATATATATATATATATATATATAGATAGAGATAGAGATAGAGCTGGTCTGAAACGATGTGGAAAATGAACATACAATAGTCAAGTGGCGTTTAGATATATTAGTTAAGGTCATGTGACGGCAGTTATCTGACTGATTGATGGATCAGCCAAGTAGCTTCAAAAAGAAAGTGTAGTTAATTGATAAGTCTTTACTTATCATTTTATAAGAACGAACACGTACCAGCTCAGCTAAGTATGCCAGATGTATGACTATATCCACACACATGCACACACACACACACATACACCGAGTTGGATTGAGTAATTACTTAAGTAAGGGTTCTACTGTGATAAACCATATCAGTTGGATCAACGTCGACAGAGTCATACTTGTAAGGAAAAACAAATATATGTAGAGAAACAATTAAGTAATAACTTTGAAATGGCAATCGAAAACTGTTCGAAAGAAGTAGAGAATAAATAGAACCTAAAACCTCCAAGTAGCATGCAAATTTAGCTAACTTTAGCTACGCAATGACCTCATCCAGTTGGCATGCGTTTTATGGGACAGCAACAGGAGCAACATCAGCGATATCAGCAGGAGCTACAGCAACAGCAACTGCGATGAATTGCCAACATCGACCAAATAACAGCACTACCTCGCCCTCTCTAGAAAACTCTCGAACTATGCGAATGCTCTGTAAATAGTTAAATATCAGTTCGCTATTCGCAAAAAAAAATTGAGATGTTTGCCATAAAAATGAAATTGAGAAGTATTATGTTTATTGTATAATTTTAACAATTATATAATTAATAAATACATATAATTAAATAGAATCCAAAGGTCTGTTTGTAACTATTTACTACAGGGTATGGCGAATGTAGTAGTATAACAGCTGTTATTGTAGCTGCTGCTCCCTAAGCAAATCAATAATTAAGCGCCAAGTGCAGTGTCACCCACCATACACACGTACGTGCGCACACTTAAACATATGTATGCATGTGTGTTTGTGTAGCTGACCTTCGCACTGGCATTTGAGGGGCGAGCGGCAAATGTGATGCCGGGCTGGAAAATGTTATTAGCGAAGTGGAGAGAGAAATTCTATTGCCCAATTGCCCTACCATTTTACACCTTTACCTACAATGTTTTTAATTTTAAAGCGCAATTTAATTTGTTGCTGTCACAATGACAGCAACAATCGCTCTCACTGCCGGCATTGTCTTATTGTTGTTGCTGTTTTTGACATTTTGCTGTGCAGACAGACATTTTTAATAACAGAGATGCTCAGAAATACTCGACATAATACATTTACATATATATGTGTATGTACGCACACATCAAAATAAATGCATATGTATATAAGTGTGCCGATGTATTCATGCCATGTAGATAACTGACTAATCACACATACAGAGATACATAATACAATATATCTACATTCATATGTATTGCACGTACATATATATAATTGCACATACATATGTATGTCCGATTTGTATTAGTATATTTACCTGTTGATTTTGACTTGCTTTTGCTTTTGCACTTTGTAGTCGCCGTTGCTGTCGTCTTGCGTTCAATTAAAAAAAAAACTAACAACGGGTACAAATAATGTATGTAAATACAAAGAAATATGTTGACACACACGCACCCAATTGTTTTTTTTTTTTTTGGTTTCTTGTTTTTTGCGCGTTATTGTTGATTAATATTTATTTGTATATATTATTGAGTACTAACAAGAAATACCGCATTGCAAATACGTTTAATGTTGCGTTAGAAAAAAAAAACCACCGAACGAGGACAAGAAACAACGCAGTGTTGACAAAAATTAAGCGCAACAGAAGTCGGATGTTAATTAACAGTTTCAATAACTGCTAATGAATCCGTTGAAAACTGAAAATAAAATTCTGTTAACAAGCTGTTGACTGGATATATGAAATTCTAGTAGTTTTTACTGGTATTTCAAATGTGACCAGCTTATGTCAGCGGCGATAAATATATATCGATAACTTACTTCAAGCATGACTTCTTAAAAAATATAATTATTTTGAATCAAATATAAATATTACAAAGTGCTAACAATTATACAGAAAAAGGCAAAATGCCTTTCGGAAATATTTATTAGAAAATTCGTAATTATATGTCAACCAAACAGCTGCTGACCGCTACCGCTCAGATTTTTAACTGGAATTTCCCGTGCTTACCTATAAAAAAAGAATATCGGAGAAATTCATATTCTTTTACGTCGTATAAAAATACGATATATGCCATTCAAACTGAATCGAATGAATTTACAGAGTTGCAGCTCTGGCCTTAATACACTTATCGATTACATATGAGTCGCAAAACGCAAAGTACTTTCGGACGTGTATATTTTACAATAGATTAAATTTTAATTTATATTTCTTAGAGTCGAGTTTGTTGCGTGTTTTTTCATAGCGAAGAGACCTTAAATTCAAATTAAAATAAAAACTTGTTTTAACCGAACTTCACTCTTTTCCAAATTTGTTCAAATCTTACATTTTATTTGTAGCTGTGGTAAGTATGCGTGACATAGACAATATACGCAGACTTTGTAAAAAAAACTAATTTTAAAGTAATATTGTGATGATATTTTCTTAAAATGCATGTGCATGCGTTGGTTAATTGTTATTTTGCTATTTCACAATTCGAAGTGTGTATATTGGTGTGTGTGTGTGCAGGTTTTGTGTAACCGGACAGATGCGTTTATTTACAGCAAGGGCTACGCACACACACATACGCACATGCTTATGCATTTACATATTTAAATGCTTCCCGCTTAGTATTTTGAACATGAATAAAAGAAAAGATAAATGTATAAATTGAACCATTGCTGAATTTCATCGTTTGCAGATCAACATGCCGAACATCAAATTGCAATCGTCTGATGGGGAGATTTTCGATACCGATATACAAATAGCGAAGTGCTCCGGTACCATTCGCACTATGTTAGAAGACTGTGGTATGGAGGATGATGAGAATGCCATTGTGCCATTGCCGAATGTCAATTCGACCATATTGAGAAAGGTGTTAACTTGGGCCAATTATCACAAGGATGATCCACAGCCTACTGAGGACGATGAGAGCAAGGAGAAGCGCACCGACGATATCACGTCCTGGGATGCTGATTTTCTCAAAGTGGACCAGGGCACACTTTTCGAACTGATCTTAGCCGCCAACTATTTGGATATCAAGGGCTTGTTGGAGCTAACCTGCAAGACTGTAGCCAATATGATTAAGGGCAAAACACCCGAGGACATTCGGAAGACGTTTAACATTAAGAAAGATTTTACTCCGGCCGAGGAGGAACAGGTGCGCAAGGAGAACGAATGGTGTGAGGAAAAGTAAATTATGCACCCAGCTTTGTCGCGAAATGGTATATGGCTTCGTAATTAATCAGAGATCCACAACAAGAATTTGCAAATTAAAAGGATGAAATACGATTCATTCGCAAGCAACACGGAAATTGCTTGAACATTTGCGTATTAAATAACTTTTATCTAGTTTATGTATAAGGTTGAATACACACATGAATATTTTTTCTTAAAAACCAAATTTAATTATATATAACTTGAGCAGAAAATTGCAATAAAATGTAAACATCGGTTGAACATAATGCGTAAAAGATACATATATATGTATATATATATATATATAAATTTATATATATATATATATTTATATATATATATATATATATATATATATATATATATGTATAATTGCTATAGAAATATATATACGGTCCATTGTATATTTATAATTTATAGAGTGAATCATAAGATTGGCATACCTTAAAACAGTCGTTTCTTGATTAAGTATTATCTGTTCGAAGTTATCTTTACCACAAATATCTCAAAAAAAGATTACCGAAGTATACAAAATGGGAAAAACAATTTTAAAGCATTCACTTTTAATTTCAATCGTTCTTTATTTTCCTTTACTAATGTCTTTCATTTAACCGAAATCGAATGAATAAAACATAACCTAGTTTAGAATTTGTTGTAGTTTTTGTAGATTTTAATCGATTTAGATATCACTTGATCGTGAACCGAAAAGGTTGGAAATCGTAGTTTCACCGTCTTAAGCAAGCGAACCTCATTTGAGTGATACGGCAGTGTTTTGAACTCTACTTGGAGCTTCCATAAAAAAGCTCTATTTAAATCTCTAAGCCAAAATGTTTAGCCTGCTTTTTGGCCTCAAAATCAAGGCAGTTGGTACCGTTAGTTTTTACTTTGATAGAGTTGAGCGTACAAATAGAGAACATCTAATACACTGAGTTGACTATGCAGGTGATATAACTCCGAGTCTTGGCTTATATAGCTGTATATGCAGAAGATAATCGTTATATATCTACGATTTGGCTTAGGCGCATATATCATAGCCTCGGTTTAAGGTGATTCCAACGTTTATCTGGTTAGCCAGAGTATTGAATTTATACACATACAAATGATGTATCTGTATATACATGCATCTCTTTTGCTCCCGCTGCAGTTATCTGTCTCTTTCTGATTGATACTTTTTCATTTAAATTTTTACGCATTTAGTTGGTTTTTAATTTTATTAAATTGTTTTAAACACTACAATTAATTTGTTAAAAGGCCATAAACAAAAATTTTTGTTCTTAATGTGTGTGTGTATATGTGTATGCATGTGCGACTGGTTCGTCTGTGTGTATGTGTTTCTTTGCTAATTTTGCAGTTATTATATTTTGGGCTTTTCTGTTTGGGTTATAATATGTATAATAATTTCTTGGGTCTTATAATTACAATGGCAAACAATAATTACATTTCAATACGTATTCTTTTCTTATATGCATAATAATGCGCCAAACATGAATCATTATTATTATTGTTGCAAAATTACAATTAATGCGTGTTTGTTCCTGTCTGTCCGTGAGTGTGTGTCAGTGTGTGTATGTGTATGTGAGTTGGATGTATTTGTGTGCGTGCATTTCTCTCTTTCTGTGTGAGTGTGTGTGTATGTGTGTGGGCTGTGTTAGTTTCCTTTTCTTAGTTTTTATGCTGAATTTTTTTTTTGTTTGTTGCATTTTTTTGGTTGTTTTTTAAACGTTTTTCAATAAATTATCAATAAACAATTGAAAGGTGTTTGAAATAAAGATGTGCATGGCAACATTTTGCCGCTACTCTTGCTCTAGTTGTTGTTTTTTCTCTTTTTTTTTTTTGCTGTTGCTGCCTTTGCATTAGTTTTTCCTTTTTTTTCTTAATTTTTTTTTATATTTTTTGTATATTTTTTTTTTTTTTTTTTTTAATTAGGACGTCAATTTAATGAGGGCATGTGTCCATCGTGCCAGTTGATCTCAATGTTGGGCCATTTGGTCTGCAGGCATGTGACCATCGGATTTGAGGTGCAAATCGACTTGAGATCGCCCTCTAGCAATATCGCCGAGCCACAGTAATAGCGCACCTGTAAGGAACAAAAGAAGTATCTAGAGTATTCAAGCGATAATAGAAAGAACGGCAAAGTAATTAAGCAATTAAATATCAAATCGATAAAGAATTCATACGTTTTCGTATTTTTATATACATGATAAGCTTCTAATCGTATTGTTTATCGAATGTAAAGACTTTCGATTCGATTTCATTAAACTATATTATTTTCTAATTGGCTGGATACGTAAAGCTAAAGTCTACATCTCTTATATGCCAACTGGCTTTGCTTATATCTGAGATGCTGCACTTAATATATCGTTGCAGTCTTAATATATACATTTTTCTTATCTGAATAACACAATGTGACTTTCACATGTCAACTATATTGAAAAACGATATACATATATTTCGTGGACGACATTAGTAATCCAAAAGATGTTTACCTTTATGTTGAAAGCATAGTAAATGAAAAATAGAGCCTGCAGTCCTAATGACAAATCTATGCAAAATGTTATAAATTCAGTTTTAAATTTAAATTTGGAAACTAGCAGCAAATATCCAGTTAGCCGCAACCTCACGCTCTCCCCATTAAGTATATGTTTTGCTGCGCTACAAAATCTTAAGCAAGTCGAATGTTCGTTCACCTTGTTGTTATCATTAGAGCCGGGTATGCCATTGTAATGCAAAAGCTCGAACGTATCAGGCGTTGAGCGGCGCTCCAATGGAAAAAACTCGTCCATGAATGCATTCAAGAGAATGATACCGAGATTCTCTGGATCCAAACGCTTTTGCATGAGACTTACACTAGGAGATGAGATGAGATGAAATAATTCTGTTATTTAGCTAGCGTCAGAGATTTGGGAGAACTTACTATCCCGGCTCGCTGACCAGATTCAATGCGGCCAGCACATCCCGCAGCAAAGTGCTCGATATGAAATTGTTGCCCTCAGGATCGTATGACTTGAAGATCCGACGTCCTGTCTCCGATGGTGTCTCTGGAGAGACAAGCCTCTTTTCGTTGCTAAACAAAACTGCAACATATGAATGAATAAATGTAAATATAAAAAAAATATATATATATATCTAGATCTATGATATCTGAGATTATGTACCAGTTAAATGCGTATCTGAGCCCATTACCCAAACTGGATAGCGTGGATTCTTGAAGAACGAGCCCACTGTACAGTAGCGCATCTGCTCCATTAGGGTTATAAATCCAATATCGCTCTGCTCGCAAATGCCTCGTAGTTTCAAGCCTCCCACATCCTGCTCATTGTCCCAGACATGCGCCACGGCACGTCCAGTTAGCATTAGATTAATTAGCGACTGTGCCCCATAGCCATATGTGCTGTGTATCAGCGGCTCCGATGTGTCCGATATATCAGATGTCACCTGCTCCGTGCCCTTGGTTAGGAATACCGAATACATAAACAACAGCACACCGTACGTATTCGATAGCTGACTATAGTTGTCCACATAGTAGCGGGCCACCTCGGCAATGTGCTCAAAGTGGAGCGTATGCAGGCGCTCATGAAATTGCTCCGGTGTCAATTCCAAATTGAAACGTGTGACCATAGCTGCATCGTTTTTGGTAGAAGTAGCAGCAGCTGAAGCCGGATCAGCAGCATCAATACCAGTTGACTCCTCCGCTTCTACAGCATTTTCAATTGGATCAGTGGGCGGCGTCAGGCGACGCTCTTTGGTTGATCGCCGCTGTAGTGTGACAATTATATATCGCGGCGCTCGACAGTTCTTCAATATGTTGCATAGTGCCTGAATGAGTAGACTCTGGCATTTGTCACTGGGCAGCTGGTAATGAGATTAAATAAAAATTTAATTTCTGTTGACATTAGGAGAGTGTGGGCGGGAGGGGGGTAGGGAATAAGGGTGCTTACCTTTGTTAATTGAATGCCTGGCATGTCCATGATAATTATCTTAAGCAAGTACGCCTGCACGGGCGCTATCACAGCACAAGGACCGCCCTGTTTTTGCACCAAAGCCGAGGGCTCCACATCACTAAACTCAAAGCCTGCAATTGCATATAGTATGTATTATATATTATACAGAGATACACACACAAAAAGCGCGCGCGCTCGTTAACGGCTGCCACTATCTGTTTGGGTGGTGTAGTCGAGTTAAGGTTCGGGTGTGGGTGGTGCAACAGCAACTTACCTTGAGACCAACGCTTGAATACATCTTCGCGCACACTGGCGCCCCACAGCAAGTGCTTAATCTCGCGCAGCTCTCGCATGTCACTCTCACTGGAACGCAAATGCGGTTGTTGTCGTCCAGCAGCTGGCGCTATTGACGATGGTGTACTGCCACTGGCCATAGATAATTCTTGTTGTTGCTGCTGCAGCTGCTGTTGTTGTTGTTGCTGTTGTTGCTGTTGTTGCTGCTGTTGCTGTTGCTGCTGCTGCTGTTGCTGCTGTTGCTGTTGCTGCTGCTGTTGCTGTCCTACTGTGTTGTGTGACTGCGATTCCAAGGCTGTTGACGCCAACGTCATCGACGCCGTAGCTGATGCAGTTTTCGGCGAGGCGCACTTTTCGCTGCGCTGCTCCCGTTCGCATGCGTCGCTCATCTCGAGTCGTTTTCTTTGCTGTAGGAGGAAGGGGTGTACGGGTATGGAATCACAAAATGTATTCGTCTTTATCGAAATCGAAATACAATAAACGCAAAGTCAACTATTTAGGTTGGCATTTTTTGGCTATGCAAATGCAACAGTGTAGGGATGTAGAAGATATGGGTGCATCAATTGCTATCGATACGGTTGCACGATATCACAAATGCAAGTGCTGCCAATGCATGCTAGTGATGTCACTCAAAGCAAAGTTTCATTCGTGACATCTATCGATTGCTGTAAGCACATTTATCGTATCGTAATTGGTAATATTAGCAAACATATTGAATCTAAACTTTTTCCGACCAGCTAAAATTTAGCAAAAAAACGAAATAAAATAAGTTCAACCCTTTCTTCTACCAATTATTACATGTTTTTCTAAATGTATCGGACCAATAAACTTCAGTGTGTACAGATAACGCGTATTCAGTATCGATCTATCGATAGTCTAGCCATAAATTGTATCTAACTGGGCACCCGTTTATAAACACAATTAAGATATTGGCGCGCCATGGAACTAAGAAGCATATTGCCAAAAACTTCAAATACAAATAATAAAATCATCTTGCCTACAGTATCGAATGTGAAGAAACCGGAAACTGGTCGTCTCTACTACTGTCGTTCCTGCCTGGTGGCGTTTCCCCGGTTCCTTGCTTGCAAGGTACATGAGCAGCTGTGCGATGCACGTATAGCCCGGCTGCACATATGCAAATACTGCCTAACGCTGTACGGTGATGAGCAGCTGCATCAGCGTCACATCCAACGCAAACACACGGATCGGCGGTATATGTGTTTGCAGTGCGGTACATTTGGTAAACGCTATAGCTCCTCGATATTCCTCTTCAAGCACGTCGTGTCGTGGCATGGCGAACAGTCGCTCTTTTACTGTGCAATGTGCGCGGATAACTGCAACGACGCGAAAGCGTTTAACTGCATGAATAACCTGATTGCTCATGCTGAGAGCGAGCACAGTCTGCATGGCGATGGCAGCGTTGTGGACGAGACGGAGGATCTGGAAATGCTTGAGGAGAACATTGACGAGCTGCTGCCAACGGTTGACTGGGATGATGACTTAACATTTGGATGGCCCATGGATTTGGATAAAGAGTCCTGCATCGCTGATCCAAAGCCCAAGCCCAGCGCCTACGTTTGTCCAATTTGCGCCAATGGATATACCGGCAGCATCAGCCTATTGAAGCATATTGAAAAATCGCATCAGCGTAATCCTCTTGACTGCATCTTCTGTGGCAAATCGCACAAAAACCGCGAGGCCGTAAGAGTACATTTGCAGCGCCAGCACGTTCTACTGCGCGCCCACATCTGCAAAGTGTGCCAGGCGGACTTCACCACCGCCGATCACCTGTTGAAGCACATGAGAAGCCAGCATCTAGAGCGTGCCTATGTCTGCCCCGAATGCGGCAAGTCCTTTGCCCAAATAAGTCATCTAACTGAGCACATGATGTCCGAACGTGGACATATCAAACATATCTGCACTCTATGCAATACGCAGTTCTTTCGATCCATCGATCTCACGCGGCACATTCAAAGCCAACACTCTGCGAATCCCTAGCAAGGTAAGTAAAATCGAACATATTGCTCGAATACTATGCTTACTGGCATTCAACTGTTACAGAAGCAGTTACAGGTTATTATATCTTTAGCAAACCAGAAACATCCTTCTTTCAATCGTTGACAAAGTGTAGAAGAAACTATTACTCTTAATTTGCAAGCTTATTGATAGCCTGAGGGCGATCTGCTGCCAGAGGTAGAGGACCGAATACGTGCAGAGTATGGAGTAACGTTCAAGGCACATTTATTTCATATATATAAAAAATAAAATAATATATTTTGTTAGGGTTCAATATAATGAGTATGAATTAATTAAAAAAAAATGACTCAACAAATTATATTTATAAAATTATACTCATAAAAAAATGAATCTATTTACAAAACACCATCTATCCAACATTAGCTTAACAGCACTTTAATACAAATTGCCCTATAAAGCTCTGCACATACATACATATAGATAAGTAGATACATACATAGATTTAACATTCATAAATATGCGTGTACAAGTGTGTGCAAAGTTGTTTCGACTGTTCATAAAAGCTCCTGCGAACGCTCTGTTAATTAACAGTGCACCTATGCAGGGTGCAGTTTGCATACATACATGCACGTCAACCAGCCTTAACAGTTAAAAAATTTCAGCGACGACGATCGCAGCAGCCGACATGTGAGCGCCTCGTCCGTTCAAAACTGAGAGCGTCAGAGCGCAACAACAGCAGCAGCAGAGGCAACGCCAGCGGCGAAATAAACGTTATTGTCATTAAAAGTCTCGCTGTTGGCCCACACAGGCGACAGTTTTGAACGAATTGTGCTTGTGTTTGGAGTGTGCGTCGCCCGTCGCCGTCGTTGTCGTCGTCGTCGTTGAAAAAGTTAATAAAATAAATTCTCGTTTTGTTTTTAGTTTTTTTTTGCTGCGCCAAAAAAAGTTAGATAATTAAAAGGCTTGTGTCAAAACATTGAGAGCAGACAGCTACGTGTAAGTGCATATTAAAAAACCAAAAAAATAAAACTCATTAAACTTTACGTCAAAATAATCCATTAAAACTGGCGATCAAGCAATGCGACCCTCAGCCGCCAGCAACTTTTTGTTGTTTTTATTTGGTATACATTTTTGTTTTTGTTTTTGTGACTGTTTTTGTTACTGTTTTAACTAAACGGGCTCAAAGCTTTTGTGCTGCATGCATTTGGCGAGTTGCCTTTGTTAACGGTTGATAATGTCGCTTCGAAAACTCAACTAAAAATTAGAACAACATTTGATCACTCATCGAAACGAATTGTAATTTCTGACGATTGTTGTTGATGAATATACAAAAGTAAAAAAACCACACACAAATTACAAAAAATAAAATAAAAAATTGAAAAAATCCCGTGGAAATTGTTGCGCTTGACTGAACGCACGTTGTATTTTATTTTAACCTGTTGTAGAATCATTCTGAAGTTGAATAATAAAAAAATTCGAATAAATATTTAATTTACATTTAATTAATATTTGTAAAAATAAAAAAAAAACCAAAAGAAACTTAAAAAATAACTATGAACAATTTCGATATGCGAACGTTGAGAAAAGCGAATATGTAGAGTTTACCTGAACACACCTGAGCATTATAACACACCCAATCGGATTGCATATCACAAATGTTGTGTTTTGTGTTCATTTTAAACAAATAAGCAGTTGATTATTAAAAATAAAACCCGCTCTAAACTGGACTTGCAGGTGAATCAAGCATTTGAGCCGGTCGACAGGTTGACAGCAATCGTTTAATTATCATAACGAGCAACAACTGCTAATAGTTGTTGTAATACGATTTCAATTTGAATACACGGAAGGGCGGCAGCAAATATTATCCAACTGCTTATCAAAGCCGAAATCGAACTGCTTATCAAACTCGGGTTTTTGCCCCCGGACCAACGATCTCAACTGAGCTGAACTGTGCTGAACTGAACTGAGCTGAGTTGAGCTGAACGATCACTTTACCGATCCGCTTGGGAACCATTAAATCCATAATTTATGTTGCCCTTTATACCTCAGCTGTTGCAGACATGCTAGTTATTAAACATGCAAAACATCAAGCTGTCCCCTCGATGTAGTAAGAATCATACTACGATGCCCATTGCAACATGTAAAGGGCATCGTAGTATGATTCTTACTACATCGAGGGGACAGCTTGATGTATATATATATATATTAACCGGCACTGTAATAGTCACGAAGTTGAAATGGCTATCAAATATACATAAATATTGCAACTAGTCTGTCAGATCGGCGGTGCCATCGCTTTGGTTAGGGTATTAGCTAGTCGTGCCTTCGCGACTGCAGCACTTTTTTTTATAATTGTAATTGATTTGCCTTTTTGCGTGCGCAGACGTTGCTCTTATCTGCCTCTTGCTATGTCCCTTTTGTTTTCTGTTGCTGTCGGCCGCTGTGGTTTGTTGTTGTTTGTTGGCCTGACAGCGCTGGCAATTGAAATTGGCGCTCGTGCGCAATAGCCGAGCTATGCTGACGAAAATGGCTGAGAAGCTTTAGCCAGGTAAAGCGGGATCGCAGTATGACGCACCGCTCTGCTATGTCTCTCTCCGGCTATGCGGGTAAAACCGACATCGACGCAGCAACAACGACATCGATCGGTCAACGGCAATACAAATGCAAACTCAAACGCATTAACTTATTAATTAAAACGTGCTGAATTTATAATCTGTACGCAGGCAACGTACTTACAGAGCAGCATTGGCATGCGCTGTTATTGCTGCTGCTAATGCAACACATGACTAAATATTGCACGATTTGTGTGATAAGCGACGCCGGCAGACGCACGCACACACACGCACACACACATACACTGATATATGCACGTCTTGTCTACACCCTGGCAAAATAGCACAAAAGAAAATTGACGAAAACTACAGACATCGCACATTAATTTGCATTTAACAGAATTTGAGTCACTGCGCTCTGTTAACTGACTAAGTTTCATATATTTTTACTGCTGCTTCCTGCAGCCACCCATGATTCACGCAGGTGAACAACAACAAGAATAACAACAGCAACCACGACTACAGCCGAATCGCTGTCATATCAATCAGCATTTGTTTACTCAATGGCAAAGAAAAGAAAGACAGAAGAAGAGAAGACAAAAATGCTGTCGCATTGATAGTAGCGCACACACGATTGTTGTTTTTGTCTCGCTGATTACATAAATAAACACTTCTACGCGTGCGCATGTGTTTTGTGTGCAGGCATCTCCACTGTGCTGTATACACAACAAGTGTGCTTAAACATAAGCATTTATGCTTTTTTTCTTCTTATTGGCTATGCGGTAATGCGAAGCTTTTTTAAATACCTTTAAATAAATCTCTTCTTTAATCGCTGCGCTGCTGTTCCAAGTAAGAGCTTGAGCTATTTTTAAATAAAGTGCAGGCCCACAAAATACACACACACATACACGAACACGCACACATACATATACACCAATACACTGCTTAGCGTACTATCGCCCGTTACTTGTGGTATTCCGTTTGTTTTTGTTGCTGTTTTTTTCCTTTTTGTCTCTTATGTGCGTGGTGCATTCTTAAGCTCGCGCGAGCTTTCAAATTTGCCTGCCACAACTTGTGGGAGGCCATTTTGCATATATTTTTTGCATTTTTATGAATGAATTGCGATGCATTGTTGTTATTATTGTGGCTGCTTAGTTGATAAACTGCCTTGAGCGTTTCGCTATCAGCGTTTGCATATATTTCATATATATTTTTGTGTTTGTTTTTGTTTTTATTCTTTGCACCATTATCTCCACAACAACACCAGCAGCAGCAGCAGCAAATGAAAGTGAAACGCGCTAACTGACCTATAATAAGCATTTTCAGATTTATGCATGCCATATGTATGTACACACAGAGACAGACAGGCATACATAAATATGTTCATATTATGTATGTATATGTGTAGGAAAGGCTACACATAATATCCCTACGCACATGCACACATTCATATATACCCATAAATCAGCATGCACACGCCTGGTGCATATGAATCTTTAATTAAAAATTCATTTATTCCTTCAGTTTTCGGTGTCTTCGTTGAAGTCACGCATAAGAAATACTCTAGTAAAAAGAGTAAATCAAATTTATATTTACTTATGTAGAATGTAACCATTATATGTCATAGTTCTCCACTTTAATCAATTTTGATGATATATTAATGATATAATAATAACTGTTCAAGTGGAAGTGTAATCCTAATAATTATGATCAATTAATCGCTATCAATATCTTGCCTTATAAATTGACCCGATCTGTGTGGAATGTGACCTTAGAATAAAAAAAAACTTTCAATATCTGTGCTTAAATTAAACTTTAATTTCTTCAGGCTACAGAATTTCGAAGTCAATTTAGTATATAGTCATAAATGTAGAGCTACGAAAATGTTAGTCTCTTTTTTCTAGCTGTTGCCGCAGCTTAAGTTACTTTTTACTTTAAAAAACTGTTTATTAAAAACTATATATAAAATAATATAGAGAGATTGTAGACAAGAAATAAGAGCAGTTACTTATATGATATATACAATCATGTCTGCCCGAGTGCAAATGTAAATCAATATCAATGCATTGCACGACTGCGAAAGAGCATTTCGTAGTCGGCTGCATTCGAGTGCAACATTCTTAGATGTTTTTCCTTATGCACTTCGACTATTTTTACTGCTTCCGGACAAGAAACCCACCCGCTCGGTAACTGCTTATCGAAATGGTCAGCTGATTGAGGAGTCGGATCAACCAGGCCAAGAAAACAAACATTGTTCATTCATGGCCAAAAGCGGCAAATAAGCATTTGTGTCACGCACTCAAAATGTCCTACAATCGAGCAGTATGCCAAAAGAGGGTATGCACGACAAATTCAAGTTAACTGACAAAAAAAGGACTTGATATATATGATATGATATACATATATATGATCTATGTGAAGCAATAAAAATTCTATGAATTTAAAGTTTTTCAGTCTGCTCAACTGATATATGGAATACAGGGTATTTTCAAGTTCATCAATTTGACTCTTACATTTTTGTAATAATCAGCTTGCTGATGATTTACTTATTGATATGCCCAACACATAATTGTAAACACCCATACACACACACACACCCCCGCACACACACATACTTTTGTCTGTATGTCTATTTATGATAACGCTGCATTTGTTGTTGTTCTTTATATATTTTGTGGCGTGTGTACTTTTGTATCAATGTCAAGTTAACCATACACAAAAAAAGGTTTTGTCATCTACAGTTGACAACAACAACCGCAGCAACAACATTTACTGACCCCAATTATTAAAGTTACGTTTGTCTGCCAATTGGCGTGTGGTATACGGTGTATGCCAGAGTGTTGGTGTGCGTACACCTGTTGCATTGACTCGACTGTAACATAAATAAATCAGCTGTCAGAAGGGCAGCCACATCTTGGCTGACGCCTCTGCCGCTCGTCATAAAAAAAGCCATAAATCATCGCCCAAACAGAAGTGAAAAGCTTAACTATTTACATAAATGCTAATGAAGTGTTGTTCTTCCCTCTCACTCACTCTTTACGCTGCTCTATTTGCAGACAACAAAGTGACAGCTAGCGATAATAACGGTACATTGGTTAACAGCGCAAGAACAGCCGCTTAGCCATGACACAAACCCAGCACACGATGCGCAGCTGCAGCAGCAGCAGTAGTAGCAGCGATTTACAGCATGCGCAACAGCGACGTCGACGCCAAATGTCAACGCATTTTTCGACGCTGTTGCTGCTGCTTGTGATCAGCTGTGGCATTTCCGTTGCCGCCGCTGCGACAGCGCAGTCGCGCTTCTCTCAAACCCAAGGCAGAATACGTCCGCCGCGCGAGATATATGACGACGATGCCGGCGCCGCTGCCGCCGACGCAGCCGCAGTCGCCGCTGGCGTCGAGGCTGCGGAGGCAACAAGCTGCTGCCAGGGCGCAGCAGCCACATCTGTCGAGCCTGTCACGGTAAGTACACATACACACGTACACACACACATACATACACACACACATACCCGCTGGGAGTTGGCGCCAAAGCGCCGCACCTCAACCAAGACGTAGACCGAGATCGAGACGTTGCATATTTGGGTCAGCTGCAGTTGTCGTCGCCGTTGCTGTTGCCGTTGCCATTACAGTTGCAGCAGCAGCAGCGGCAGCAGCAGCAGCAGCTTTTTTCACGCTCGTCCATTCAGTCTGTTTGCCTGATAAGCCACGCAAATGGACAGCGGCGCCTCGCTGGCAGCCTAAGGCTGCCCTGGCCTGGCATTGATAGTGGCCGCCTTGACTCCAAAGCCAAATAGCTGGCACTACGCCTTAACAATCGGGGGCGTTACTCATGCTCCCACCTCGCACGCGTATTTGCTTAGCACTTGTGTTTGCAACAATTAAAAGATAAATCCCTCTGCTTCTGACGCCTATACCCTAGCCCCTTCCCCGCCTCTGGCTCGACATCCCTCGCGGCGAAAGTCGCAGCGGAAATGAAAATGCGATTTTGGCTTATTTGTGCGAGGCGAAGCTCTTTACAAATATTTACTTAGATACAGTTGCAGATACAGCTAGAGATACAGTTACGGATACAATTACATAAACGTAAGCAAATACGGTTATCGGAACTAATCGGATCGTATTACGCGGCTTTGTACGCTTCTCAGAACGGGAGCGTCGCTAACTCTAAACGGGAATTTTGTGTATTCGGAATTTCTTCTTCTCCTAAATAGCTATAGAAAATCTAGTTTCCGATTCGGACTCCATATGACCGACCATATGAAAGCCTTTGGAAAATTATAGTCTGCTTTTTGGCTAGTAAATCCTATTGGCCGTAAGCCGCCCATTCTCGCAGTTTTAGTAGATCAAAAATTGTATATAGCGAGATATGGAATATGCAAGATATCGGACAAATTCGGGGTTCTTTAAAGTGTCATGGACTAAGGAATATGCTTGGAGTAAAAGATCTCGGCTTCCACTTACCACAAGTAGGCTCCACATGAATGCAAGTTGTTTGGTTTTGATATACGGATCCTTATATAATTTAGTTTTGTGTTTTTCTTTAATATATTTTGTGTCTGGATGGCATTTGTTGTACTATTGTGATTTGACTTGGATTTGGATTTGTGTTTTGCCTTCTTTCTAAATGCTACTACGATCAATGAATTCATATACATTTTTTTCATTTGTATACCATTGGCAAGCGGTCAAGGCCTACTAACACTATATACGAGCCGACGAACCTAGTGAAAAATGGGAGAACCTTAAAAATGGACGATTCCACAGATATATAGATATAGATATAGAATATAGAATATAGAATATAGAATGTAGAATATAGAATATAGAATATAGAATATAGAATATAGAATATAGAATATAGAATATAGAATATAGAATATAGAATATAGAATATAGAATATAGAATATAGAATATAGAATATAGAATATAGAATATAGAATATAGAATATAGAATATAGAATATAGAATATAGAATATAGAATATAGAATATAGATATAGATATAGATATAGATATAGATATAGATATAGATATAGATGCATATGTATATGTAGCACAAGAGCACTGTAGTCAGGGTATTTTTTAGTCGGGCAGTCTGGCATAATAATTGAAAAGTGTGAAGTAGAATGGAACGCAAATATATTTATATTTCAGGCAAAATAGATTTAGTTGTATTCAATAATATTTGCAGTTTGTAGTGCTTTAAATACCTATGTTTTCTTCCCGCTCGCTCTCTGTCTCTCTTTCTCGCTCTCGCTCTTTCGCTTTACCCCTGAACTTTACGTGCTAATTGGTTAGAAGCTAAATAACAGTTGGCAGCAGCAGCTGGGACGACACTGTGAGTCGAGATAGAGAGGAACGAAGGAACGAGGAATGAGAAACGAGAAACAGTGAAACGTCGTCTGACGCCAATGTTAGCGACGTGTCAATTGGTCAATCAGGCAATAGCTGTAACAGCGACAGTGGAACGTGTGTAGAACTCTATTGGCGGGCTCTAGAGCGAATGCCTCGCATACCCTTCGGGCCAGTTGACTCAGCTGGCAAAGATGTGGGCACAAACACCAACAGCAGCGCTGGCATTTCGAAATGCTGCGTGTGTTTCCATTGCTAGCGCATTGCTTGCGACAGCAAACTGCGATGTTGCGATGACTAATCGACAGCTTAGCTGAGACGATCGAATTGTCGCTACCGACGCACGACAGGTGTTTTTCTATTGTTTTCTTCAGCTTGAGTTGTCCCCAGAGCATTTTTGCAGCTGTTTTTTTTTTATTTTCATTTTTTGTCTGTTCAAAACAGCAACTGAAACTAACACAGGAAACTTTGAATATGCTTTGCTAGCTGAAGCCTGCCTAGAATGGCTAGGACTAAAAGAAAATTACTTCTTACTAAGAAGATCAGCATCGATCAGTGAGCGAGCTCCACAAATCCTTTGACTTTTTCACTTATTTTAAGTTTCGGCGAGATTATGTCGAAAAAGTGTATAGGAGCTGTGGCACAGCTGTTCTATAAGGTGAACTAGCGATCTTTAAGCAGCTGACCCACTTCATATCCGTGCGCCTGTGCCCACCAGTTCGGAAAGGTATTGCCCAATTCTTGTTAAACAAATATTTTGGACTGTGTTTTTTTCTTTCAGAATTTACTGTTGCCAGTTCCCTTTGCTTGGTGTTTGTGGCACTGGCTATCCCAGTCAAGCCACTCTTTACTGGCCACTTCAATAGCCAACGATCTTCATCTATCATAATGCTTGCAGTTTCAGTTCTATGTAGCACTGAGTCAATCTAAAGCTTTATCTGTGATCACACACACTTAATATGATTCATAATAGAAAACAGTTAATTGTCGCCTTCCTATTTGCTATTGACTTAATTCTTAAGGTGGCTTATTTTATGGCTCTTCCAAATGACAATTTTAGCGGATGTTGTCATAAAGGGTTTTATTTTGATATTAATATATATATAACAACAGTTATACATTACTTATCATAAAGCGATTGGTTATTGTTTTATGATTACCTGATATTTTACACGTTAACGTGTTTCATTCTTACCTTCTCTATAAATGCATTTATTTTTTATCTATCAGCCATAAAAGATATGTCTCACTATTCGAAGCATTCTGGATAGGTCTAGTCTATATGTGACTAATAGTTTATTATACTTTATTATAGTTTATATATATTCTGAGTAATATATATAGATATATATATATATATTTATACATATATTTATATGTATATATACCCTGACCTGAATGAAATGGGCATTCATCCACCAATTTATTGTTTTTTGAACTCCGAATTGTGATATTATACCGCCAACGTATTGAACTCCGATTTAATACATCGATATATACCTTTTACTCCGAATTATGCCGTTTTTTGTCCGAATTAATCGATTGATATATAAATTTCACTCCGAAATTTGCTGTCGCCATATTTAACTTCGAATTATACCGTCGACGTATGTATGCATTTCACTCCGAATTATGTCCTCAACGTATTTTATATGCTTTTCACTCTGAATTAAGCCATGTCGTTGCATTTTACTCCGAACAATGTCGCTTACTTAATTAACTCCGAATTATTTTGTCGACCATCATCAATTTACTCGATATATTTTACTCCGAATTATATAGCTAACATAATTAACTCCGAAATATGCCGTCGACATATGCATTTTAGTCCGAATTATGTCGTCAACGTGTTTTAATACGAAATATGCCGTCGATATATGAATTTAACTCCGAAACATAATATACTCCGAATAATGCTGTCGACATATGCCTGCATTTTACTAATTTACATAATTTACTCCGACTTATGCTGTCGACATATGCATTTAATCAGAATTATCTGGTTAACATAATTTACTCCGAATTATGTCGTTGAATCATATCGATCTCTCGACATATTCAACCCCAAACTACATCGTCTCCGTGGCTTTCACTCCGAATCATCTTGCCGTCATATCTCTGTGCATTACCCCAAAATCTAGTGACATAAGACACTGCACGAGCCGCAGAGTAGTCTGCAGAGCGAGTTTAACTTGTTTCCTAATGTTTCTCTCTCTCTCTCTCTCTCGAACAGCTTTCGCTGGAACTGGGCAATGTGACAACAGACTACGATGGCTCCGTCGAAAACTCCTCCAAGGGTAAGCTAACAGACAGACAGAAAGAGGAAGAAACAATCGAGCAGAGGAACTAATTATAGCATTGCTTTGTTTTTGTTTTTCTATTTCATTGCCACAGAGAACTTTAAGCGCAGCGTGGCACGTGGTAAGTGTAAACAGAATGAATATTCGACGCTTAGCTCGTTGCTAATTAGTTTACATTTGAATCTGTTTCAGCTGCCATTCGGAATGCGACGCCAGCGAGCTGCTCGCCGCAGCCGACGATTGTGGAGCTGCGGCCACTGACGGAGCAGGCCGGGGAGCAGACGGCTTCGAATGTCTACTATTCGCCGGCGTGCACGCGCATCAATCGCTGCAATGGTTGCTGCGGCTCCACGCTGATCTCGTGCCAGCCGACGCAGATAGAGACGCTGCAGCTGCGCGTGCGCAAAGTGGAGCGTTTCGGGGCGAGCAGCAAGCGGGGCTATGCCATTGTCAATGTGGATCAGCATTTGGCATGCAAATGCGATTGCCGCATCAAGGCCGAGGACTGCAATGCGTATCAGGAGTACCGCAAGGATCTGTGCCGCTGCGAGTGCCAAAATACGGACGCGCGCGACAAGTGCCTGGAGCAATCGGATCACAAATATTGGGACGACGCCAACTGCACCTGCGCCTGCCGCTACAACCAGAGCTGCACCACCGGCACCGTCTTCGACGAGACCCAATGCAAATGCACCGATGTGAGTGACGTGCGCCAAGTGCTCGCCAAGCTACCAACTCGATAGTTATAGATAGTTCAAAACTGTTAGCTCCGGCTTTGGTTTGGCTGGCTGGGCTCGGGTTCGGGTTCGGGTTCGGGTTCGGGTTCTGGTTGTGGGTTTTTGTTCTTGTTCACATGACTGGTAAATGGTTTTTACTACTCCGAAAGATGCCCGTTAGTCATAGTGGCACAACCCGACTCCTTATCAAATCCAGCTATATGAATATGTCTAAGTTTGCGGAAGTGCTTCTAGTTTCGCTTAGCTTCGGCTTGGCTATGTTAATTTGATATTCGATTAGCTTAAGTTGTATTGCCTCCATGTGTTTTCGTCTTAATTTACATTGTGTTTCTGTTCTTGTTTCTTTTATGTTTTATTTTAGATCAAGAGTCTCGAGTATTATTCCTAGACTACGTACATTTCATATAAAACTTACTTAAATAGTTGTTGTTGATGTAGTTGTTGTTGCCGTTGTTGCTGCTGCTTGTTGTTTGTTTGATTGCAGAGGCAGCTTTAGCATAAATCACTCCAAATATTTAGAAATAAGCATCATAATCAATGCAGCGACAGCAGCAGCAGCAGCAGCAGCAACAGCAGCAACAACAGCAACATTGATGACATCGACAATATTGTTGTTTCAACTACAATGTGATACGTGAAAAATTGCCAAATTGGAAATTGATATCGAAATACAAATTTGTTTAGGAGCATGTTTTTGTTTTAAGGCAATTGTAACTTATAGCTGAGTTGAGGCCAAAAGAGAAAAGCTAAAAAATGAATCAATCAAAGTATGAAAATATGATCAAATTCTGTTGCATTGTGTGAGTATTCGTTATAATTTACGCATCTACATTATCCATACATTTAATCCTGCATGTGCTTGAGTATTCCCAATCCCGCCCGGCTTGACTTTATCTGCTTTGTATTCCCATTTTAGTTAACACAGCTATTAACCAATTGATTAATTTGTTTATATGCCTATGAATATACTAATTAATTGCATCTCTCTCTTTCCCACTCTCTGATCTGATCGCAGCCATCGGCGCCCAGCGACGTGGCCGACCGCAGACGCTTCATAATACAGGCCGTGGCCGTGGAGCCGGACAACAGCACCATCTACAGCGTCTAGCAAGGCGACAACTAACAACACTTATTTATAGAACCTATAGCTTTACTATATACATAGCTATAGCACAGATATATGTACACACCTATACACATATATCCCGATCATTTAATTCAGTATTGCTACTCCTTTCTTCCTTGTGTGTACCTGGCTCCCAGAAGTCGTGCATTCCTTTACCATTCATTTTATATGTTCTATCTTCAAGTTTTAGAGTTTGCGCATTTTAAACCCACTTCTCTGTCCATTTGGCTCTTTGTCTATCTTTGTATGAATTAGTTGTAGACTGCATTATAATATGTTACCATAATTCCTATATTATATATTATATAGAACATTTTCGTTACATTCCAAAAGCCAAAACAAAAAACATTTTTTAAAGGAATAAAAAAATTATAACTAAAACTATTGAGTTTTGCTTTGATTTAGCAGTAAGCTGCAACTACAGTGATCTATCATGAAGGTGAAACCTTGATTCCACTCAAATTTATGTTCATTTCCAGCAAGTTTTTTATATTTTTATTTGGAGGAACTTTGCTATAGAGATACATAGGAAATCCGAGAACCTTTCGAGGCCTTAACCCATGATTTGACTAACTTTAAGCTCTTTGCTTAATAATAATCAGTTGCATTTATTAACTAATCTGTTGCTGTACCATTGAAACTAAGTAGCTAACTGAGAAGTTTGAAGACTCAGGGAAAATAGAGTAAAGCAAGCGGAAGCTTTTCCACTATTCAAGCATTTTCGACTTTCTATCAATGTTTACGAATATTAATTTATTATAGCAAATTAGAAGCATCGTCGTTCACTTCAATGGCAACCTGAGTTAGTAGAACGTTTAGACGGTGTTTGATAAGGCTAATCGATAGCAATGAAGCACTCATAAATCCTGTTACTGAATGTGGCCAGATAAGATATCTGAAACGAGCACTGAGCACCGAGCGGCGAGTGGCGACTTCTGCGATAGTTTCTTGGCCAAGCGCAAATGCCTTATAAATAGACAATGGCTAAGCAGATGTGGCTATAAAAACCCATTGGCTAGCTGTGTGGCGACTCAGTTGGTGCCACGATGAATGACCGTTTGCTGCCTGTGATTGGCTACATACTGCTGCTAGTGAGCGTTGGGCAGACGGCGCCTGGTAGCCTCAATGGACGCATTGTTGGCGGCGAGGATGCCGCCAAGGCGCAGTTTCCGCATCAGATATCGCTGCGCAACGCCGGCTCGCACAGCTGCGGTGGCTCAATCATTTCACGCAACTGGGTGCTGACCGCGGCTCACTGCGTTTCCTATTTCGATGACGACGGCGAACTGGTCATCAATCCGGCCAGTCGGTATAGCATTCGTGCCGGCAGCAATGATCGATTCGACGGAGGCGTTCTGCTTCAGGTGGTCGAGATCGTCGTGCACGAAAAGTATGGCAACTTCCTTAACGATGTGGCCGTGCTGCGTGTGGAGTCGCCTTTCATCTACTCGGCAAGCATCCAGCCCATCGGACTGCCCTCCAAGAACACGCCAGACAATGCCGATATCATTGTCTCGGGCTGGGGTCGCCTTACCCACGGCGGTGATATACCACGGTATCTCCAATGGACCACACTGACATCGCTGTCGCTGCAGGAATGTGAGAGTCGCATTAAATATGGATATCCGAACATCTTGTGCCTGCTGCACGAGGCGGACAATGGTGTCTGCAATGGAGATTCGGGCGGCCCGGCCCACTACAATAATGAAGTCGTTGGCATTGCCGGATTTGTCTACGGTGGCTGCGGTACGACCAATCCCGATGGCTATGCTCGTGTCTACGAGTTCGTGGACTGGATTAAGGCCCACACCGACATTAAGTAGGGTCACACTAGCGGGCGAACTTTGTACAGCTCGAAATACATTTAAAGATTGAGCTTCATAAATACATGGAAATAAAAATCGATTTGTGTTTTAGAGGGAGCGATAGCTGGCAGCAAGCATGACGTAATTCTAGACAAGCTGAACGATCGATTGGGGACCGAGACGTGCCCACTAACTGATCCATTAACTACTGGGCCAGCTAATTGGTAGTCAGCTTAAGTAATTCTCATCGTAGGTACAATTGAAACAAGATTTAGTTTTAATTCAAGTGATCCACTAAGATACATTAATGTTGTATGATTTGATAGCTACAATTATTGGAATCTCGGACATTATTAAGGTATTTAAGGTAGAGCACAAGTGATCTCGCTGGCATTACTATTGGGCATCATATTCAACATAATCATTATCGTCATTGCTATCCAGTGTCGTCGTCGATTGAGACATTGTTCGGACATTGCATATAGATTTGTATATCTAGTCTATAGCTGAGATGCTCGAGCCGACGTCGAGCGATCGGATCTCATTTGACGTCGAGCGTGCGCTGGAACATGTGCATGGCCAACGATCGCAATCCCTCGCTGACAATGGGCACGTTGCGTGGAAAATCGCATTCGCGGGCGGGCAGGCCGCACAGTTGGCGCCGCAATCGTAAATCCTGGCGCGAGCTTAACGCCCGACTGCCCGGACCGCAGACATTTCCGACCAGACGCTGTCGCTCGGCGGCGGCGCTGCGCAAGCCCATCTGGACACAGGCAAGCGGCTCCACATGCTCGGTATCCAGCAATTCACGATAGTCGTGAGCCGGCGTCGTCTTGCCGACCTCAACCGTGTCACGTTCGTGCTCCGACTTGACAAGCGCCTGACTTTGTCGCGCTTTTTGCTCCTCCAGCAGCAGCTGCTGTCGCGATTCCTCGATAATTTGATGTGCATATTTCGTGCCAGCCATGCCAAAACTGATGCCCATATCAAGCAGTACACGATGTGGCTGCCACCGCTGCTTGGCCGATGTGTTGCGATCGGCGCCCTGCTGTGCTGCATGCTCCGTCGCCTGCTGTCGCGTCTCCGCAATTAAACCCTGCCAGTCGACGCCCAAAGCATCACCAATGCCTGTAAAGCGAAGTGCATGAATTAAAATTGTGCTGTCATCCTGCATCCAACATTGCTTGGAAGGCAGAGGATTTATTCATCCATTCTTATCTTAGAGTTCTTGCTGTTGCTGTCTCTTACCCTTGTGCCTCGCGTCCTCTTCCAATTCGCCATCGGATATCTCCTCAAAGTCCAGCACCTCGTCCACCTCCTCGTTCTTAATACTTGTCTGTGACTGTGACTGTGACTGAGACTGTGACTGCGACAGTGACTGCGACTGTGACTGCAACTGAGGCTGCATCTCGCCTTTGATGTGCTCTTCACTGTTAGACAATGTGTCGGTGGACAGCTCCTGTGTGCCAACCAGCGCACTATCCAGTTGCAGCTCGCTCTTGGGCTTCACCTTATCCGTTTTGTTAAGTATATCATCGTCACTATCACTAATCTCGCTTAGCTCGCCGTTTGGCTTTGGCTCTTGTTTCAGCTGGCGCAGGGATGTGTCTACAGCCTGCTCTGCTGCTGGCTCAGTGGCTCCGGTACTCTGACCGAGCTCTGGTGTGTCAATCGAGTCCTCGGATGCATCTTCCTGCTTAATGTTTGGCAACTTGCTGACCTGTGCCAATATTCCCGGATTGGTGGTGGCATTGGCGGCGCTCTGGGCCGCTGCCTTGGCTGCTGCCACCGCAGTGGTGGCCGCCGCTACAGCACTGGCCTGTGCAGCGGCATTACCTGGCTTGGGCTGGGCATGGGGCGGCGCCTGGGCTGTGGACACTGCTGTAGTGGCTGCTGTTGGGGGCAAATGTGGGTGCTTTTTGAGAAATGAGCCACCGCCAATGCCGCCGCCTCCGCCATAGGGTAGACGCTTGTGCGGAAAGCCACGCGTGCTGCCACCGCCTCCGTGATACCCACCGGGCGGCTGCACCGGCAACGTCATTAGCGGCGGTGGATGCGATCTATAGCCACGCTCGCCATGTTCATGACCATGCGATGGTGCACCGCCACCACGTCGAAAACCGCGTCCACCGCCCCGCTCGGCGCGTGTATGCACATGATGATGCGGCGAGGATGATGGCGGATGATGAGGCGGCTGCACCTCACCACCGGCGCCATTGCTGCGACCGAAGTTCGGCTCATCGTTGTCACGCCAATCACTGTTGGACTGCTGCCAGGGCCGTGGCTTCTCGCGTTGATCGTGCTCTAGCCATGCGGGCTCATTCTTTACCACACCGACGTTACCGTCACCGCACTCTTCGCGCTCATCTGCATCCCAATCGGGCTCCGAGGCGGAATGATGCTGTTGCTTTCCTGGCTGCTGATTTGGAGGCTTCGGCCGCTTAGGGCCGCCCACGAAACCGGCGGCACGTCCAGGTGTACCGTTGCCATTGGCGCCACCGCCACCGCCACCACCGGCATTACCGCCCCCACCGCCGTTATCCTCATCCCAGTCGCGTTCCCATTCGGCACGATAGTCGCCGCGAGAGGGCAAACGCTCGCGTTCCCGTTCTCTGTTCCGCTCACGTTCACGTAACATGCGCTCTTCTGCATAGAGAGCATCATCTGCGTCCAATTCACGATAGTCGCGCAGCTCGCGCGCCTCCAGCCACGCCTCTCGATCCCTGGAGTAGCGGGCATCCAAATACGCACGCTTATAGGCTCTGAAATAAAGAATTGCATAAAATTAGGCTTTGACATGCGAAGCATTTCCGAGTAGCTAATCTTGAATGAATGAGCATTGCCAGGAAGAGATTTCATTTAATCTTTGCAAACTGTTCCCGATTCTCGGGCCTCTTTGGGCAGTGCAAGTGCTTTAGGTCAATTTCTGTGCAGGGGCTTAGATGACAACCCTCAAATACAATATATAGTTACCGCTCTCGCTCCTCTTCTGAGTAGAGATCGCGTGGATCTCGAAGACGCGGCGGATAGTGGTCGGGCAAGGGGCTGAGCTCGCGACGTCTCTGATCACCGTAGCGGCGCATCTCGTTGATCAGACCGTGGCGTTCGGCCTCGATGAGTTCCTGCTCCCGTTCGTAGACATCCAAGTCGCGCTTATCGCGCACATGACGACCGGCGCGCTCTACGGTTTCCAGCGAGCGTTCTCGACTGCCATATGGCATGGCCATTTCTATGTCGCGTACGCCTGGAGCGCCATACGGCTTTTTGCCCTCTTCCTCCTCCTGGCGACGCATCTTTTCACGGGCCATGCGCTCACGTTCCCGCTGCCGTTCCTGACAGCGCGCCAGCGCCTCGGCTCGCTCTTTGTCACGAGCTGCTTCACGCTCGGCACGCTCTCGTTCACGATCTCGCCGATCCCGTTCCCGTTCTCGCAGCGATAGGTCATCATGGCGCTGCAGCTTGTGTTCGTGCCGCTGCCTCTCGTGTTCTCGCTCCACACGCTCGCGCTCCCTCTCTCTTTCGCGCTCTATGCGCTCGCGTTCGCGCTCCCTCTCACGCTCACGTTCCAAGGATGGCGTGCGTCCGCGCGCACGCGTTTGAATTATGATCTTCTCGCGTGACATAAGCTGATGATGCATGCGGGCGGCGGGCGTACCATTTGGACCCAAGCCCGAACCAGGACCGGGACTTTTCTGCCGCTTGCCCACCACATCCTGATGTATGCGAATTTTTGTGGTAGTCGTGGTGCTAGAGGCGCCAGTGGGTGAACGACTGCTACCTAAGCGATGATGATCTCGATCCCGTTCGCGTTCCCGTTCTCGATGCACACTCCGTAGCTTTTCGCGCTCCCTTTCACGCTGCTCTTTGCTGGCAACGCGCAAATGCTTGCGCTCCGCCAGCTTCTTTAGTTTGGCCTGTGTGGCTGGGGACAGGGCGCGATGGCCGTGTCCGCTCAACGCTGCAGCTGCTCGCTTCTTAAGACGCGCCTCCTTGAGCTTACGCTTGATATGATTGCGCTTGGCCACCAGCTTCTTCTGGACATGATCTCTGTCTCGATCGCGATCGCGCTCTCGTTCACGTTTATCGCGCTTGCGGCGCTCGTCGCCCGACGATGTGCTGCCTGTCCGACGTGAGCTCTTCTTTTTCCGATGATGGCGCTCAGCTGCACGCTGATGCGGATGGGCATGGCCATGATGGTCGCGCTCGCTGTCCGAGCTGCTGTACGAACTGCTACCGCTGTCGGTATCCGTGCTGGAGCTGTCGCTGCTTGAGTGTGTGTGTCGTGATTTCTTATACCGACGCAATTGGTCTTTGGCCTTTTTTTCCATCTCCATTGCGATGCACTTTAAAATTAAAACACAATTTAGTTGCACAATTCCCGCGCTTTCGCCGACTCCAATGCTTCTTTTTCCTTTTTTTTTTTTGTTGATGTTTATGTTTATTGTTTGGCGTCGTTTATTTTGCAATTTTGTAGCCACAACTTGTCAGCTTATTTATTTTTCTAATTTAGAATTGCATTTTTTGATAGTTATCGATATATTTATAGCGTTGTCAATGCGTTGGCAAAGTTGTGCGCTATTGTCAACAGGTGTCGCCCCAGTGTGCATACATCGTAGGCGCCAAAGGGTATGCAAATTTAAAATTAAATAAAATAAAGAACGAAAACGAAAAGAGCAATCAATTATCCTACGTGGCTAAACATTATTGTACAATTTCACTTATATTTATATTTTTCTATTTTCTAAACATGTATATATTAGTCAGCTCAGGTCCAGGCTATAGCTGCAATATATAAAATAACAATGTAACTAATAAAAGCCTCGGATTTAGTTTAAGGCATTTAGCTTATTGGCAATTAACGGGTTTTACAATAATTGCTACAATTTGAAGATTTAATGTACATTATGATGCTATGCCACGTTGTTTTGTTTCGATTGTGAGTGTTTTCTGTTTGTAGTTGCGCTAGCTCGGTTCCAATTGTGTGTTTGTATGTGGTTAATGCAGATTAGCTCAGCTCATGCCAAAAAAATTATTTAACAAAAATATAACAATAACAACTGCAATTGAAAGAAGGGCCAAGCCGGCGTTAAGTTGCTCTAGTGCTAGAGCTTGCGGAGTTTTTCAGGCACAACTAATGGATTATCACGGCGTATTTCGGTGGCGCCCATTTCGCGATAATCGAAGCTGCAATCGTGGCGATCGCTATAGCGATGGAATGCACAAAATGTGCCACCGCAACGGCAGGAGAATCCGCCGGTCAGGCCAAATTTCTTGCCACACTTGTCGCAGCCCTTCTGTTTCGGCTGCTCTTGTACCTGACCTTTATCATCATCGGCAGGTGCAGCAGCAGCCGCAGCAGCAGCAGCAGACTCTGGCTCCCCAGACGACTGCTGATTGCCGCCTTCGGCTTGCTCATCAATTTGCTGATGCTGCTTTAAGCCGTGTGCAGCATCGGCTACTTGCTCATCTGGTAGCTTTGCAACGCAGTCAGATAGAGTATCTGTCCCGGTGCCAGTTACATCCAATGGTGCGTTTGATTCCATGATCTTCGACTTGAGTGTGCGCGTGGTGCTGCCGTCATTAGAGATTGAATCAATTGTGTCCTCCTTCGCTTTGCCAAAGTCGCGTATTTTTCTATTCTCCATCTTAACCGGGTTTTCAGATTCGTTTGTCAAAGCCTTCAGTATAAAATTTATTGAATTTTGCTGCCCAAGTCTACTACGACTTCCAAGTGTCTGAACAACCAGCAGATGAATGTGCATTAAAGCTAAAAAACCCAAAATTCAGTTAGATATGGAACAATTGCTCCATCCCGACCGTAGCTACCTATCGATTATCGAATTTACTGTACTTATTTCTAGTTAGATCGAATAACACTGGATTCTCCAAATAGTCCTAATCAGTTTTCTCACTTTCAAAAGAGTTGACCAACACCAGAAAGGCCAACAAGTAGATGCAAATTGGCCGTATTCATTTAATCATGCTTCACAGCCCCAGCCACCTAGGCATTGCCATTGATGACATCTAGTATATGGCGTCGGTACCAATCGCCCACTGTGGTGCGCAGCACACAAACAAAGGCGCCATAGCACCAGTCCTGCGGCGTCCTAGCCGACCGACGAGCATGCGCGTTGCAGCCATTGATGGCTGGCACGGTTTGTTCCACATTCAGACGTCTCGGGCCGCCGAAGCTTTCAACGATGCGCATCGAATCAAATCCAGTGCCATCCTGCCAGAGCTGAAGGCGCGTCCAAAAGCAATATACATAGCGACGCACATACGGAGCATTACTGTACTGCTGTCTGTCCAGAGCCAAACGCTGTTTTGGACTAATCCGTTCGCTGCGAAAGCATTGATCCCGAGCTCGCAGTATGGCCAGCGATTGAGCGTTCCTGGCGGATAAAGTTGGCGGCGGCAGGGCGAACAGGCTGCAATGCGTCAGCAGCGACAACTGTGAATGTTAAAAGCAATGTGCAATTGTAAGTCTCGTGCTATCGATAACAGTGTGTTGTAACTTATTCGATAACAGCTTACATAGCGCACGGTGCACTGTCGTTGGCTTCAAAGTTCATCGAGCTTAAACTGGTTTTCCTTAACATATAATCTGACCATTTAAATTAGTTTAGTTTAGGTTTTGTATGCATTTATGAACTAGTTCTATATAAAGATACATACAGTCACAGTTAAAAGTATTTGCTCTACGTATTTCGCTTTAGAACTTATTTGCCCAATCCGTGCTAAAGTCAATGAAAAAACTGAACAGCAGAACAGTTTGTCGAGTGAAATCTTGCTTTTTGGACAGTCTCAAAAAATTGAAAATTATTTGGATATTGGAAACGAAATAGAAATGTAAAAAAAAGGGAATCGTCAATTTATATCTGATTTTATATTTCAAAAAATTGATAGAAGAAATAGGAAATTTACACAAAAATCGGAGCGAAAAATGTTGACTAGGCCGGTCGCCATATGAGAAACTATATAGTTTTGGAAGTCATCAAAAAGCGTCTAGCGTCAGCCCTAATTGAGCTGATGACTACTCACCAGCAGCGACATCGAGATCAGCATTCGTATTACTGTCATCTTTGCTGGACCAATAGAGCAGCACTGAGCAGCATCCGGATAAACGCATACAACATCTGTAAATTGCTGATTGCGCTTATCAAGCTGAGCATCGTCAACGGCAGCCTGCTAACCTTTCCCTTCCACACAGCCGCCCACCAGACCACCAGGTGATCGACTGCAGCAGGAATGACGTCAGCAAATTGGCATTTGGCACGTAACGTACGTAGTTGAAGCCAGAACCATATCCAGTTGGGTAGGCAATCGAATTGGATTGGCAGTCACAGCTGCCGTTCGTCATCTGTTTTATGTTAACACATAAGTCGGGCATATAATAAGTATTCACGATCTCTCCCTCTCTCTCTGTGTGTAGATAGATGATCACTTATGTAGATCATGTGCATATGGAACGCAGCGGCAACATTTTTGTAAGATTCCACACTTGTATTCGCTTGTAAACAATATTTTCGTTTCACTTCTCTTCTCCTTATATATATATAAATATATATATTTTGTATTTGATATTTTTGGGTGATCTTGCAAATGGCGCAGAAGCTAAAAATTTATATCCAAATCGAAATCCCCTGCCCCTTGGCCTTCTGCTGGCCATCACATCGAATAGCAAATCAAATTGAATTCGATTCGACAGGCAACCGAAACGAGCGCATTAAAATTGATTGCGTTTAAGTATATTAAAATCTAATAGAACTTTAGAGCAAATCTCCAAGGCTGCTGGGTTCTGCCTGTCTGCCTGCCTGCCTACCTGTGTGCCTGCCATCTGGACGTGATCACCACGTGTAAGCGCTCCGCAGTCTCCTCTGGCTGCGATCACTAACATTTTGTTGCAATGTTTTCTTAAAATGCCTGTGGCATTTGGCGTCGCAAGATCAGTCAGTTACAAATACGGAAATACCACATGATATAATATGTTATACATATTTATTATTGATATAGGACTTAATGATCTTCCAATAATATGTTATTCCCCCTAAAGGGAAAGGGAATTTTGGACTCTCTCTCTTTCTTTATACAGCAACAGACAGTTACAGATATTTTAATGTTTTTGTTCTGTTTTTAAAACTTTTCTCAAACTGAGTCTCTCCATAGTCTATCTATTTATATATATATATATATATATATTTTAATAAGCCATAAACAAATACTATCGAAACTTCTTCATTGTTCATTTATTTGCATATTCAAAACTCATTTTATATAGATTCATCTTGAATCACAAAGTGTCGACTTGCTTTACAGTTTACATAGTAACAGCGGATAGCAATCTTAAAAAAACGTGGAAGTTCCTATCTCGAACTTTTTGTATACCCTTAATTCACAAAAAATGGGAATTCTGGGTATAATGACTTCGGGAAAATGTTCGTAATTGGCATGAAGAAACGTAAAATAATGTAGGTCTGATTGGCTTCCGTCTATCCATCCTCCATCTGTCCATCTCGTAAGCTAGACGATTGACATTTGTAATTCCTGCATGCCAAACGCAGTACGAGCATTCTCTTTCGATAACTCATCGCATTTCTCAATTATCGATAACATTCGATCGTAAGCATAGCTTGGATACCACTAAAAACGGAAACTAAAAATTTACTGTTCACTTACTGTATTAAATACTCAGATTTACTATATATACTTTGAATTTTAGATACCACCTAATTTCCCCCAAGTTTTCAAAAGCCGTATTTCAAGTACCAGAGCCTTATGCTAAGGCAAACATACATCTGGTTGTTAAACATACGTCTGATTGTAAATCCGCTAAGCGCAGACCAAGAGCACCGCAAAGGCAGCCGAAAAGCAGCTCAAGAACAAACCAAGCGCAGCCAAAGAGCAACCGAAAAGTAGCCAAAGAGCAACCGAAAAGCAGCCAAAGAGCAGCCCAAGCGCAGCCCTAGCGCAGCCTTAGCGTAGCCTTAGCGTAGCCCTAGCGCAGCCCTAGCGCAGCCGAAGAGCACCCGAAAGGCAGCCGAAGAGCAGCCCAAGCGTAGCCCAAGCACTATCTAAAAGCGAAGTCGCTGCGTAAACTGCGCAGTAAGCAGAGCTTATGTCTAAGTATGCGTGTGTGTGTGTGTGTATATGTGTGTATATGTGTGTATATGTGTGTATGCTTGCGTTGCTTATCTATGTATGCATAAATGTAGCTGAGAATGACTGGAATAGCAGCTCTGGAGAGGGTCAGGGTATCTCCTAGTCGGGCACTATCGACTGGAGCACTCTTACTTGTTTTAATTTATCTTGTTTACACAATTCGTTATTTGCAAGTCATTTATTCTAAGTATATGCAAACGTAATGGAGCAAGAAGAAAACGCATTTTTCCCTCACTTACAAGTACTTACACACACATGCAAACACACTAGTAGACTGTGTGAGCAGTGGCTGGGGGGTGGGGGAAGTAGGAGAGCCAACTTGTGATATGTGGATGTCAACTCAACGCCAAATTTGCCGCCATCAACTGACGTCGCCGTCGCCGTCGCCGTCGTGACAAAGTCGCGCAAATATTTTAATTGCAATTTTTTTTGCGAGTGCCGTCGTGTTGGTCGCATCTCATCGTATTTTCCTACCTTAAAATTATAAGTTAAATTAACAATTTTTAATTGACTCTGAAAATTAAAACAGCAACACGACGCGAGCTGCATTCAAATTTTTCGCTTTTTTTCAGCAAATTTTCATAGATATATTGTGTAATAAATTGCAAAATATTATTTTAGATTTTAAATACCCTATAAAAAGGAATTAAAGACTATATTGACTCTCCTTAACAACTTTTTTAGACGAAATTGCTTAGAGAAATTATGCACAAAGTAACGAAGCGAAAGTTTCCATAGTCAAGACAAGCACATTAAATATATTTATATTTGGGCTTATTTATAATGAAATTAACATATTTATAAATAGTTTATATATATTCATTTATTTATATATTTATTATATTTCATTAACAATCTTTAAATTGAGCGCAAAAACCCAGCCCCAAAATACTTTTGTCAGCCTGAGAATAGTTTATAGCTAATATTATCTATTTACTATTTAGATTAACTATGCGCGCAAGTTACAGGGTATCTAGCAGCTGAGCTATGCTGGCAATGCAGCGCCTCTACTTTTTGTCTTTAGGCATTTACAGCAATTTGCTGCATTCGTCCCACGCGGCGTATGAGTGGCTAGATATATTTGTGTGTGTGTGTGTGTGTGTGTGTGTGTGGGTGTGTGTAAGCATTGAGTGTGCGAGCTGCTTTTCAAATCTATGTATTTTATTTTGATTCTTTTTTTAGACATTTTTTTTACATTTTAGCAGCGGAAGCAGCGCTGAGCACATGACACTGGGCAGAGGATGCAAGTGGCCAAGTGGATGCAAGTGGCCAAGTGGAGCGCCTGCTCGACTGCTCGACTGCTTGGCGAGCTGGAGAGCGGAAGCGGCTGCCGGCTATGAACTGTTGCCGTTATTTGGGCGACAATTTTTGACATGGCCGCTGACATGGCAATGCCGATGGCGATCTCGATCTCGATGGCGTCAAATTTTCAATGGCCAACGGCGCGTATCGCGGAACGCGTGAAAGCGCCAACAATTTGCACTTGTTGTTTTAGCAAGGCAAGCCACAAATTGTGCCAGGTATATTATTATAATATTATTATGCAAACATATTTCGGCTGTAGACGTGCAATTAATAAAAGCAACAGCAGCAGCAGCAGCAGCAGCCGCCACAGCAGCAGCCGCAGCTTGGTGCTCGCTTGATTTGTTTGGCATATTTAATTCAATTTTATTAAATTAAAGTTGCTGCCGTTGCTGGCACCAGTAGCCGGCAACGGAAATCTTGCGCCTTGGCAACGCTTGCGCCGCCGCCGCCAGACCAACCTGCCGAGCACCGCGGCTGCCTGCGAGTGGAGCCAAGTGTGATGAGACGATGTCAACATGGGCGTTAGTCAATTGTCATGTTGTTTTGATCTGAAAGCAAACAGCAAATTTAGCTGCAGATTCTATGTCTGCTTCTTCTTTAACACAATTATTAGCCCCGTCTTAATGTCTGTATATTACGCATTTAAACTTTTGTATATTAATTAATGCACAATTAGCAATTAGCCACTCTGCTCGACGTCTGCCTAGACACAGAAATCTCTGCCTGCCAAGTAGCCACCAGGTTGTCTGGCTTCGGCTGCGGCATAGGCAAATGGCTTAAACTGGCTTTGTTTGAGCCATGGCTAACTCTAGGGCATCTCGAGCTGCCGCTAACTGAGCCAAGATTCCTCTCGCTCTAGCAGAAGCCGCGCTCTAATGTAATACTATGCCAAGCCTTGATGCTACTGCCTTTAGACAGAGTACTTAGGCAGTTCAACTACTTTACTCAGGCCCAATTGCTGTTGGCTTAAGCCAGCTGCTTGTCCATGATAACTAAAAGGCAAACTGATATTTCTGGCCTTTCTTTGCCTTTACAAATATTGCACATCTATTAAAAAGTCATTCTAATGCCTTGCCACCTGCGTGGCCCAGGTATAACGAGCTCAAGCTCGCTGCGGTTCCATAGCCTTGCCTTTAGTTAGTTTGAAATCTGAGAGACTCTGCTCTGTGCTCAGCTTGTAGATAGAGTATTTACTACCTCCACTGTCAGTGTTTCGCTCTGATGTCTATGATTTGTGAACAGAGTGAAGAGAAACCGCTGTGATTGAGTTACTACGATTTGTAAGCTTTATTTTGTATGTAAGCATTGCTCAGGCGCTGTGATTCCTAACCAGTTTGGGCTCGTTGGGGCAGTTAAAGGTCACCTCAATGCCATTGGGCAGCCACGATCTGTCCCAGATTTCAACATCGCACACTTTCGTCTCCTGATTGCTATCGATCAGCTCCACGTTGTATCGCTCCAAGGTACCAGCGACGACCTGAACGCTAGCCGACAAAATCCTCGAAACCCTATTGAGAAATCGAGACAAAGAAAGTCACTTTAGCTGTGTGTGCGGCTCAAGCACATTGGGCAGTTAAATCTCTACCGGTAGTCGGGTCCTTCGCCAGCTGCCAGCTTAGTAAGCGAGCGCTCCAGCTTCTCCTTCGATCTTTCTAAGCCGTCGCCTGTTATCTGCCGAGGTGCACCAAATCCATCCGGAGCGCCGCTGACCAGCACAACAGCCGCACAGACCAACAAAACTTTTGCCACAAACATTGCTCACTTCAAATGCCGAATCAACACTGAGTCCAAGCACAGCGAACTGGAATCGATTTATATGGCATCAGTCCGATGCCTTATCAGCGCTTCATATAAACAATTTAATAAGCGCTTGACCCAATTGTATCAAGTACAATAATCTTTTCTAGACCTGCAGTAAAATATAGTGTCATTTAAATAATATAAATAAATAAATATATATATATATATATATATATATATATATATATATATATATATATGTGTGTGTGTGCACATCAATTATATAAAAATATGTAAATACTAAAATTTGTTTTGAAAATTTTGGGCTTTTGGGTTTTTGAAATGCGGTAGATGAAATACGCTAAAGCTTAGGCTTGAATGAGTGAACGAATAGGAGAGCTAATAAGCTATATATGTAAGATGTCAAGCACAATATATTTCTATATATATCATATATAACTTAAGCACTCATGTGTCTATATAGCCATTGGCATACAGCTGTGTTCATAAATTTAGTGATAATAATTCGTAATTCTCTTCTTTAAATTCTATTTTAACATAAAGTGAGCAACTTCTCATTTTTCAAGGTAAAAAGTACTTTTTTCATTTGGTTTATTTTTTTTACTACTATTTTTATGAACACAGATCTTTGTAGGTTATACTAATTAAGAAATGTTGTTCATATATTATAAATATAAATATAATTAGTATTTAAAATAATAAATCAATTCGAGTTCTTCGTTGTTTCAGAGAAATTTCTAATTAGACAGTTCCAATTGGAATTCCCATTTGCTTCCAAATTGAAAACATTATTTATTGTGCTCAGCGGACCTTTAAGATTTAGATTAAGATTTTGTTAGGGTATTATTAATATATTTGTATTTATTTTAATTAAGCATTAAATTTAACCCGAAAGGGGAAAGATTGCTCTTCGTATTTAGCTAATCTTAAGGGTCGCCGGCTTTAGGTGATTTTTTTATACTTTTATAAATCGCACATATAGCCGGAATCACTCACCTAAAGTTTATCAAGTCTATAATATATATTATAAATATATAATATTTATCCACAAATTTGATAAACTAGGAAATTATTTACATGACAGATCAATGTGCATCCCTTCCGTATGCTGCTGGGAGTCGTAAACCCCATAAATTGCTCAGCTGGAGGCGGCTGTTGCTTCCTCCCGTGGCTGTGGCTGTCATGTCCAATACGCTCCGTAATTGTGCACAGATCAGTCGACGGAGACGATTAATTGCGGATCGCATCAAAGTACGGGCACGAGTGTGCAGGGACAACGGACATTGGAACAAGAATGTCAAATGATTTGAGCTTGTCGAGTCTGTATTCTGCATCTCTCTCGCCGCGCTCCCACTCCGATCGCCCATTCATTTTTGGCGCTCCTCCAGCGGGCTGTCAGAAGTGCACAAATCTATGCCCCTATGCCTCGGGCACGGGCACAGGCACAGGCACAGACACAGCCGTGTGGTCGTCCATTCAACTGCCAGCGCATTTCAGACATTCAACCGTTAGGGGGTTCGGGCTCGCATTTGTTGGGGACCCGTGCCCATGGCTTATTCATCAATCCATCCAGCCATAGACATCTGCAGCCGTTGCTGTCAGCTATAACTTGTCGCCCCGTTATTTTATTATATATATTTTTTTCCGCCAGATTTTTGCGCTTAACACTTGTAATCCGTTTCACCTCTTGAGTGTGACGGCGCCAATGGCGATGCCCCCAATAGCAGAGGGGCAGAATAGCATTTTGACTGGGGCGTGGGCGTTGGCGTCGTTCCACTTCTGATTTATAGTTGCATCTCTCTCTGTCTCTCTGTATCTCTCTCTGTGTCTCTCTCTCTGTCTTTCTCTCTCTCTCGCTCTCTCTGTCTCTCTGTATCTCTCTCTGTCTCTCTGTACCTCTCTGTACCTCTCTCTGTCTCTCTCTGTACCTCTCTCTGTCTCTCTCTCTGTCTCTCTCTCTCTCTGCCTCTCTCTCTCTCTCTGCCTCTCTCTCTCTCTCTGTCTCTCTCTGTCTCTCTCTGTACCTCTCTGTCTCTCTCTGTCTCTCTCTCTGTCTCTCTCTCTCTCTCTCTGTCTCTCTCTGTCTCTCTCTGTCTCTCTATGTCTCTCTCTCTCTCTCTGTTCCTCTCTCTCTCTTTATTTCCTTCCTCAGCTCTGAATTTCTAACTTTCTCTTTATCTCTCAGGCTCACTCTGTATTTTCCCTTACATTTCTCTTTTGATTTCTCTCACTCACTCTGTCTCGTTCTACTCATATCTGCTCCTCGTTCTCCCAGCTCTCGCTCTGTATCTCTCTCACTATCTCATTCTCTCTCTATCTCTCTACATCTCTCTCTCTCTCTCTCTGTCCCATTCAAAATCGCTTTACACATGTCAATGCAAGTAGCTTCATTAGACTAGCAACATTGGCAGCTATCAAGAAATCATCATCATCAACATCATCATCATCATCATCATCATTTTCATCACGAACATTATCTACTGTTTATCATAATGAGCTGCTGCTGCTGCTGCTGCTGCCGTTGGGTTGGCTCGTCTCTGATCCGACTCGGCACTCGCCTCGTGCCATAAGCCGAAATGCCAAACGATAATTTCGAATTTTCGGATTTTCGCGCGAAATATTTTCCGACTTTTCACATAAAAATCATGTAAGGCTGGAAAACGGCGACAGTTTGCGAACGGCAGCCGTGAAACTCGTGGCAAGTGGCAACAAATCGAAGAATATAATCGAGTGTTGAAACTAAATACAAAATAAAAATTATTTTTGAAAAAATTGAAATTTAAAGAGAAATTGAAAATTCAGTTTGAAATTCCGATTCCGATTCAGATTCAGATCGAGAAGCAAGCAAAGCATTTGGACTTTTGGCAACTTTTTTCATTTTTGTTTGGTGGCATTCGTGAGATTTTGTGGTTGAACGCAGTTGCAGCTGGTATTGGAAGTGTTTGACTAGTGAGAATGATCTGCCCGAAACGCACCTCGGAGCTGCTGGATCTGCATCTGGCGCCGTTCAAGGACAAGGATCCAGCCTGGGAGGTGGGCGTCTCAAAGATAGCCGGCCGCGGCGTAATGGCCACGCGTCAGCTGAAGCGCGGCGAGATCATCTTCCAGGATAGCCCACTGCTGATCGGCCTGGCTGCCCACGAGGAGGATACGCTGAATGCGTGCAGCGTCTGCTTCAAGATGCTGCCCGATACGCGCTTCATGTGCCGCCAGGGCTGCGGCCTGCCCGTCTGCAGTCTGTGCGCCAAAAAGAAGCAGCACAAGACCGATTGCGATATGTTCAAATCGTGGGGCTCCAACGAGCCGGATGTGGCCAATTCAGTGATCATACGGCTGCTGTGCGTGGCGCGTGCCATCAACTTGAGCAAAGATCAGCGCGATCTGATCTATTGCCTGCAGGCGAATCTGGATAACAATCATCGCACCGAGGTGCGCAATGCGGCCAAGTGCTTTAAGAACTTCCCCACCGACAAGAAGATCGTGGAGATCATGAATCGCACCGTGGCGGTGCTGAGAACGAATGGCTTCGACAAGACAACAGATCGCACCACCGACAATCAGGAGTTCAACTATCGCGCGCTCTATCCGCTGTTCGCCGTCATGAATCACGATTGCATTCCCAACTCGTATTACACCTTTGAGGAGAAGACCAACAACATGATCGTGCGTGCCGCCGTCGACATTGCCGAGGGCGAGGAGATCACCACCACCTATACGAAGCTCTTTACGGGCAACATAGCGCGACATCTGTTCCTCAAGATGAAGAAGGGCTTCACGTGCAAGTGTCCACGCTGCTTGGACTCTACGGTAAGTTGAGCTGCGATCAATGTGGATCGATGTTAAGAGAAACTTGACTGGGTTTATACTGATTAATCGAGTAACTGATCGACTTACTGATCGGCTAACTGATCGACTGACTTATCGAACTGATCGAGTGAGTGAGCGATTGGCTTATCGACTGACTGATCGACTGACTGATCGACTGACTGATCGACTGGCTTATCGACTGACTAATCAACTGGTTTATCGACTGACTGATCGACTGACTACTGATAAATGGGAGCTTCAAACTTGTATAACGACTAAGTCTAAGATCGAATTGGGTTTTCTGAGCAGAACTTAAATTGCAGAAGCTAATGCATCAGGATTGAGCCAATCTATCAATGTGGCTAAAATTTCTTCTTTCTCCAAATTTACTGCCAATTGACAAGTTTTTTTTGTCTCAAATCTGTAATCGATCAAATTATTCGAATATTCATTGCGGATTGCCTGAATTGTTCAGATTTTTTTTTAGAATTTCCGATTAATTTGTTGAGTTGGCTTTTTAGTTGAACCGAAATTGCAGCTGCAATTTGTGTTCGCTCGGCGTCTCGACTTGATTGAGTGGCCAACGATTTGCAATTTCAACGCGAAATACACAACGCCGAGCAGGCACAATTTACAGTCGAAGGTGTTGACTGATCGAGCAGCTGTATAAACTACTTGTTCGACCACATGCGAGTACACACAGCAACACACACGCACACACACGTGTGAGTTATCGTCTCTATACCCTTACCAGACAAAAGCAGACATCTATTGTATTTAATAATCATATTCACATTGAATTATTATTAAATTAACTATTAAACTGACTCTAAACGGACTCTAAACTGTCGTTGCCATCTGTGTCATAAGCGAAACAATAACTTGGAGAAATATTGAATGCAAATTTGTTAGTCAGATAAGTCATATATATATATATCGCTAGTCGCAGCTGACTCCAGTCTTCGACAAGTGTATTTGATATTCGAACAGATTGCGTTTCTGCATTTATTCGCGAATTCTACAAGTGCTGGGCACATGTCGTGTTTACTTATTCCGCAAAACCTTTGAAATCAGAGCTGAAAATTTCAATATACTTAAATTTTACTTTTAACATGCTCCATAATGTGTTTCGAAAAAAGATTAGTAAAAAAATGTTAAAAATATTTTTAAAAAAATATTAATAAAAACGTGAAAAAATGTTTAAAAAAAATATTTTAAAAACATATTTAAAAAAATATTTAATGCTTTATAAAAATAGTCAGTACTTAAAAAAAATATATATATTTTATTAAAGTATTTTAAAAAAATATTTTAAAAAATATTTAACATTATTAAAAAATAATTAATACTTTACATATTCTTCATTATTTTATATAAATGCCTAAAATTTTGTTCAAGCGTTGCATAAAATTCCACAAAACATAAATTCTATCAAATTCTATTACAAAGTAAATTTTTTCTATAATTTGAGCACTTTTGATTCATATAGAAAATATTACTTAAGTTTTTATATTACTATACAAGAAAGAAAAAGCTTAAAGAAAAAACAAAAGCAGCTAAAAAGACAAAGTCTTCGTGTTGAAACTGAATTCGATAATAGAAGAAATATAAGAAGAACCGAAAAAAAATCAGAATAATGTACTCTATGTAATACTGATTTCTATAGCAAAAATATAAGAATATGAGTAAAACAACTAAAAGACGAAATTTTGTGTGTCGAAAATATCAGAAAAAAAACCGACCAAAGGTTTTCTGTGAAACAAATTGCAAAATATAAGAAATATTTAAAAAAGCCAGACTAAAGGCCTTCAAGTGCTTCTATAATCACATTCTAATATTATGGAAAAGAGTATCAAAGATAAGTTTAGTCTTAATATTCCAGTTGCCAGTGATTTCAATATCAGAATGCTACAAAACTTGAAGAACTCAGACCAAATTGAGTCTCCTCTATGACACTGACTTCGATATCATATCAGAAATGTTGGAAAACTTGAAAAACTAAGCTCAAGTATTTCTGATAATATAGAAAATATCACAAGAACTGAAAAGCAATCTAAAATAGTTCTATAACATCAGAAACACAGACTAAGTTCTACCACCTAAGATGAATATCAATATCTAATATTTCAGATAGGAGACTAAATAGAGCGATGGCATATAAGAAATATAAAAAACTTAAGAACATGCTAAAGTTTTCTGCATATATAGAAAAGCGTAGAGAAGGCAGACTAAATAGAGTTTTCGCTGCTCGCTCAATAAATCAATAACTTAATAATTACTTTTGAAATATGAGCTAGCCAAACTGTACTCTATAAGGTCTATAGCAATATATATATTTATATATATATATCTAGACGCACATATGTTTCCACATATAAATCAAGTATTTTTATTTCCTGACTTGTTGTCTGTAAACAGGCGAAGTCCCGGCCAGGGGATGGGCATGTCACTTGGAATGATCTATTTACGCTGAGAAAAGTCGTAGGAAAATGCAAAACTGCTGCTATGTTTTTCTTTTCGCCTTTTCCGGCCGAAGCAAACAGTGGCGAATGTACATTAAGGATTTCCTGTGCCCATCCACAGCCATCCGAAAGCGATTAAACACACACATTTTTGCAGGCAACAGCGCCATTCTGGCTGTTGTCTAGTTGTTGTTGTTCTTAGTCTTGTTCTGCTGCTTCTTCTTCTTGTTGGCTTTGCTTTTGTTGTGCTTGTTTCTGTTTTCGCTGGCTGGGCCATAAATTTGACCAGCTTCCAGGCGCAACAAGTGGCAAGCAGCAAAACGCGCCACGCCATGCAAACAATGCCAACAAACAAGCAACACAATACAAATCAAAATATAAGTAAGTGTGCGCTGTGCTCGCAGCATGACCGACTGCCCAGATGCCCTGCACGAGTGTTAACACTCAGATATAGATATGCACTGAGTGAGCCATGCCGCAGTGCTCAGCGCTGGAGCCATAGTCAGGCTCAGTTGACCAATTGATATCGACTTAAACTGCATAGATCTTTAGCTACAGCTGTAGCTTGACTCTGCAGGAACAGCAGCTTCGCTCTGCATAGTCTACAGAGTTGCAGTTCAACTCTTTCAGAGAGACACCTCTGCCAAGAGCCTGGGCTAGATACAGCGCCGTACAACTGAATAGGCTTGAAATATTTCGAAAGTTCGAGCAGTTATATCTCCTCAACGAAAACATCGATTTGCATGAAATAAATTTTGTTATATACAAAAATTATTTAGCTACAAGATAGAAACATTTTTTATAATTTTTTAAATTTTTTTATAATTTTTGTAAGTTTTTTCAAGCACAGCTATTTATTATTATTGCTATTTCTTTAATATGCCAATAATATCAAGTATACGCCTGGTTAAACAATTGAAATGTTTTTAATTTCTCTAAGCGCAGTAATGGAACAGTATTCTAAAATTAATGCAACTAAGCTCATAGAGTGTTCAACGTCTCATTTCATAGGGGAAATATGACAGCAAAGAAACTTTTGCCGTACAGTTTCAGGCATCGACTTGAGAAACTGCTTTAGCTATGACTCGACTCGGTTCAGTCGGACTGAGCTCGAACTTCAATATGCCGCACTCGCTGTTGCCATAAATGCAGGGTATAGGAAAAACAAACTGAAAAGCCAACAACGCCAACAACAACAACAACAATAATAATAATAATAACAAGAGCAGAACGAAACTCGATGTGTTTATTTTTAACAGCGAAAGCAATTCAATTAAATCACAAATAAATATGTAAATTCCAAAAAGCTTTTAATTTGCCCGAATATTTCTAGCATTTCGCACGCCTGCACACATCTATTTGTATCTGCGTATCTATAGATCTGCGGATCTATAGATCTATGGAACTGTTTGCTGGCGATTGTCTAACCTAGGCGCATCTGAAGCGCCTGTGCGTATCCACTACGTATATCCGCATCCGTTGGCAAATGGTTTTCATGCTGATTTTGATTTTGATTTCTCGCTGATCTACAGCATCGAAAATACTCGCCAAGAATTCCAATTTCCCTTCCAGCTGCCCGCCTGAATCGCCGTTCAGCTGCGGTGACAGTGGTTGTCGCGCGTTTTATGACTTTTAAATTTTTTATTGGCATATTTCATGCGCAGCTATACACACATTATATATGTATATATATATGTATATATAGTTGATTCACATATTGGATAAATAGCTTTTCTTGGCCATGGCCATAGAGCGCATACATGTCGCTAGTCATGAAGACGTTGTCGTTGCCGTTGCCACTGTCTAGAGGCCCAGCCAGACTCACTTACAATTTAGTGAGCAATTATAAAAGCAATTTAATGCCTTTGAATATCTCATCAAGTGCCTGAAATAGTTGCTAAAGTCTTTCGCCCTCAGCTGTCTATGGGACGGGGGCCGCAGGCCTTTCATGCTGGGGCCGGAGCTGAGCAGAAACTCAAGTTCATGTGGTTCACTGAACTTTTTGGGCGCAAACAGATTTGACACAAAAAAATGTTAAAAGAAAAAAAACTTTGTAAAATCCTTTACTAAATTTGTCAGCAATATCCAGAGCTATCAAAAGTTGGGTTATTCAGTTCATTTATGATTTCTATAGAAGTCTGTAGATGGGCATTTTGTATTAATATTGAAACTGTCCAAGAGAGTTCTGCTGGAGAGACATAAATCTAGCTATACATATGATGGCGTTTAGTATTAGAATTTAATTTTTAATACTAAAATTAATTTGAATAAGAACAAGGAATTCTATAAGAATTTAATAAAGAATTTAAATATATTTAATAACCTTTTCATTCAATAATAAATACTTTTTTTTTCGAAAATATCTTAATATATTGCAATGTAACGAACTGCTTAACAAAGATAACTGATATTTGACCTCAATAACAGCTATAGATAGACGTATAAATGTATATGGATAACTGAGTTATTTGAAGTCTAAAATTCCTTGGTCAGATATATAGCAAATGATTTAAGCTGAATATGATATATAACTAATTTTTGAGTTAGCTTAAATTATACATTTTGGATGTTAGCTTTTACATGGCTAATTCTTGAGCTCTATAGATATATAACTGAAGTACATAAGCCTCATATAATATATAAGATATATAAATATATATAATATATATAAATATATATAATATATAAGATATATAAACATTATTAATATCAATATAAACTGTTAGATAATATGTCTTTGATCTATATCAAAACTATTATAGCTATCCATACTCTTTCCATTATTTGGAATTCAAAAATGATTCATTTCTATGACCATGATAATAAATAACTAATTTTAGAGCTAGCATCAATACTACAGTGCGGGTATTACAATGGCCCGTCCTGAGCTATGCGACGTCTATGGCATAGATATGACTTGGGCTGATTATGAGCTACAACTAATTGGCTAATGACTACGCTTCGGATATCAGCTGGTAGATGATAATTTCGATAATCCCTATGGCCATATAACTGTTGATAGTTTTCGGGTTATTTGGAAGTCCATAACTCACTGGGACTTATTCAGTAATTTATTACTGTCGTACTTTTCGCCGAAATTTATGGTTGGCTAATTAGCGCAAATATTCGGAGACCTCGAAGCGAACAAATTGGATTCGAAGAGCAGAACGATGACGTGGCCAACCTTGGCGCAAGGAGCACGATCCGACTAAAGCTCTCCGAAGGCGTACGGATCTCTGTCAATCTGGCGGCGATCTGTTCCATGCGATCTCTTATTAAGCATCATGTTTTTTATGTGTCACATTATTTACGATCTGCATAGAGGCGGACGCACACAGACATAGGCGTACATACATATATATCTATATCTATATCTATGTCTTAGCTATATCTGTGGCGTATTTTTAGCACATCTGCTGCGAAGGAATGCCAAATATTTGTATATATGATTAAACGCAGATAATGCTCACACTGATCTTTGTTGTCTTTGATCTGGTCTTGCAGGAGAAGGGCTCCTTCATATCGGGCCTGTACTGCCGGGACACCAACTGCAGCGGGCTGGTGGTGCCGGAGATAACCGGGCTGCCGCATCCCAATTGGAACTGTTTGGTGTGCAAGCAGAAGTCGACGCACGCCCAGATGATGAAGTCGCAGGACTTCGCCAGCGGCGCCATCAACGCCAAGGTCAATTCGAATTCGCTGCGCACCCTGGTGCACTATCTGAACGAGAAGAGCGACAGCTTCATACCGAGCAGCAACTATGTGGTGATCGATGCCAAGATGTCGGTGCTGGCGCGCCTCGCCCAGGGCCGCGAGGACTGCAACGAGGAGCTGGTGTCCAGCACGCGCCTGCGCTACAGTCGCGACATCACACAGATCATGGACCAGCTCGGGCTGGGCGACTCGCTGCTGCGCGCCCAGCTGGAGCAGCAGCTGCACAAGGAGGAGGAGCGACGCGCCAAGAAGCAGCAGGAGCTGGCCAAGAAGCAACAGGAGCTGGCCGACCTGGAGCAGAAGGCAGCCGAGGCCGATAAGCTGCTCGCCGCGCTAGCCGTTGCCGAGGATCCAGCCGCTGCAGCAGGAGACGGTGCGGCGGCAGCGGCAGCGGCAGCTGCTGCTGAGCAGGCCTAGAGCCCATGCCGATCGCAGCTCTTGTTCGTTTATTCTCTATTCTATATATATATGTTTTTTTTTCTTATCGTATCGTATCGTATCGTATCGTCTCATACCGAACATAAATGTATTTGTATTTATTTATTTATAATCATTTAAAATATATATATATATGCGTACTTACATTGAAAGTGGTTTTCCTTTCATGTTTGCCTCTGAGATCGGAGATCTGAAGCGATCTACAAATAAATGACGCATCTGTTAAGTGCCAAAATCACATTTTCCGGGGCTTTAGCAACGATTTGTCAAAACGCTTTCTAATCCCAATGTCAGCAAATGTTTTTTATTATATTATTATTTGTTTGTTCTTTAACATTTGTTTTCTTTCTCTCGTTTCGCCTCGTTGGCATGTGCCGCAGAGTATATTCGCTTTCTGCTTAGAGGATTATGGGCCAAGGCTGGATGAATTTTGGTGACTTTTCCTGATCGAGGCCAGCTTAGTTCCAGGCCTTTGGCTGGCTTTCAAGCGCGTATCGCGCAGTCGGCTACCCTCGGTGTTGGAGCTTTATTTCTTGTATTTGCCATAAAAAGTTGCAGAGGCCGTTAAAGTTTTGCTTTGGGGGCCGCATCTATTTTGGTTGTGGCGACGCGACGGCCTCCTTTATATATTTTTATGCCTCGGCGCTACACACACACACACACACATGCACACACACAGTGTGTGTGTATATATACACTTGCATTCTCGCCACTTACATGCTGAACGCTTGTAATAAATAAATTTGACTGCGACTAAATTGCTCATTAAAAAGAAATTTGCAAAAATTTTCATTAAAATTTGCTGAAAATGTTGGAAAAGTTGGCAGAGATAACTTAGCTTAATGCAAATAGAAAGCTCTACTAAAGCTGCCAGTGAACGATATAATAAATACATATAATCTGTATATATATATATGTGCTTCGCAAGATTCTGAACTTTTCTTTTTCTACACAAATCCCAAAATGCCAACAATTTGATGAATTTTAGCGAAATTTATTAGCAAACAGAAAATAATTTTTTCGTAAGTTTTTCGACAAGCCCAAATCGAATTTGAAACGTGATCTATCTGGCCCCTGAACATGCCAAGTATCTGAAAGTGCCATGATCCAAACCCAGTTTTAAAATTTTAAAAAAATCTTTATTTCTCACAGAGCCAAAGAAAGCCATGAGCGAGAGGGGAGTGGCATATGGGTGTCAACTGGACAGTTCAACAGATCAAATCCCTGTGATAAATGGGAATGTTTACTTAACAATTTAAATGAGTTTGTGGAGCCGAGGATGTCCTTCTGTCCATCTATCTGTTTGTCTGTTTGTCTGTTTGTCCTTCTGCTCCTTTGTCCGCCTGTCCGTTTGTTTGAACGCCTCCAACTCAGAGCCTTCAAGCGCTAGAGACTTCAGTCCAGCACGCACACATCGAGTTGGTTTTGAATAATCGATAACTTTTACCGATTCATCGAAACAACTCGTAAGCCTAGAGCTTTCTTGTTACAGACTTTACTTTGGCAAAACATTCAAATAAATGCAATGCTTTAATTCTTGGCTACTCAGTTCTGTTGGCCTGTGTAATACCAAAACATTGGAGCAATCAATGGCAGTAGAAAAGCTCATTTCTACAAACTACAATAATATTAAATAGCAATATATATATATACTACCCATTATATTTATTTATATATCTACTAAATCTGTCTAATCACATAAAAAAAAAACAATAAACTGTCATGAATATTTGCTAAAGCAGAACCAACAACAGCAACAGCCAAATTTTGAGAGCTGTGAAATCGTAAATAAAACTGTAATAAAAATCTCAATAAATTACGCTACATATAGATTAATGAAGCAGCTATTCGCTAGCAGCCAACTGTGTATATCAACTATATCTAAAATATCTAAAAGTAGTACGAGTATGAGTATCTAACGGACTCCGACCCGCCACGCCCCGTTCCATCCCGCCCACTGGCATCACTTGTCTAATCACAAATTGCTTTTAGCATTGGCTAAAGTGATATTTAGATGTGTAAGACTAAAGCACTTGTTCTACAAGATATTCATCATATATATATATATATATGATATTCAAACAAAATTTTAAGTGACATTTTATTTATTTGGTTATTTAAAATTATTTGTCAATGTTCATTTGATATAACATCATTTGATGCTCCTCCTCGTCTACTTCTTTATACTTGAAAGATAGATGACGCGTCTAACTCGTATTCAGCTGCACAGTCGAGGCTAATTAGTTAGGTGTACTCATGAGACGAAGCTAATTTTGCCGTCAGCTTTGATATCGAACAACAGATGGCGCACTGATATTTGGCCACTGTCAAGTGATATCCCATGTCAACATTAGCTGGGACATTAACATTTGCTCTGACTGTCACTGCCTATCCAGTTGACGGCCATTGATTGGCGGCATTTATGTTCATTCTGTCAAGACGATTGACGTTTGACCATCAATCTGAAATTTTTGCTTGCCAAATGGCATGTGAAATTGGTGAAATAGTCATTAGTTGTTGGACTTTGCTTATTTTTCTTTTTAATTTCGCTGCAATTTATTATCATCTGTTTCATACAATATTAAAAGCATGCATTTTACGGTTCGACTTACCGCCCATGGCCAGAATCTCAGCAGACACCCCGACCTCCAAAGTAATTTATGCATTTTTAATAAACCCGAAACAGCCAAAATTATTGAGCTCATAAATTGTGCAATTACAACGCCAGATGGCGGCACCAACAGCTGCCTCGAATCGATCTATAAACATATATATTTCCGATTATTTGTGTTTCAATTATATTTAGGCATCGCCCACAACAAGGAGATTAAAAGAAGTTTCAACGTTGAAGTTCAAGAAGTTGACGTTGTCCTAAAGAAAAAAAAACACTCAAAACAGTACGAAATAAATGCAGCTGGAAGAATATATAACAATTTATGGAATTGCGAAATATTTAAGCCATAACGGTTTTTAAGCTTAAGTAAACTAGCAGGCTGCATCGATCCGCTAGCAAGTTCGAGTTTGATAGCAACAAGCTGCAAGTCGTATGCGAGTATCTCACCACGAACGCAAGCGCGGTGAGAAACTGTTCGCTAGCAGAGAGGGGCCCACGGATTAACGGAAGTGCACTTACATTTGAAATATACCAAATTCACCACTAAAGGGGCACGAAGACGTAATCATGAAAATTAAGAGAGTTTTTATCATTTTATTTATCATTTTATTTATCATGAAACTTGAAAAAGCAACGTTTTTTATGGAAGAATATGGAGATAAAGTGTAAGACAGACACAATATACGGTAGATTGAAGAGTTGTAGACAGACGCAGACACAGAATGATAACAATATATATATAACGTTAGCCTAACCTGTGCTTCTACTTTATCTTTAACTTTACATTTACAACATAATAACTGTTTAAGCTCTTTGACTCGTCACAATACTTTAACAATGTAGAGTTTTCCAAAATAAACTGCTATTAAAAATTTGAGTCTTTTTGCTTCGACAACTATTCCTGAATTAGAGCATACTTTTGAGGCTAGACGAACTGAAAGCGATAACTAGAATAATCCTTTAACATCAGGCTATCAAAAATCTGAAGCTTAAAGTTCAAAAATTGAGTTTTTAAGTTGAATATATCTGAAAACATCTTTTAAGTTTACGCTGAAGTCTCTTTTAACGGATGATACATCGATATCGGTATCGATATTAGACTATGTTGGTTTGTCCAATCGGCGCGAAGAATCTGGCTTGCTCAATCAGTGCGGCAAATTTAGCGGTTTTTGTTTTAAAGTAAACAAGATAACAGAAACGTATACATTTTTAATTGCAATTTTAACTGATAGTTGACAACGTTTTCCGCAGTTATTTAATAATGCATATATATATATATATATATATATATATATATATATATATATATATATATATAATTCGTGTGCTTTTTTCCAGCTGTAAGCTTTCATCGAGCTTTTACAAATGCTACAAGTGTAATGCGAAAGATGATCGAACGAACGAAAGAAAAAAATAACAATAACAACATAACGCCGACACCCAAGCGTATTGTATGTGTATGTATATGTAGCTGCAATGTTGGTGTTCGGTTAACGCCGACGTCGACGCCGACGCCGATGCTGACGCCGACGCCTCTGCCAGCCGCCTTCTGATTGTTTTTAAGCAAATATTTTCACAAGCAAAAAACCATTTGGAATCGGGCGTTTCCAGTGTGAAGACCGATTTCAGTTTTTTTTCCGTAAACTCGTGCAAAACTCGAAGAAAATACAATTTTTTTTTTGTTTTCATCTTCCATTCACTAAGTGCGAGTGAATGAGCGAGCGCCGTGTTGTAATCAGCGGATCAAAATCAACAACTATCAGAGGAGCGCATAGTTCAACTACGCAAAAGAGGTTTGTTCTAATTAAATTCAATTGAATCAACGAAAAAACTGACTTCAACAACATGCGATAAAAACCGGAATAGTTCAAGCTAAATATTAGAATAATTTTGGCATTTGTATGTGATCTTTACGGAAAGAACTATAAGCGGGCGAACGACGAAAATGAAACTGGATTTCCAAATAATATTAACTGTCAGCTGATAATGGAAGCTTTTTAAACAGACTAGGTGTGGGGGGGGGGGGGACGAGTCTTTATTTGCAGTGGCCATACAGTCAACATACACTATGATGAACTCGAGTCTATTTCAACCCAAACTAAAGTGGATCAGAAAATCAAATTCATTTAGTTTTGGAAAATAATCATTCTATAGACATTGTATGTAATTACGTAAAGAACGCTATATATTTCTTATCAAATTAGACCTAATCTAATTTGGCTTTACGCGATCAAGCCTGCTCAGCTAGTTCCACATTTGGTAGTGTCTATATCAACTTTGGTAGTCGCTTATTCAGACTCCTAGCTATATAGTTGTTAATCAATGATAATAGACTTAGACCCCCATGAAGAAATCTTCAGGCAAAGAGAACTTAGAAAACCAATGATAAAAATATATTTAAAAACGAATAGCTTGAATAATTATATAGAATAATTATACCCTGAATCCATTGAATATGGGAAATCGCCTATATATATTATAAAGTATTACTTGTAAGCAAATGAAAACAAATTTACGAATTGTAAAATGACGTGTTGTTTGTCATATGAGATGATACGGTAATACATAGAAATATATATATATATATATATATATATATATATATATATATATATATATATATATATATATATGTGGGCTTGTATCTGCCGAAATATATATGGGTCTTGTGTAGATTGTAATATCACGTAGTTGCTGCTATATATATACACATAGATACAACAATTGGTGTTGGCAAGCGACCCGATCGGCTGCTCGAAGCTGTTAACTAGCCTAATCTTTCAAGTGTTCGGCATCGAACCATGCCCGCTTGATAAGAAGGGCCCGAGCTCTATATACTATATATAATATTTTTCTAAATACGTATGTGTGTGTGCGAGCATAAATATAAAGTATCAACTATAAGACCCCTGCGTTGCGATTAGATCTTTTTCGTTTTCAAGACCAACTAAATAATATATGTATATTATATGTATCTGAAACAATTTTCGCAGTCGAGCCTAGTCATCCAGCCAGGCAGCCAGAAAGCGAATCGTTAGCCAATCTTCAATCAAGATGAGTCCGCCGGCATTACTAAGCAAAGACGCGCCCGATATTGAGGTAGGTCGCAACAATTTGTGTCTTAGACTTGTTTGTTAGCGTGTGAGACTTTTGCGTAGGATCTGTTGGCGTTGAATCCGCGCGTTAAGACGCAGTGCAGCGTGGTGCCCACCAAGCAGACCAAGGAGAATAAGAAGCACTGGAAGCGCAATGTCGATCACATGGCGGTGCCCTGCACCACATTGGCCAATAACTTTGAGGACATTAAGCACACGACATTGTCGGAGCGCGGCGCTCTGGAGGAGGCAGCCCGCTGTCTTAAGTGCGCCGACGCGCCCTGCCAAAAGTCCTGCCCCACGCAGCTGGACATCAAGAGCTTCATTACGTCCATTGCCAATAAGAATTTCTATGGCGCCGCTAAAGCCATATTCTCGGACAACCCGTTGGGCCTGACCTGCGGCATGGTCTGTCCCACGAGCGATCTTTGCGTCGGCGGCTGCAACCTGCAAGCCTCTGAGGCGGGCCCCATCAATATTGGCGGCCTGCAGCAGTTCGCCACCGAGGTGTTCAAGCAAATGGGCGTGCATCAGCGACGCGCGCCAAATCTGAAGCCGCTGGCGCAGCCGAACAAGAAAATTGCTCTGATCGGCGGCGGACCTGCCTCACTCTCGTGTGCCACATTCCTGGCCCGATTGGGCTACAACGACGTTACCATCTACGAGCGTCGCAGCTATCTGGGCGGCCTAAGTGCTGCCGAGATACCACAGTATCGTCTGCCCATCGATGTGGTCAACTTTGAGATTGATCTGGTCAAAGATGTGGGCGTCAAGTTCGAATTGCAGCGTTCGCTCAGCACCAAGGATCTGACCATTGAGGTAAGTGGCGGCCACTTCACAACATCCAAACATAATATATTCTCATAAATACGTCAATCTATGTACAACAATTCAAAAGAAGCTAAATCATATCTATTCTTGAAGCAGCACTGTACGACAGTCTTTTGATCTGTTCATCTCCGATTATTATAGGAGCTAGAAGACTTGAAATTTCAAGCTCGGAAAAGCTCATATCTAGTTAGCATACACACATACATGTATACATACACACATATATATACATGCATACATTTATACATACATACATTCATATATGCATATACATATTTCTATATAAATACACACGCACACATATTCATACACACATGCACATATACCTGCATACAAACATACATATATAACAAGCATATATGCATGTACATATGTATGTGATATCTCTTTCTCTCCCACTGTATGAGTATACATATATCGTACGAAATCCAAATTGATCCTTAATTATCGATATCGTAGCATTGATAAGCATCGATAGTTTGAACTGTTTACTTGCAAGCATTACAATAACGTAAATAAAGCTCAAGACAGCAAACTGATATATTGATATGATTATGAAACACTTAGTTCTTAGAATATAATCGCGATTAATAACCAATACTCATGCCGAAGTAAGCGGCTCAGTGTATGGCTGTGTGCAATCGTATGCTTGAAGCATATGCACAAGAAAGCTAATACGAAGAGAGAGAGAAATGACATTCGCTCCATTGTGTGTGTGTGGGCTTGCGTTTATGCGTGTATGAGTGTCTTTTTTTGCACACCCTGTAAGACTTTGTTTTTGCTACTCAAAACTTGTGCTACTCAGAAGATAAAGTAGTTCCAAATGCATGAAGACTTTGAGTGACCATTTAACTGGGTACTATGGGATGTATAACTACTTAAGGTTCAATTTCAGCAGCTGCTAATTGTTGTCATTACAATACTGAAATAAATAGACCCAAGATTTATGGATAAATATGTAAATACGTTCTATAATTTTAAGTTTTACGTCTATCCATATGAAGCTAAATTAACAAGCAAGTTTTTCATGTCATGAAAAGTTTCACTTGGAAGCTTAAAGCTTCAAACAGAAGTTTTGCCTGGGCTTTAGTAGCTCACTCAAATTAGCTTAAGTATAAATTCGTGAAATGCCAAAGTTTCATGACATAGTATATGTTATATATACATATATATCTTTGCCTATCCATCCATATTGGGTTTGGTAGCTTTCAATTAACTGTAATTGAATGGACTTATTTACAGGGATTACTGTCTTCAGGACACGATGCCATCTTTGTGGGCATTGGATTGCCTGAGCCAAAGATCGATCCAATTTTCAATGGCTTGAACACTCAGGCGGGCTTCTTCACGTCCAAGAACTTTTTGCCATTGGTTTCGGACGGCTCGAAGCCAGGTCTGTGCGCCTGCAAATCGGCCCAGACACTGCCCAAGCTCTATGGCAATGTCATTGTCCTGGGTGCCGGCGACACGGCCTTCGACTGCGCCACCTCGGCGCTGCGCTGTGGTGCGCGTCGTGTGTTCGTTGTCTTCCGAAAGGGCTCGACCGGCATTCGGGCCGTGCCCGAGGAGGTGGAGCTGGCGCGTGAGGAACGCTGTGAGCTGATGCCATACTTGAGTCCGCGCAAGGTCATTGTCAAGGATGGCCAGATCACGGCAATGGAATTCTGCCGCACCGAACAGAACGATAAGGACGAATGGGTGGAGGATGAGGAGCAGACCGTACGTCTCAAGGCAAACTTTATTATCTCTGCCTTCGGCTCGGGCCTGCAAGATGCGGACGTTAAGGAGGCGCTATCGCCGCTATCATTCCTCAGCGGATTACCCGTAGTGGATCGCCAGACCATGCAGAGCAGCGTACCAGCGGTCTTTCTGGGCGGTGATCTGGCCGGCGTGGCCAACACCACCGTGGAGTCGGTGAACGATGGTAAGGTCGCCGCCTGGAGCATTCACTGCCACCTGCAGGGTCTGCCCCTGGACACACCCGCCGCACTGCCGCTCTTCTATACGGACATCGACAACGTTGACATATCCGTCGAGATGTGCGGCCTGAAGTTTGAGAATCCCTTCGGCCTGGCCTCGGCACCGCCAACCACCAGCGCAGCGATGATACGCCGCAGCTTCGATCAGGGCTGGGGATTTGTGGTGACCAAAACGTTCGGCCTCGACAAGGACATGGTCACCAATGTCTCGCCACGCATAGTGCGCGGCACTACCTCCGGCTATAAGTATGGGCCGCAGCAGGGCTGCTTCCTCAATATTGAGCTGATATCGGAGAAGCGAGCCGAATACTGGCTGCGTTCGATTGGCGAGCTGAAGCGTGATTTTCCCAAGAAGATCATCATTGCGAGCATTATGTGTGGCTACAATGAGGCGGACTGGACGGAGCTGGCGGTCAAGGCCGAACAATCTGGCGCCGATGCCCTCGAGCTGAATCTGTCCTGTCCACACGGCATGGGCGAGAGCGGCATGGGCTTGGCCTGCGGTCAGGATCCCAAGCTGGTGGAGGACATCTCGCGCTGGGTGCGCAAGGCCGTCAAAGTGCCCTTCTTCATCAAGCTGACGCCAAACATTACAAACATTGTGTCCATTGCTGAGGCAGCGCATCGCGGCGGCGCCAATGGTGGCTCGGCCATCAATACGGTGCAGGGCCTGATGAGCCTGAAAGCGGACGCGACAGCCTGGCCAGCGATTGGCAAAGAGCAGCGCACCACGTACGGCGGTGTCTCCGGCAATGCTACACGCCCCATGGCGCTGCGTGCCGTTTCGGAGATAGCCAAAAAGTTGCCAAAGGAATTCGCCATATTGGGCATTGGCGGCATTGATTCCGGCGAGGTGGCGCTGCAGTTTATTCAGGCTGGAGCTACGGTATTGCAGATCTGCTCATCCGTACAGAATCAAGACTTCACGCTCATCGAAGACTATTGCACCAGCTTGAAGGCGCTGCTCTATCTGAAGGCTAATCCGCCGCCAAATAATGGCGCCTTCTGGGATGGACAATCGCCGCCAACACCAGTGCATCAGAAGGGCAAGCCGGTGGTCCACTTGACTGGCAGCGGCAGTCAGACGCTGGGCTTCTTCGGCCCCTATCAGCAACAGCGCGACATCAAATTGGCCGATTTGCGCAAGGAGAAGGGCGCCCTTTGGGATGCCGAACGGACTGCCGTTGACAGCTCCAATGCTGGCGCCGTCATCAAGCTGGCGCCCAAGATAGCAGATGTCATTGGTGCGGCACTGCCAGGCATTGTTTCCTACAAGAGTCTTGACAACAAACAGCAGAAGGTGGCTCTCATCAATGATGTAAGTGCCTTGACTTATCCATACATTTACCCACTCAATCAAGCCTATATATATATATATATATTTCTGCTTGTATTAGGACATGTGCATTAACTGTGGCAAGTGCTATATGACGTGTGCTGACTCCGGCTATCAGGCAATTGAATTTGATAAGGACACGCATTTGCCGCACGTCAACGACGACTGCACCGGCTGCACGCTCTGCGTCTCCGTCTGTCCCATTATCGATTGCATTCGGTAAGTGGACACATTTGCGATAAGACTTGTAGAGCGACCTCGACTACCTGTCTGCTGCCAAATATCACTAATGAGATATATGAGTAAAAATTCTTATTTCCTTCTTTTAATAGCATGGAACCCAAGAAAATACCGCACGTTATCAAGCGAGGAGTCGAGGAGAAGGACAAGACATTCTACACGCATGCTCTAAGCCAATGTCAATAATAATACTAAAGGAAATAGGAACCATATTGATTTACTATAATAGAATGAGCTAAAAATTAATTTTTGTGCTCTATGACCTTATAATTTTTTTTTTATCAAGTGCCAATAAAAACTATGAACAAGAAAAACTCAAATGTTTTATTTTTAAAAAATATTTACCATCTTTTTCGCTCTCCCGCTCTCTCTTTCTCGCACACACTCTGCCTCTCACTCTAACTCTCCCTCTCATTCTCACTCTCTCAACACTCCCCCTCCCTCTCTGTCAGTCTATCCATTCGGTATATACTTCTGTTAACATCAGTTTTCGTAAGCAAATGTTAAATTTGAAAAAATGGCGTCAGTTATGATCTCGCGCTCTATCATAGACAAAAATTAGATATAATAATGAAACTAGTTCATCTTAATCTTACGCACATAGCTGTGTGTTTGCCCATATATATTACTAGCTAAATTAACAACACCGTTAATGTCAACAAATTAAATTAAACAAATTGTTTGGCAAGGTCACACAAAAGAAATCAGTTCAGTTTCATACAAGGTTAGGTCGCTAACTGAACAATATGACGTCACACTTTCAGTAATTTGTATGCCGTCTTTGAACAGTAGTAACCTCGTAGCTCGTTTGAGCCTTCACATTCACACATACAAATAGTGGCAGTTCGTTGTGAATGGCGTATTAACAGCTGTTCATTATTAGTTTGGCCCCTATGTATTAGCTAAAAAGTTATTGTTAATGGCCACCGCAACACAGTGTTCAAGTCCATCAAATGCACCCACAGATGATAATAATGGATTACTTTCGGCGACCGTGATAGCTGGCCTAAAAAACTTGGGCACCACACTAACAGCGGTCATAAGCAAAACATTGATTGCCAATTCATTGAAATTGACGCTCCATCCAGATGCAAGTATGCTACTTAAACATGGCTTAAATTTAAACTGTCGTGCATGAACAATTTGTGTACTAATAGTTATAGCACCAGTACCCGAAATATACGCAACGAACGCAGCCAGTGCGAAACAGAGCGAATATGCCGTGGTCACACTTTACGCCGTGGCCACCAAACATGGTTGGAGCAGTATTACGCTGCGCCAGCAACTGGATGCACTGGAACTGAATGCCAGTGCCATTGATGAACTAACCCGTGTCTACGAGGACAATCGAAAGGATCTCGTGCTGCGACAATTACAGTTGGGCCACAATTTCCCGCACATCACCGATGTGCAGTGGCGTATCGTATGCGACGTGAAGTCCTCAACATCGGACTGCAGCAGCGGCGCGCCACATTTTAACATCAATTTGGGACATTATCGCCAGAGCAGCGGTGAACGCGTCACCGTTGTGGAGTTTGTATGCAATGCCGAGGAGCTGCAATCACTAGTTAATCGTCTGAAGGATATCGAGAGACACTGCAATCAAGTGGCCATTACTTAAAAAATAGCGAAAACTTTCATATATATATATATATAGATATATCTGTCAATAATATATATATATATTTATATATATGCATATATGTATATTTATACATATATATTTCATATATACATATACATATATACACACACATATATATACATATACATATATACGTATTTTAATTCATGTGCATTACAAACTTATGAGGGTGTAAATAGTTTGTACACAATATTTGTTACAAGTCGGAACAAAAACTTGACTAACACATTTGTCACCACAGCTAAGACTTGTGTTATCCTATGTTGATATCTGTCGCTGGCCAGCCTTAGCTGCATGGAGCCATCGCTGTCGGCTTAACTGAAATTGTACTACAAAACTGTATAGCTTTCCAATGTCATTGAGGCACATCTTCAAATCTGATTTTGAACTCTGCGGGCGCGAGCAACTCTACAAGCAAACTATAGTTATTTGGCGCTGTGCAAAATATTGTGCCTGAGAAGTAAAGACTGTCGTTCTCTTCAGCAGCTATAAGGACACACTGGTTGTGGTTGGATAGACGCATATTTAGACCACGAAAGCGATAGTCCTGTGTATACAATATCGAGGCGTCTCTAGGTAAAAAGTATGGCCTTCCACTGAATGGGTTCAGGAAGTCTGCCCAATAGCCCAATGAAAGTAAACGGTCACTGATTTCTCTGGCAGCAAGCACAAACTGTAAAGCAAAAAAGCTTCAGAGAATGATTTTGATTGTGAATGGGAGGTGCTCACCTTTGCTGCACCTTGTTCGATGTCGCCTTCGTAACTTAATGTTAAAAGTGTTATGGCGTAGTCTTTTTGGCCAATTGCACGCACTGGGAAGAGTTCGAATATTGAATCACGTATTAGCAATGGACACTGGCAGCAGGAAAACTCTAAACGAGACTTGTCCAGGTTAACGTCTTTAAAGAAATTGACTAGATTTGCCAGCGGTTCCAATAAGCCGACAGTAGATGTATCGCCCTGCCATGCAGGACCTGTGGCATTTGGTAAATAGAAGCGATTGTGACGTTGCGATGTCAATTCCCAATTGGGTTCTTCCTCAAGACTGTTGACATCGTCTGCCGAGTATTTTAAGTAAATATAAAAATGTTAGACACACAATATTTAACTTACCATCGTCGACTCCGCGTGATTTTGTCACGGTTTTGAAGGGTTCACCTGCATCCGGTGGTGGACCATTTCTCTTGGAATAGGATGCAATGCGTCCACCACACGCCGATTGCATTGGCTGTGGATTAAGCAGATTTCGCAACATACTATTCGCCTGCATCGGCTTCACGTAGGACTGGCCCAAAAGGCACCTTCCAAATAATTGGCTCAACGTACGCGACATTATATCATAAGCTCTAAAAGCAAACGCGCAATTTATTTGCAGTAAAATTACTTCGATCGACAGACGGTCACACTGGTGTACTCACTAACAGCTGCAGAATGACGAACAAAATTACCGAAAATCAGTCTGTTATTATAATTTCACGTATAATTTTGTTTATTTTTTTGGGAAAATCCTCATTAGAATGTCGAAACTATCTTCCGATTTTTCTATATATTTTTTGTTTTTCTTTTTACGTGTTGCGTCGATTGTCGATTGTTCAATCGAAACAGAAATTTTACACCCAAGTTGCCATCTGTCACAAAAAAAAAAAAATCAAGTCTAAATATTTTTTATATTTTACGCATACATATATACATATATATATATATAAATATATATATATAAATTATTTAGACTTGAATTTTTTAAATAAATATATGTATATATATATATATATATATATATATATATATATATATTTATATATTTATAAATATATATACTCTTGAATTTACAAGCTCAAAAATTAAAATAAATAATTTATATTATTTTGCGAATCGGCATTCAATTTTTATACACAAACAAAAATAATAAAATATGACATATTTTTTAAATGAATAGGCAAAATTTTAAATATGTATTTATTACGTATATACAAAAGCCTATGTGACAAATACAATTTATATGATTATAAATAATAAACATAAACAATAGTACATACATATGCATACGAATGACAATCGGATCATCAAAATCCACCTTTAACGCAAAAGTTATAATAGCATTGGAATTAAGTTATTGTGCCATTTAGATTTATTTAGTTTCAAACTCGATAGAAACATTCAGTTGCCCGATCGGCACATTTGTCGTAGGGTTTGAACATTGGATCACTTAGCTCCTCCTCAGGTACGCAGGCGCAGTGAAAGTTCTTGTTGTCGCGATTATAAAGCTTGCGGGGATATCCAGACCATTCGCGTACCTTGCCATCGCCACTGGTAGTGGTACACCAGACACGAGTTCCCTTTGCTTCGGACCACTCGATGTTGCAGCCTGGATATCTATCACGGAGCTCATCAACTTGCGCCTTCGCTATCTTTGCTTCGTCCAGAAGTACAAGGTATTTCTGATGGTAGGCAGTCGACTTGCCAGTTTCGTCAAAGAAGCGTCCAATTAGCTTGCCCTTATATGTGTACTCCTTCTCGTAGAATTGCTGCCACTTGGCCAGCTCAATCAAGTCGTTGGCCTTGAGGCTAAGCACATCATCAGCCGTCGCTGGATCATAGTGCTCGAACTCACCGCTGACAAAAGAAACGGATGCATCGCGACCAACAAAGAAGTTGTAACTGCAGCCAGGCCCATAATGCTTTATGCCGCGGCTGACGTCGAAAACGGCACCAAGCAATGCTAAATAGATAGGTGCTCCATTCTCGCCGTTGTACGTGGATAACTGATCCGATGTGAAGATACTGTCGCGGGTATCTGTGAACTTCACTGGGACAGTTTCTGTATGCTCGTTTGCGGCGGTGTTCAAATAACGCGCAGCCGCTATTTGTAAGAGCTGCACAATATCTTTCTGGTAAAGTTTGGCCAGAATGGCTATAAGAATTAATAAGAATGCAAGACGATATTTTGAAAGCCCTTTTACAAAACCAAACATTCTGCTGCTATATGTTAACTTACGAATGTCTACTTATGTATGTGGGTACGTGTGTGTGCGTATAAAAATATTTAACCACGAACGCTTAGTATGCTGATCACTTGAAACAAGGCGCGCAGCCACGTCTATATCATCATTTGAACTATCATAATTTTAAGTCTTACTGTTTTATTTTCGTTATAATTATATATTTATGGCAATATTGTGTTTAAAATATATGTGTATCGATTATTAAGCTTGTCCGCAAAATTAAGTTGCAATAAACATAAACATAAACATATTATAAGCTGCATACCTGGCGCAAATGAAGCTACTGTTATGTTATGGTTGTCAGCACAGCTGATTTTTACCATTCAAAGCTAACTCTCAAATTGTGAATGGCAACAACAAAAATCCGTTACTAAAGAGATGCCATTTTAAGCAGTTACCACAATTACTAATTAATTAGTAAAGTTTGAAAAATGAAAACCGACCATCCCGTGGTGTCTGCAATCACCATTGATGCGGCCAAAGTGAAAAAAATATGGATTCACTGCAATTGCTGTTTTGAACATTATGTAAATGAAAAAGCTGTATTCTTTTTACTGGCATGTCAACACGTTATATGCGAGAAATGCGTTACAGCCAGTTTGGGTCGCATTCCAGGTGATGCACCCACATATGTTTGTCCAATTTGTCAAAAGATGGTGCGTGGCCGTCAGATAAACAATGCGTTGCCATCAAACCTCAAGGGTATGTTTCACCCAGCGCCGTGGCATGACGGTTTGCCACACGACCTCATCGACTCGTTCCAGAGAGCAAACTGTAAAAATTTGGAAAAATTTATATTAAAAAAGGTGAGAATCTTGAATACAAGCATTATAAACAACAATTTGAATTACTTACTTAGGAAAAAGAAGAACAGAAGTTGGATAAAGACTTATTATTGGCCCGTGGAGTATGTCAAAAACAATACTTGGAACAGCATAGACTTCGTAGGATGCGTAGAGAGCTCAAGTGTTGTGTGCGACATATAAGTCAAAAAGTTAAAATTAAAAAAAGGAAACTTTCGCAAGCTCGGTAAGTTTATATGTGACATAATTTAAGAAGTTAAAAATTCTTAACTGCTCTTTCTGCGTTCAGGCGGGTCCAGCGTTCTATTTCAGTTTCTTCAAAAAAAGCCGACAAACAAATAAGTAAGCATTCAATGACAGAAGTAAAGAGTGCACCCATAACCAGTTTTGTACATCATAATAATTATTCATTTGATTTGTAAATATCAATAAATTATCTTTGCTACGTACATGCATCACGGCCCAAGCAAGGGCTACATTTGAATGTTATTTCTACATTTTACGCGCCGTTTTCCAGCACTGTTTGTCATGTTCTTCTTCTTAGTTTGCGCTTGCGACAAACATCTACTGCGGACGCCATTTTGAAGCAAGCGAGACTCTGTGACTGTGCATATGCCAATACAATTTGACTGTGTGTTTTTATTAAACTCGAGCGAATAGAACACGCGAATGGCAAATAGAAAAGAAGTTGCGCATTAAAATCGGCGCTATACATTGCAATTGCAAACAGTGGCAACAGCAGTAGAAATTAATTTAAAAACGAAACAAGCTGGTACAGCCATAAGCGAAAATGATGAACGGCAGTAAACCAGGCGTGGTTCTTAATTGCCGCACATGCACCCGTGCATGTAAACAATACAAATCGCTGCAAGACGAAATTGAGATCGGACCTGAGGGCAGCACCACGCTAGCCAATATGCTTAATTTTTGCTCCAGTCTGTCATTCGAGCCCCAAGATGGAGCTGCGATGCCCCAACACATTTGCATGCACTGCCTGCAGTTACTGGAGCAAGCATTCAACTTCAAGCGCATGGTCATTGACTCCGATGAGCTGCTGCGACTTGGGCTTGAGGAGGTTGACAACAATGCCAATGTCAATACTAGCAACCAGGAGTATGTTATGATCGAGCTGCTTGGTGATGAGGCTGAGCCCGAGTCTGCCGCCAAACAGGACTCCAGCGTGCACGATGTCGCTGCGCTTGTCGAATCATACAGCGAGCAAGAGCCAGAACATGAGGAATTTGTCGTTGAAGATGTTTGCGTAGATGCAGAAGAAGAAGTTGGCGCAGAAACAGAGACAGAGGATACTATCGAACCACTTAACGATTTTCAAGCGGCTGACATTGAGTATGTGACAATCAAAAGCGAATACGATTCGCAGGTAGAGGACGAAGATGACATCGAAATTATGGACTCCCCACCTCTCGAAACTGTCAGTGAGCAAATGCAAATTCAAATGTTGGATGACCAAATGGTCATGATGTCTGGCGAGGAGCCTATCGATGAGGTAATTGGCGAAGTCGAAGGTGACGATATACTAGATATCGAGCGTGAGGAGCATTTGGTAAGCAAACGTTTAAAATATTGATGAAAGTAACCTTGAAGTTGTTACGTGAAAATGAAAATTAATATTGATAACTTTTAGTTGACTGGCGATAGTGAGGAAGGCGAGGAATTTCTGGATGATTCCGTAGATGGTTCTACCTCGAATCCAGTTGTTGCCGGACCAGGAGTCGAAGTGCTACCGCATGTTTGTCATGTGTGCAACAAAGCATTCCGCCAACAGTGCCGTCTAAATCAACATATGCGTTCCCATGTGGACGAAAAGCTTTACTCGTGCGAGATATGCGGCAAAAAGCTGAAGCATTTGCGCAACTACAAGGAGCATATGCTGACTCATACAAATGCCAAGCCGCATCAGTGCTTGGTCTGTGCACGTTTTTATCGCACCACATCTAGCTTGGCTGCACACATGCGTACACACGCCGAGGATAAACCATATAAATGCGATCAATGTGGGCGCAGCTATGCGGCATTCGATCATTTACGTCGGCACAAACTGACGCACACCGGGGAGCGTCCCTATGCATGTGATCTGTGTGATAAGGCGTACTATGATTCGTCGTCACTCCGCCAGCACAAAATCAGCCATACAGGAGAGAAGGCATTCACCTGTGAAATTTGCGGCGTTGGACTGTCACAGAAATCTGGCTATAAAAAGCACATGCTGGTGCATTCCGGCGAAAAGCCGCACAAATGTCACATCTGCGGACGTGCCTTTACCTTCACCAGTAACCTGAATGCCCACGTACGCTTGCACTCCGGCGAGAAGCCGTTTAAATGCGACAAATGCATGAAGGCATTCCCTACCAAAAAGCGCCTTAATAGTCATATGCGTGTCCACAACAAGGAAGCGCCAGTTACCACAACAAGCAATACCATCGGCACAAATACTGGGCCCATCGGCAACATGCATACTGATCGTGTGAACGTCGTGGCGGCTGGCCGTCGCACAGCCATGAATATGCCCGATGTTATTGATCAGCAGGTCTCCACCTCCAAAGTAGTTGTCGTGCTTTAAATGCCGTAGTAACTAAGCCTAGCTTTTACATTTACAATCTAGAAATCTACACCTACCTATGTATATAGCTATAGATATTTGTATGTACGTACACGGTCATGTTCATCTATCGCTATTTGCCAACGACAAGCTTGTGATTTCTGAAACCGTAAATGTGCTTTACAAAGAATCGCAGACTTAAGACAAATATCCTGATCCACGAATACAGATAAAACTAAAAATTGTAAAAGAAAAAAATTTTACATTTTTTAACGTAATCCCATATTTATAACAAATATGACGTTTTGAATTTTTTTTTTGTTTTTAAAAATTTGTAATGTAGACTTTGAATTGTTCACAAATAAATATATGTGATTTGTCGGCCATTCCTCAGCTAAAGAAACATTTTTGTAGATTTTCCGGTTAATACATCACATATATATGTATATTCAAAAGGCTGTAATTAGTTATACTCGGACGGAACGTGTATGTATATAAAAGGAAAACACAAATTTAAAAACAAATAAACGTTTTTTAAATCCAAATTCCAATTGAATTCTGTAACGCGCCAGAAATCAAATGAAACATAAATATAAAGCTGACGTAAATAACTGGATTTCAACCAGGTTGAGAATCTGATATATACTTATAGAGATTAACACTTGCTAAATATATAAATTAAGGAAAGAAATGCATTCGGATTGCCTTTCAATAACAAACTTAAACTACATTTGTCAGTAATTGTCTGATCTATGTACAGTAAGTTTCTCTTATGAATATGTATTTTAAAGGTTTCCTTAAATAATGACAATTATAAATTGTTATGTTTAAAATGCTAAATAGCTCTTTTATTTGTAGTTTTTTCGCTGTTGGTAGCAAAGTTTCAGTGGGTTCACGTTTGGGCCGCTCTCAAAGGGTTTTTGTTGCTTGTTGCTGTTAGCTTCGGGCTGGTGGGAGTTTTTCGTGTATGGGAGCGCTTGTGCGCTATCAGGTTGCTCGAGTAGCGGAAATTGCGTCCACATGTTTCGCAGTTATGCGGCTTTTCACCCGTATGGGTGAGCATATGCTTCTTATAGCCTGACTTTTGTGTCAAGCCCTTGCCGCAGATATCGCAAGTGAAGGGCTTGACGCCACTATGACTGTAGAGGTGCGATCGCAGCGATGATGCCTGCCTATAGATTTTGCCACAAAATGTACACTTGTTGGGATTGTTAGGATTGTGTAGCGTTATATGGCCATCATAGGCATTTCGCGTCTTAAACGAATCACCGCAAATGCTGCAAACAAATGGCCGATTATCGCCGTGCAATTGCATGTGATATTTGAACGAATTACTGGTGCTTAGTTGTTTGCCGCAAATCTGTAAGGAATCGATTAGTTAGAAATTATGTAGAAATTCCTGGAGTATCGGGTTTTTTAGTGCTCACCGGACACTGGAGGGCAGGATTGAGGGACTTACGGCGCTGCTGCGAACGCAGCTTGATCCCAATGTCGGTTTGTATGTTATTCGATGCCTGCTCATTTTCATAGTCCTCGGTCAAATCGTAGTCTACTTCAAAGACCTCAACAGTGGGCTCATCACTTTCAAAGTGTAATTCACTTTCTAGTATTTCCTCTGGCACAGGTTCGTGATCGTCATCCTCATGATTGGACGCGACGCTGTCCACTGGCGATTCCGTTTCCTCTAGCACGTAAACATATTCATCAGTACCTGCTGATTCTATAACAGCATTTCCCTCAGCCTCAACATCGACATCATCGTGCTCCAATTGCACAAGATTCGCTGGTGATGGAGAACGAGATATGGCGACTCTAGATAATCTTGCATTGCGCTTTCTAAGCACGTGGTCCGTACGCAGCGCAGTACGCTTGAATTCATACACTTGTGTGAGCAATTCCACGCAGGTCTTACATATGTGTGTGGGCAGGAATTGCTCCTCCTCGAGCACCTGCAAATTGGCGCAATAGCTTAGCAACGCACCGAGCGTTGTTAGTTCGCCGGCGATGATATGTGGCTTGTAAAGTGAAAAGGATTGTATAGATGGCACATTGCAAACACGGCAAGACTGTAGTTCTGCTATTTCTAGTGATACCTTGTCCTCAGAAATGGACATGATTAGTTGAGTTTATTTTTGTTGCTGTTGTGACCGTGTTTGGCTTTCGTGAGCTTGTTGTTTATACACAATTTTTGTCAGTTCTAATTGGTAGAGTTGCCACATCGTTTCGATAAAAAGTCAGCTGATGCAACCAGTGTGACCATAAGACAGAAGCATATGCAAGATTTTTCGCTGCCAAGCCGGTTAAGTCCTAGGGGGTTCGACCTGGGCAACTAAAGCAATTAAGAAAACTGCATTAAAGAAAACTGCATTTTTAAGTGAGAAAGCATTGGAATTTGTGCGCATCGCTTCATTAACATTAAAATGAGCATGGCACCCGTTCTAGTCATACAATTAGTTCGATTAAATACTCCACGTGCTTCCTTCAACACACTTGCTAACCGATTGCGGCGCACATTTGCATTGGGTAATCAGTCGCTGCCATTGGCGTCGCCTTTGCATGTCCGTTCGCTATCATCGAGTGCTTCGATACTTACAAACACAGTACGGGTTGCAAGTACGGGCAGAAGATGTTATAGTAATGCCAGTAAGTAGTTTGTTTTTACTCTAACCCAATTGATTACTCAACACTTAATACACGATTGGCACAGAGGAACCACCGACTGGAGCATCAGAATCAACATCGCCATTGCTTTCAAAACTTTTTCCACAAACTTCGCCCGATGCCGACAGCAATGCCGAACAGGAGCGTAAGAAGCGTGAGGAGGATGAAGCCAAGGAGAATGAGCGCGCTTGGAAGCGCATGAAATTGGGGTAAGACTAATCAACTTAACCTGCTTAAAACTGAACCATCACTATAACATTTCCTTATAATATGCCTATTAGTTTTGCCATTTTTGGAGGCGGCGGCATTGCCACTGTACTTTGGGGCATATATAAGTTTGGACAGCCTGAAGTGGATGCAGAAGGTCAGACAATTGAGGATGAGTTTACAAACAAGCCACTGGTACAACAGTATTTGCAGCGTATGTGGAAATCGCTGCATTACTATCAAAAAATGATTCAGGAACCGTCGCGTGCTAAACTATTACCAGACCCGCTAAAGTATCCATATGTGCAGCCGCGCTATACGCTCGTGCTAGAGATGAAGGATGTGCTGGTGCATCCAGATTGGACATATAAGACTGGCTGGCGCTTCAAGAAGCGCCCCGGAGTCGATCGCTTCCTGCAGGAGTGCGCCAAAGACTTTGAAATTGTCGTGTTTACTGCCGAACAGGGTATGACGGTATTTCCAATATTGGACACCCTCGATCCCAATGGCTACATTATGTACCGCTTGGTGCGCGATGCCACTCACTTTGTTGATGGGCATCATGTCAAAAATCTGGACAATTTAAATCGAGACCTGAGACGCGTAAGTCTTGCCACTTAAACTCTAGCTACTTTATCCTATTAAAAATTTGATTTTGTTTCAGGTTATTGTAGTTGACTGGGATGAAAATGCCACTAAAATGCATCCCGACAACACTTTTGGAATTGCTCGCTGGCATGGAAACGACGATGATAAGCAACTACTTCATTTGATAGCCTTTTTGAAGAGTAAGCCGAACATAAAACATTTAAACACTTAGTTAATCATGAAAATCATCTTTGTCTGTTGCAGTCATAGCGCAAAATGATGTGGACGATGTGCGAGAAGTTTTACATTATTATCGGCAGTTTGAGGACCCTATTAGTCAGTTTAGGGAAAACCAACGTAAGCTGGCAGAGCAGATGCAGGAAGCTGAACGTATCGAACAGGCGAAGGCTAAGCCGATGGTCAAACAATGGTCACGCAGCATTTTGGGGCGCTAACTGATGTTCCATTGATGCTGCTATTTCCGTCGCTGGTCGCACCACGCTAACCCACACAAAAGCCATAGTCTATTTATACAGCAGCTTTATCCAGTTACAAACTATATATACATACACCCAAATTCCAATTCCTTATGATTTAATGAAGAGCATGGCCATATTGAGGGAGGCGTCGACAAAAACCCCAATCCGAGTGCTGCTGGAATAATGGCAAATGTAAAAGTTCTTGCGTGTAAGCTAAATGCACTTTATTCTTTTATACACAACAAAACAAAATATTAAGCAGTTGTTTTATTAATCTTTTTCTTTACGTTCCCTAGTTTTATTTTATTTTTACTTTTTTTTTGCAATGTAATTATCGAAAGATGCTATTATTTTAATATGAATAAAAATGATTAACATCTAACTATAATATATTCTTAAAGCAAATCCACCAGACATATAATATAATTTATTTTACAGGTAACTAGTTCTTAGTGTTTGCTTTCAAACAATTTTATTGTAACACAAGCAGAAATGCATTTTCGCTTATCGATAAGTTTCTAAAGCATTGCGAAAAGTATTTGAATTTTTGCGGGTTCTTAGTTTAGCGTCATTTGAGACTGTTGTAAGTACTCAGATGCATATGTATATTTACATTTAAATGTGTGTTTTCTGTACTCCACTCCAGAATGGAGGAGCATGCGCTATGCTTGCTTTCCTTTTGTAAATGTCAAAGTTGAACTCTATATCACTGGATACAATAGATTACAGAATACATGGACAAAAGACAGCACTAGTATGCGTGCTTGTTTGTTTGCTGGCTGATTTTCTTGTTTCCGCAGAAACGACGCAACAACGTCATGAACGTATGTTTATGTTGATGGAGTTCCCGTGGCTGCTTATTGTACACGTCTTAATATGTTTGTATATACATATGTATGTACGTAAATAGCTATGCAAATAATTCATTATCTAGTCACTTTTTGCAAAACCATATTAGCGTATATGCACATTTCTAAGTGGGATGCTTGGCAGTCCAGCGCGACCTTTACGTCAGCTATTTGCCCCAAGCCATCAACAACCCCCCTTTTAAAATAGACGCCAACGGGAATGATTTGTTCTCTATCTGTATCTCTCTCTCTCTCTCTCTCTCTGCCTCTCGATAAACAAGGACGTCGGCACCTGAGTTACGTAGATGTAAGCGTGAATGACATTTAATAGCAAAATCTAATTTGCAAACCCCTTTCGTGAATTCCCGTTGCCTACGGCCACTTGCCATAAAACTTCGTATTTGCTCGGATTCCGTACTTTCAGACTCGATCAACAAAGACAAGGAACTCCACAATCACTACGCGTCAAGCGTACGGCCGAGATGGTCGATTCTGAAATTAAGTGCCACTGTGCACAATTTGTAAGCTTACTCTCTGTTTTCCGTTCTCTCAAACGTGTATTTACATGTATTTGTATGTGTGCCAAGTAGCAGTGCACAAAAATTGAAATTTGTTTACTGAGAGGTCCCGTTTCTTCCCTTTTCAGAGGAGAGTTTAGCAAAATCATGAGAGCGTTTGCCACGCTTATAGAACATTTTAATATTTTCATATCCATTTATATACATATAAATTTCATGCAGATTTTATTCTTTTCATAATTGGCTTTATGGATCGAGCCTGGAAGTAAGGAACATGACCATTTTATGAGCTGAGGAAGTTTGTTCTCGACACAAGTGAGCTAAGACATAAGTGAGAGCGTTGTGCTTACGTTCAGACGCTTTCTCGCACGTTTTCTCTGCTTTGATCAAATCTTACGGGCGTTCTGGGATACATTAGCCAAATTCGTTCACTATCACAAAATGCACACATATAACTGAATTATATGCACCCATAAATATTAAAAAATAAGAAAACCATAAAAAAATGTCAACGAATCGTTTTTGTTAATATTTTATGGTGCCATTAAATGTATTGACTATTTGCGTAATAAACATTTTGTATATCAAATAAAAACGGTTTCGCGGAGTATTTTAAATTTAAAATTATTATATTTACTTTTATCTGATTCATTACTATAGTAATGTTTTTTTATTTAAATATATATGAATTACCGAGCTGAAGCCATAGCTGTATTTTCTGGAATACCCATGAGTTCCATCTTTCTCTCTCTCTCTTTTTTCTGTAAATCAGCTTGTTGGCGCTTCTGCTTCTGCTGCTGCTGCTGCTGCTTTTCAGCTGGTTCTGTTTCGTTTTCGTTTTTAGTTCAAAAGCGAACGCGGACGTGAGTCGGTCGTCGCAGCCGTCGCTCGCAACGCCTACGCTTTCGTTCCCTGTGTGCGTTTTGTGATTGCAAAAAGCAGCAGCAGCAAAAGGCAAGAAAACTTAATAAAAACAAATTTTCTTCTCGCGTGTGTGGATTTTTGCTAAGCAGCGCGTTAAAAACAGTTTTTGTAAAAAGCGTTTTCGTGATTGCTGTTTTCTTTTTAATTTCTGTTTTATTTTATTTGTTTTATATTGATGGTGTATATATATATTGTTTTTAATCGCGCACAGCTGCTGGCAATAGATATGTGAGTTCTCAAAATATGCATCAGTAGTATGTTTTTTGTTTTGTTTTTCCTGTGCTGTGTTATTATTGTAAAATTGTTGCAATCAAATTAAAGAAATGCGTAAAATAGTAAGGATAACGATACTGTGTGCTGCAGTGTGCTGATGGGTGGGTGGTTGTTTGGTTGTGAGCACGTAAACGTAAATGCGTAAGCTCAGACCCTGGACTAGAGCTTTGCTCTCTCCAGCTCCCAAGGTTTCTATCTCAGCACCAACAACAACAATAACTACTACAAGGCATGCAACACCAGCACGCACACGCACACAAGCTTGTGTCATGCGTATATATGCAATACACATGCGTATATATGCACTACACATGAGTATGTATGCGTGCGTGCGTGCGTGCATGTACATACATATGTGTGTGATAAGAATTTTCTACTAGATTATGGCATTTAAATTTTCTGCTTAGCTTTTCCAGCCCAATTTTTCAAGTTCTTTGCGTGACTAGACGACCTCACACATCCGTGTGATTTGATTTAAGCTCCCAAAACGAGGCACAGCTAAAATTTAATGTTTTGTGGCTCCCAGTTGTATCATTGAAATGTTCTCTTGTGCTTGTGCCCGTGATTTTTCTGTTGTTGATATTTTTGCTCGTTCACGAAATGAAAGAGAACATATTGGTTGTGTCTATTACCCACCTCGTGCTGTCGGTCCATATATAGTCACTTCATAAGCTCCACTAAACATAATTTACTAAATTAGAAAATAGTAGTTTGTTGAAAATAAATCTGTTTTGGCACAACTGAACAACTGTTTTGCAGTAAATGGCGCCTGACTAAAGCGTTCTTACTTGATTTTTTGTTTTTGTCTTGTGGTTGGCTGCTTTGAGCCTAAGGCTAAATTATGTATAATGAGTGCGTACGCATGGACTAGGTTGTTGGTTGTTGTTGTTGTTGGCTGCTGCTGCTGCTGTAGCTGGTATATTTATAAATTATTAATAAACATAAAGCGCGCTACAGGTGTGCACAGAGAGCGAGTGCTCGACCTCTGCGAGTAACACACGTATATGTAATTGTATTTGCGTGTCTTTGCCTCTATCTTTTATTAGTTACTGCACGCTTCTGAGTGTGTGTGTGTGTGTGTGTGTGTCTGTGTGAGTGTCAAAGTCTTGTCCAGTTTTTGTTGCTGCTGCATACACCGTTAACCTTTGTATTTTGCAATGACTTTACCACCACCGCGTTATGCTTGTGTGTGCAAATTCGGCTTATCTCTCTCGTATACATATGCAAGCAGTACGAAATGCAACAGCACACTTAATGATCACCCATACATAAGAAAACTCTCTTTCTGCTGCTTCTTCTCCTTCTTGTTCTTTCTTGAAAGCGCGCTAAGTTACTCACACTCCTGTAGTGTAGCTGTTTTAGCTCTTTCTCTCTATGTCTCTCTACCTTTCATTATTTTACTTCCGGGGCTTTCACGTTCAATTATTTCTGCCTCAATGGTCGGCGGCAATACGGGAACGCAGCGCTTATTGCCATTTGTGCTTTTCGGGGTTTCTTCACTTTTTTTTACATTTGTTTGCGTCCAATTACTGTGGCAATTTATTCATCAAGCAGCAAAGCGTGCAAACAATAACATAATCAGACATTAAAAGCGAGGCCCAGCAGCAAGTTGGTAATTTTTTCTTTTTTTACCACTTCTGCTTTTTCATTCTGTCCTGTGACTGCGACTGTATAAGCGCATTACGTGCATTTTTATTCTGTTGTTTGTTTGTTTCTTTTTACCGTTGCTATGCAAACTTTGTTGTCACACACCTTATAATATTTTCAGTTTATTTTTCTGCTGCCTCCCAAACTTCCCGCTGCGAACTCTTCCAACCGCTTGACACACGCTTGATCGTCATAAAATAAACTGTAGAATGACAGACAGGCTATAAACACGACCCGCTCTCATGTTACGTGCAAAGTGCACAGATTTATACATGGCAAAATAACTAGTACATATGTATGTATGTAAGTGTGTGTACGCGTATGTCTGCCTGTGTGTGTGTGCACATATTTATTTACTCAATTTGCTGCTTTCCTTTATAACGGGGCATAAGCAGACATCTGTTCTGATATCTGCTAAGATAAATTGGCGAATTTTTGATTTCTGCTCTTTAATAGCACATAATAAGATTTCTTATCGTGCATATATATCAATTAGACAATATCGCTTGACAAATTTATATACTTTTGTTGAAGAACAATTCGCTAAACTTTTGTTAGCGACTCTAAGCTAATTTCTAGATCGAAACGCGCACAGAAATATGAAAATCTTTTTAGCTCCGATTTTTTATCGACTTGTGCTAATTTGATCACTTATCACTGGAAGAACTAAACTTAATTTTTATTAAGTTGCCATCAATATTATAATCTAATGAATCTTGAGATCTATTTTGAAATATGCTGTGTGTGTATACATTTATGTGTATATGTATAGCTTATGTGTATCTATTTTCCTCCCTAATGCCTTCTTCCATTCTGTCACTGTCGTCGTCCCTCATAATTATTGATTACTGCTTTTGTGCCTCCTTTCAGTGGGCACACGTCCAACACATGATGTCTGCGGCGGGGGCAGCGGGTGTGGGCGTGTGCCTGATGGACAGTTATATTATGTGGGTGCTCAAAGGCAATGGCAAAGGCAATGGCAAAGGGAAATGCAAAGCAAGACAACATTGTCAATCATGAAATGTCATTAATTAAGTTCCAATTGCCAGAGACAGCCGTAAAGTGGCCTGCAGGCAAGGCTAAGTTCATTACGTGAATAGCCTTTGGTATCGATAACTATATGAATATATATATAATATATCTACACACATGGCACACTTGCAAGACCAAATGTACTCAATTTACATTCTGAGACATATGTAAAGTTATCCAATCATTACACTATACTTTTTCGTAGAATTTTCCATTACAATATTTCGTTTACCTTAACAAAAAGCTCTCTGGATGCATGATCTAATGCTATATCAATGAAAATGATCAGAAAAAATAGGCATATTTTAGTTTCTGATTTAAGAACGCTTAAAACCCTGGGAAATTTATACTCTCGGTTCTCACTTTACGGCATGGCAAAAACATTTTAAACTTATGCAATCCAAGAATATATAAAAATTCAAGTTAAGAGTCTAGCTTTATATCATACTTTCGTTTTAATTAAATTAATTATCAGACATGATACGATGAAATTTATATGAACATTTTATATATGCTCGTTGCCGCAGTGGAGCTGTGTAGCTTTATAGGTGGGGCCCAAACGGTTTCATATTACAGTTACACACTGACAAGCGCATGATGCCACGCCACCGTCCCCTGCCCCGTGCCCCCGCTTTGAATGTGGCTTAAAATAAATAATTGATTATCCGCTTAGTTGTTCTAGCTAAACTAGATCGTGTAGCTACTTGTGAATCGATACAACAGCTATAAATATATCGTATATCGTTAATCGTTTGCTGCTTCGTAATCTTTATGGAACCCTTAAAAAGAATTACTTTTGAATTTACAATAATTTTTGTACTTCTTATCGACAAATGAGTCTAGTGCAAATTTTGCTTAGACATTGACCGAAAAAAATAAAAAAAAAAACAACAAAATCGTATTAAGCTATGACTTTACGGCGCCAGAGGTTAAGTTCACTTTAACAGTTTTTAGTTTTCAGTTTTCTGTCGAAACATTTATTTCGCTGATATTTCAGGTATTTCAATTGTCTAGACCATAAGCCATCCCATAAATCGCAATCGTTGTTTACAGTTTTATCTTTATTGGCCTAGTTAGCGAAACCATTTAATGCATAGCTAAGCATTTGACTCAACTAATGAATTACCATGGTGATCAGTGTGCTAAGCTGTTTTTGTCAGAGCGATTACACTAGAGAAAACATATGTGCAGCAAGTGATTTATAACTCGATCATTCGTGTCTAACGGTGAATAATTATAGCTGGTATTATGTCTAAGTCGAAGTGAGTGAAGAAGTTAGCCAGAGTCAGTAAGAGCTTGTCTGTTCGTCAATTCGCCTGCTTATCGATAGTGTGCGTAATTGATCGATAACTTTCGCTGCTGCTGACGCACATTTTCTACAGGGTATCCAGCTTCGAGCACGCTTACTTGCTTTCTTTGTTTATCGAGTAGGTCAAGCGGCGACAGCCACAGCCAGGGGAGGGCAGCTTACGTTCTTTGTTTTTGTACCGTTGTCGGTAGTCAACAATAAATCCAATTAGCAAAGCGGTTCAAGGTAACAGCACAAAAAATTATGCACGATAAACCAAATTCGCTTCAAGTGATGCTCTTGCTATACCCTGTAGACAAAGCGATTTTCTAGCAATTGGGTATAATGAAATGAGAATGAATTTGAAACAGATAACACTAATTATATATATATATATATATATATATATATATATATATTTATGCACATATATATAGTGTGAATAATTGAATAATAAATTTCTGTCAATTCTAGTGCAGCGTTAGGTCAGGTCGAGCCGTTTTCACCACGCTTTCCATTATATATTGTGACCTTTTACCATAGATTTTCAATTCTCATTTTCATTGTGCTTCGTTAGCTCTGATGGACAGCGCAAAGTGTTCCGTCTGACAGTCAGATTGTGCGGCAGTTGGACGCTTTGCTTTCTCCTTGGACGGAACATTAAGCGAAATGGTAATTTACATTTTAAAGCTCGCTTCGTGAAGCGCACATATTGCTGCACATTACACGGAAGCCATAACAATTAGCTAAGGCAATGGCCACATATATATATACCCCTAGGCCACAGCGCCTCGCAGCCCCAGGCCAAAAATTTAATCCAACCTTGCCACATTTTCAGGTCATAGACGCCACCAACGCCTCAGCCATGCGCAGCACAAACATCAGTGGCAACAACAATAGCCAGCATTATAATAATAACAACATCAGCAGCAGCAGCGGCAGCAGCTTCAACAACAACAACGACCGATGATTGCCTGAAGCGAACAGAAATCCATCAGAAAACGACAGAAAGCCAGCTTAAGCGAGAGCAGTTAAGAATAACCCCGCCGTAATACACCAAAGACGCTGACCAAAACCAAAATAAATATATAGAAAAAAGCATCCAAATATGCTGATCAAGGAGTACCGCATACCACTGCCCCTCACCGTCGAGGAGTACCGGATCGCCCAGCTGTATATGATAGCGGTAAGCCTCTCGACCTGCACAATGTAGACAGCACATGAGATTGATCTATCCGAGATGAAGAAACCAACCATAAATTACGAGTAATATTATTGATATAGACACTATGAATCGGTATTTGTATTAATAGTAGAATGATTAGTGATGGCATTAGTATTGGTATATAGGTGTTAGCTTTAGCATCAGCATTGACATTAGCTTTAGCATTAGCCTTAGACCTTGGGTTAGCATTATCATTAACATTATACTTAGCATTAGCATCAGCATTGTCTTTATCATTAGCATTAGCATTAGTATTAGCATTAACATTAGCATTAGCATTAGCATTAGCATTAGCATTAGCATTAGCATTAGCATTAGCATTAGCATTAGCATTAGCATAAGCATAAGCATTAGCATTAGCATTAGCATTAGCATTGGCTTTAGCATTAGCATTAGCATTAGCATTAGCATTAGCATTAGCATTAGCATTAGCATTAGCATAAGCATAAGCATTAGCATTAGCATTAGCATTAACATTGCCATTAGCATTAGCATTAGCATTAGCATTGGCATTAGCATTAGCGTTAGTATTATCATTAGCATTAGCATTAGCATTAGCATTAGCATTAGCATTAGCATTAGCATTAGCATTGGCATTAGCATTAGCATTAGCATTGGCTTTAGCATTAGCATTAGCATTAGCATTGGCATTAGCATTAGCATTAGCATTGGCTTTAGCATTAGCATTAGCATTAGCATTAGCATTAGCATTGGCATTAGCATTAGCATTAGCATTAACATTGGCATTAGCATATATATTATTATATTATATATTCACATATAGAATTAGTATTATCATCAGTAATATCTTAACTTATCTTTCGAGAATTGAATTCAAATTGTTAAATTGTCTTTGACATATGTTAAATTCAAAGAAACGCAGTAGATACTTTTATATATAAATACCTATTATATATAAATACCTCTTGCAAAGTTACTTTCGGGCTGCATATTAATTTCTAATCTCTATTGAAAATGTCCTTTCCAAAGGAATTAATTTAGGTTAAGAAATGATGATCCAAATGATATATATAGCTAAATCTAATAATATTAAATCTGTCACATTTTCTACACACAGAAAAAGAGCCGAGAGGAAAGCCATGGCGAAGGTAGTGGAGTGGAAATCATAATCAATGAGCCCTACAAAGATGGACCCGGCGGCAATGGGCAGTACACGAAGAAGATATATCACGTGGGCAGTCACTTGCCAGGCTGGATAAAAAGTAAGTGAGCTTGGCATAATGAATAGAATATATATATATATATTTAAATATCTATGATCGATATATGTATCGATATCGATATGTGTTCAGCTCTGTTCATAAAAATAGTAGTGCCGCACTTTTTGTTAAGATAGAATTGGAATAGAGTAGAAAGCAGGAAATTACAAAAAAGTCCCGTTACTTTCAGTCAAAATGAATTGGTATTTGGCGATTTTAGAGTAAGCATTGTATATCAGGCGTTCATAGGAATAGTACTGCTGAATATGTGAAGTGGAAAAGATCAAATAGATTATAAAAAAATAAAGACTTAATTAATTTTATTTAATTTTGATATATTCTTCTAATTTAATTTGATTTGATCTATATTTTCAAATAGTTTTTCTCGCCGAGCGAGTCTGTAGGACGATTAGAACTTGAATCGTTGTCAGTTTGTCAATCGATAATCGATTTTTGTTATCGATTTTTTGCATAGTCAATAAAATACTATATATACTATATAGACTTCCCAGTCTTGGAGTAATGTATATAATTTTCTTTTTTCGCTGCAGGCTTATTACCAAAGAGCGCACTCACCGTTGAGGAGGAGGCATGGAATGCCTATCCTTATACGCGCACACGCTACACCTGTCCCTTCGTGGAGAAGTTCTCGTTGGACATTGAGACCTATTACCATCCAGACAATGGCTACCAGGACAATGTGTTTCAGCTGTCTGGCAGCGATTTGCGCAATCGCGTTGTGGGTGAGTCTCCCAAATGTGGCTGAGCTTAAAGCGCTTGATTTGTTAACGGTTCGGCTACTTGTTATTATGTTTGGACAGATGTGATCGATATTGTCAAGGATCAGCTATGGGGCGGCGATTATGTGAAGGAGGAGGATCCCAAGCATTTTGTATCAGATAAGACGGGACGTGGCCCGCTGGGCGATGATTGGCTGGAGGAGTATTGGCGCGAGGTGAAGGGCAAGAAGCAGCCAACGCCCCGCAACATGTCCCTGATGACTGCCTATAAGATCTGTCGCGTCGAATTCCGCTATTGGGGCATGCAAACCAAACTGGAGAAGTTCATACACGACGTGGCGCTGCGGAAGACCATGCTGCGGGCCCATCGCCAGGCCTGGGCGTGGCAAGACGAATGGCACGGGCTCACCATTGAGGATATACGCGAACTGGAGCGTCAAACGCAGCTGGCTCTAGCCAAGAAAATGGGCAGCGGCGAGGAGTGCAGTGATGGTAAGCAAATGCCTGTCAACAGACTATCGATCAGTCCTTTGAACCCATCTCATCTCATCTTTGATGCCAACAGACAGCACGTCGGAGCCATATGTGAGCAGCGCAACAGCGGCCCCAGCACTGGGCATGAGTGAGCGTAAGAAATCTGCGCCGGCTGTGCCGCCGATTGTTACCCAGCAGCCGCCGAGCGCCGAGGGCAGCTCTGATGAGGATGACGATGACGACGATGAGGAGGATGAGAATGATGGCATGGGCACCAACGTCGAGCTGGGTGCCCAGAGCAGTGCCAATCAACGCTCCCGCTCCCAAAGCATTCAATTAGCCAACAAGGGCAAGTTCGGCTCAAAGGGCGCCCTGCATTCCCCAGTGGGATCGGCGCACAGCTTCGACCTGCAGGTGAGAGGCGCCAGAGCAGCTAATATCCAACTGACCCTGCACTCGCAGAGCAGCTACTGTCCATTGACTCGTCCTGCATCAATGCCGTCTCTCCTGTACTCTGTGTATTTTTATCAATGTTTCGGATGGATGCTTTTTTCCTGTCTTGATTGCCGGGCAACACGTTCGTTGTCAACATTTGTGTATAAACATCTCATTTGTTTATAAACATTGTGTCTCGCTGCTGACTCGCCAAATTTCACTTTCATTCATGTCATCCGTCCGCCGTATACCTCACATGTGCACATAGAACCAATCGTGCCAATTGAAATCCAATATTTGTATATATTTCAATAATGAAACACATTAGTCATGACGTTTTGCCTTCTGTTCGAATTGAATTGAATTGATTAAAATCTGTAATATTTTGGTTTATTAGTTTTACGATGTATTTATATCAATAGCTTAATCAAAAACTCCATCTATATGTTTCTGTGTATATATCCTTTGTGTGTGTCTGTGTGTGTGTTCTACCATATAAATAATCTTTGATTTGCTCTTGTCATACAAAATAAAATCCAACAACCACCACAAAACACTCAACACCGAATACCGATTAACGTATCTGAAACCAACCCGATATTGAGCAGTCCAAAAAAGCGCATGCAAAGCCAGCAGCACGCCGACATGTAAGTTGCGATCCAGCTCCGCCATTTAGGACCCTAGTCGACCACGATAGCAGCTCGAATATGCCATTGACAATTGTGCAGCTATTAATGAGATCTGTTTGTGCATTCATAGGTGGCCAATTGGCGCATGGAGCGTCTGGAAGTGGACTCGAAGTCGAACTCAGACGAAGAGTTCTTCGATTGTTTGGGTGAGTGTGACGCCTGTCCGATGCCTCTGTGTGCACCACTCAACTAATCGTTGCGACTTGCAGACACAAATGAAACGAACTCGTTGGCCAAATGGAGCTCACTGGAGCTGTTGGGCGAGGGCGATGATAGTCCGCCCCCGCATGGCGGCAGTTCCAGTGGCAGCGGCGGTGCTGGCGGCGTAGCCGGACGCCACAAGCAGGAGGATAGCATATTCAATCAGGACTTTCTTATGCGCGTCGCCTCGGAGCGGGGCAACAAGCGGCAGCTGCGCTCATCGGCCAGCATCGATCGCAGTCACGACTCATCGCCACCGGGCTCACCGAGCACGCCCTCTTGCCCCACAACAATACTGATGCTGGTGGTGCACGCTGGCAGCGTTTTGGATGCGGCCAGCGAGCTGACCGCCAAGAAATCGGATGTGACGACATTCAAGGGCTCCTTTGAGGCCGTCATGCGCCAGCACTACCCCAGCCTCTTGACGCACATGACTATTAAAATGGTGCCATGTCCCTCAATTTGCACGGATGCACTGGGTATCTTGTCCAGCCTCAGTCCGTATTCGTTTGACGCGTCGCCATCGGCAGCGGATATACCCAATATAGCGGACGTGCCGATTGGAGCTATACCGTTGCTGGCAGTGGCTTCTCCAGAATTCCAGGAGACGGTGAACAAGACAGTGGCCGCTGCCAACATTGTCTATCATGAGTTCCTTAAGTCCGAGGAGGGCCACGGCTTCTCCGGCCAAATAGTCATGCTGGGCGACTCCATGGGCTCGCTACTGGCCTATGAGACACTGTGTCGCTCCAATGGCAGCCAGTCAACTGCAGGCAATCCATCGCAAGCAGCCGGCCACAGCCAAGCCGGCGGTGGCACTGGCGATTGTAGTCGCATGTCGCGCATGGATGACGATGAGCGTTTCATTGATTCAGATTTGGATGCGAAACGCTTGCTTGTGGCGCCATCGCCGCGACGCCGTCGGTCCAGTTCCTCCAGCGATTCGCGTGCCACCAAACTGGACTTTGAGGTCAGCGACTTTTTTATGTTTGGCTCGCCGCTCTCTGTGGTCCTGGCCGCACGGAAACTGCACGACGCGAAGGCGGCGCTGGCTCGTCCTAATTGTCATCAGGTTTACAATCTGTTCCATCCAACTGATCCAATCGCCTCACGTCTGGAGCCCCTGCTAAGCGCACGCTTCTCCATACTCTCGCCGGTCAATGTGCCGCGCTATGCCAAATATCCGCTGGGCAATGGGCAGCCGCTGCATTTATGTAAGTGGGGCTCACACGAACTACAGTCAGGCATGATCTCATATACCTCTCTCTGTCTCTCTCTCTCCCTCCGTCTCACTCTTTGCTATGCAGTGGAAGTAATACAATCGCATCCGCAGCATTTTAACGATGGCAACAATTTGCTTTCAGCTGGCCGGCGCCTATCGGATGCATCTATGCAGAGCACCATCTCAGGTCTCATTGAGAACGTTTCGCTCAGCACCATACACTCACGTAAGGCCAACTTCATTGAACTGCCCAAAGGCGCTTAGCTGATATCAACAACTTTCCGCCGATTACAGTTCAGAACAAATGGTGGGGCACAAAGCGTTTGGACTATGCACTCTACTGCCCCGAGGGGCTGAGCAATTTCCCGGCACATGCTCTACCGCATCTGTTCCATGCCAGCTACTGGGAGAGTCCCGATGTGATTGCCTTCATACTGCGTCAAATTGGTAAATTCGAGGGTATACCGTTTGTGGGCTCGAACGATGACAAGGACAACGCTTCGTTCCATCCGGGACAGCCGCGCGAGAAGTGGATTAAGAAGCGCACATCCGTCAAGCTCAAGAATGTGGCAGCTAATCATCGGGCCAACGATGTCATCGTGCAGGAGGGGCGTGAGCAGCGATTGAATGCACGATTCATGTACGGACCGCTGGATATGATAACGCTGCACGGCGAGAAGGTGGACGTGCACATCATGAAGGATCCGCCGGCGGGCGAATGGACATTCCTTAGCACCGAAATGACCGACAAAAATGGACGCATCTCCTACAGCATTCCCGACCATTTGTCCCTGGGCTATGGCATCTATCCGGTCAAGATGGTGGTGCGTGGCGATCACACATCCGTCGATTGCTATATGGCTGTGGTGCCGCCGCTGACCGAGTGTGTCGTGTTCAGCATTGATGGCTCCTTCACGGCATCCATGTCGGTGACTGGGCGGGATCCAAAGGTGCGCGCAGGCGCCGTTGATGTTTGCCGCCATTGGCAGGAGCTGGGCTATCTGCTAATCTACATTACCGGACGGCCGGACATGCAACAGCAGCGCGTTGTCTCCTGGCTCAGCCAGCACAATTTTCCCCACGGCCTAATTTCGTTCGCCGATGGCCTCTCCACCGATCCGCTGGGCCACAAGACCGCCTATCTGAATAATCTCGTGCAAAACCACGGAATCTCAATTACCGCCGCATACGGCAGCAGCAAGGATATTAGCGTTTACACCAATGTGGGCATGCGGCCGGAACAGATCTTTATTGTTGGCAAGGTATATACCGTATTCCTCCAACCGAGTGCTTAGTCAGCCTCTGATACCTGGTTATAAGCAAGATAATAATCAATCCGCTCTTAAAGGTGGGCAAGAAGCTGCAATCGAATGCCACGGTGCTCAGCGAGGGCTATGCTGCCCACCTGGCTGGTCTTCAGGCAGTCGGTGGCTCCCGTCCGGCTAAGGGTAATGCGCGTATGGTCATTCCACGTGGCTGCTTCAATCTGCCTGGACAGTCGGCAAATCCGCGCCGCAGAAGGTAGGTCTCCCTGTTGCTCCGCGCTGCAGGTTCGATGGCGGCACGAGACTCCCTGGCAGCTGCTGTTCGAGTCTTGTGTCATCGCTCGATGTAAATTGTACATATGTATGTGTATGTGTATGTGTTAGTGTTAATCGGCAAATAATTTTAGAGAGTATATTGTATTCTAAGCATTTGGTGTTTTGTGCATCTTTATCTTAAGTTGTTTGTTAACTATTTTGTTTGCTTACGCTTTCGTTGGATCGTTAACTTCATAATTACTGTCCCATGTTTGAGCTGCTGAAGCGGCGCATGCTCAGCCAGTGTCATCCGTCCAGTGCTGCGCTAACCGTCTATAAATCTATGTATGTGTGCCCGGTACACCAATAACGCATTCGTCCTGGCCATGTGAAAAGCCGTTTGTAATCAAATTAGCTAACTTTATTTGAGCTAAGCTCGCACTCTCTCTCTTCGGAGTCACCTAATCATGCATCATGTCTCCTTCCAAATGCCCCGCCACAAACACCATCCAACATCCATCGATGAGCAGCAATGCGTTCGAGGTGCAACAGCTGCCCGCCACGCCCAACAGCAACAGCCTTGGCCAGCTGAACGAGGGCAAAGAGTTTGAGTTTGACGCACCGGGACTGGGACTTGGCTGACTCATCAGCTTTATCTGATACCTGGCCAACGTCGTCGGCCCCGCTGCCCCTGTCCAACCGTCCTTATGCGAGCAGCAGACACAAAACTTTGCCTAGTCGACCAAAAAAAAAAAACAAAAGAAGAAAAAAACAAGTATTTTATTTTGTTATTATTATCATTGATTTAGCTCCTAAGTTATTGATAATTGAAATGCCGTATTATCATATGCTAAGTTCTAGTATTATATTGTTCTTATTTTGATAAATGTATATGTATATCTATATATGTATTTATTAGTGCTTTTCATATTGTATTATTTGGATTGATATTATTGTTATTGTAATTAATGCGAACAAAACTAAAAAGAAGTAAACCAGAGACAAAATCTAGCCAAAAAGCAACAAGCACACATACGTATACGTGTATTTAAACACAGACTATATACCACAGATATATATAAATATATATATGTACAATAAAAATGCTTAGTATTTATATACATATGTATATTTCATAGAATATAATTTCGAATTGTATCTTTTCTTTGATTTTTCTTGATTTTGATAATCAACGCTTAAACCGCTTACCACCACACGTCACGCCTACCCCTTCGCCGTTGATGCGATTTGCACACACACACACACACCCACCCACCAACACATACACTAACTCACGAACTCAATCCCCAATGAAATATTTTTATATATATGTGAATGTGTGTGTATATCAATACAGGCTGCATGAACAAGCAACGAACGAAGTTTAAATCGTTTACCAACACTGTAGATACGCAACACCGTGATGCATTAGAAAAACCGTTATAAAACCAAACACGAAAAAGAAAGAGACAAGAAAAAAAGAAGAAGACAACATCGAATGCAAATTTGGTGTTTAGTGTTTATAAATTAATTTCTTTAGTTGAGTTGATTTGTTTGATATGCTTTTAATGCATTTTAGACGAGCATTGTGTTATTCTGTGTTGTGGCAGCAAACAAAAAAAAACGATATGGAAATAAAACAGAATATATTTATAGCTACAATTGGAAAAACACTATCAACTGAAATCTTTCTCAACTTTTCCTCTGTCTCTTTTTTCACAAAAACAAAAATAAATCCCTCCAAAAATTTTAACTGAAAACATTTTTGCATCAAATCTACATAAAAACCCTACACACACACGTACACACAACACGCCACAAATCCATCATCAACATCGTCTCGAATGTGCAGCAATGAGACGGGCCTATCGTCGCCGATACGCAGTGGCTACCTAAAACGCAAAACCTACTTGAGCCATCACTAAATCGATCACAGCAGGAGCAACTTAACAGATAGCGTCATAATAGACAAATGAAAGAGCGAAAGAGAGCGAGAGCGACAGCTAGAAGATATGTGTGCGTGATGAGTATTGCATTTTAGTTTATAGCATATCGATATGCAAAGCTATCGATTAATATAACGCAACCAGCAACTCCCACAAATACAAGCCATGCAACTTGCAATCAACTATATTTATATAATAACATATATCTATATATATATGTATAAACGAACATATACCTATCAAACAAAACGCTTCGAACATGTTTAGATGGCATCTAAAGATACTATTGGATCAGCATTAGTTGCAGTTTAACAACAAAAACAACAATAATAAAAACAAGAACAACAACAACAACATCTCAGCATCGATTGCCACCATATACCACATCTGTGTATATACATAAAGCCCGTTATATTATGCGCCATGTAAAGCAAACTACATATATGCTGTATATACAATATACAAAATACAATATGTAAAAAGAAAAAAACCAAAAAAAGATAAAAAAAACCAAATCAATTGTACAACATATAACAAAAGTCAAATGTGTCACGCGGTGAGTAGATAATCGATTTCAGTTAGCTGCAATTACCGTTATTTAAAGCATCAAATCGATAATAGATATTACGTATAGCTTATGAGAAAACTTTTTAGCTTGCATACACAAATGAATTGGACTTAATCAAAATCAGAGAATTAGTCTAGTTCAGTTAGATCAAGAATCATCAGTATATATACCGTTAGTTTGTTCCGCAAAAATGTTTAATTGTAGCTCAAGATATGTTTACAAATGAAAAAGATTTGCCGAACAACAATTAGTTATCGATTAAATTCCTTATCGATAACTAGAGATCTGCTTTTTAGTTTGATAATGGAAACCTTATGTTTATGTTAAGATCAATAAAGATATACCCGAACTAAGAAGTAAATATATGTAGAGGCAGATGAACTATGATGATCAATTAGATATATATATGGAATCGTATATACTTCAGAAAAAATGAAATTTGTATTTTCCCAAGAGAATTGGAATTTATGTCAATTACTTTAATTTACTGTTTCAGAAAACAGTTATTCATGGCAGGATTTGATTGGACATTATTGAAAATCAATTATTAATTGTAATTTCTGCTTAAATCTATTTCTCAGGTACCTGGAAAGAAAGACTGTTTCCTCCTGTTGTTTGATGGTTTTTCAAACCACATAAAAATAAAAACCAAAAACAAATCACAAACAAAATTAATGAAAAAAGAAGCAGCTAAACAATATATATATATATACATATATATATATATATATATATATATATATATATATATATATATATATATATATATAAATATATATATATATGCATATATATATATATATATATATATATATATATATATTTATATGCATATACATACATATGTATGTGTGGGCACCTATATGTATGATTCTATGTATGTGAGCTTATATGCTATAATTGTATAACAAAAAAAAAATTATATATATATATATATATATATATATATATATATATATATATATATATATATATATCTATATATATAAATACATAATTACACATATTTACTCATATTTACTCAATGAAACCGTTTAACATATGAAACCAAAAAAAAAAAAAAAAACAAATCGAACAAAGTTCAATAAATGTGGTATAACAAGAAGAAGAAAAAGAAGCAGAGGAAGCGGTAGAGCAAGTTGAATTTTGAGTACAACTAGAGCTATTACGAAGAGATCTCATCCAGTAAACGGCTCAAAGTGGCTGGCAAGGGAAAAAGCGTTGCAAAATCAAATAACAAATTCAATGCATTTCTTAAATCGAACAAAATTATTAGAGAAAAACAAAAAAATATGAAAAATGCTTCCGAAAAAATGTATTAATCGCTCGACAAAGATTCTATTTCTATATATATATATATATATATGTGTGTGTAAAACTAAAAAAAAAATGTTCCCAAATGCAAAAGAAAACAATCCGTTTCTAATTCGAGTCCTTGAGGAAACACCTTAGAAATCTCTCTATAATTGTGATAGTTTGTCTCTACTGCAGATAAAAATAAAAACCCAAAAATGATTAAACAACTATGCAAAAGTAAAACATAAATAAATAAAGTATATATATATACTATATATATATATATGTATTTATAAAAAAAAAAACAAGCAAAATTATCAGCTGCAAAATATTTGTAAAAAACGTTTTTGGAATGCGATTTCGTTAAAAGTTCAGTAGCTGTTAGTGTTATCTCTTGAGCCCTATATATGTGTATATATATATTTTGTTGAGTATAATGCGTATATACCTAAATATGTATGCATGTAGATAAACATGATCTACCTTTAAGCCGGATGCAACAACAGACAAACAAATAAACAACGCTCATTTGTGATAAACAATAATTGAGTAATCATAGTATACATTGATATTGATGACAGAATCTTCAACTAATCCTAAACTCAATGCGACCTGATCAACTGCGAACCATATATATAACCATATATATATATATGTATATATACATTTATATGTATATATAGTATATATTGTCCACACAAATCTAACTAAATTATATAAACTTGCAACACAGCCGGAACATAATGGATCCAAAGATTATGAATGAAAATTAATTTATATATATAGATATATGATATATATATATATACCTACGTTATACCTAAACTTGTATTTAAACGAAATGTGGGAAATGATTGAAAAAAAAAAACAATTAAATACGTTCCTCTATATATATTAAAACTCTAAACAAAATGAAGATATATTTAAATATATATCACATAAGTTCATCCATATTGATATTATCTAGTAATAGACTCTCTCAGTTCACAAATGAACCAGAAAAAAAATGAAAATAATATGATTTTCAAACAAAATTTTCCCAGTTTCCAGTCGAGTTTTCCTTGCTTTTTTAAAAACTCTTTTATAGACTCTTTTATGCTTCGATTCCTATTCTAATTGTGCTTTATAGAGCCTAAAACAATTCTAATTATACTAATAATTTAATAACCCACCATTTAGCTGATAAGTCCCAGCTGAGAAGTCAAACAAAAGAAAAAAGAAAAAATAAATAAAATGTGAAAACAAAAAAAAAAACCAAGCGTTCAACTCGTAATATAATATATACACCATATATATATATATATATATATATATATATATATATATATATATATGTGTGTGTAAATAGCAAAAGTCCAACAATATGCATTATATACATATATTTATTGAAAGTAAATGTTAGATGAAAAATACAGTAATAGAAGAAAAGAAAAGTAAACATAAAATCAAGACAAAAGTGGAGCAATTCCAGATGCAAAATCTATTTACAATACAAAAACAAAGAGAAAACTAGGAAGAGTCGAGAAAAGTCAGCACAGAAGGCATATATATGTATATATAAATATAAATATATATATATCTAGATCTCTCTCTCTATATATATATATATATTTTCCACAAAGTAAACTTTGTCAAGAGAGATAGGACGAGTTATTGTTGAACAACTGGACAAGCTGTTGGCCAAAGATCGTGCTTCAATCCAAATTGCAGTCCAAATATTTTTCGATCTATGTTAGCTGTTTGTTAAATGCCCGCGCGGCAGAGAGCGAGAAGGCAATATGCAGTTCAAGTAAATAATGTGCAAAAAGAAAAATATATATATATATAAAAAACCAGAAAAAAAAATGTTCATAAAAAAAAATTAAAATGTTCTATTTGATGTTACAAAAATGAAAAAAACCAATAAAAGAAAAAAAGATTTGTGAAAACAAAAAATACAAACAAGTAATTTTTTATGCACACTCAGCGTGCGGCGGCTCTTGAACCGTAAAGCAAAACAGACAGCTGGAGGCAAGGGCCAGTCACCGAAACGTATGATTGAGCTCGATCTGTGTGGCTGACTAATTGAAAGCTGGCGTAGCTGAATTGCTGATAACCCATAGGGGATCACATGAGTGAGTGACTCTGTCAGCGATCAAAAATTTCACAATTGTTTAAAGATTATGTTATGCTTTTCTCCGATATATGCACATAGATATACAATTTGTTCAATTTATTTATTCTCTAAAGTCGCAACTAATTGTTTTACATACAGTATAATGGTATTGAAAAGTCTGTAATATCGTACTATCATTATTTGAAGGCATAAAGCAATATTAAGCAGTTAGTTGAATTTGGAAGGTGTCTTACAATTTCGGCAGGCCAGCAGAGATGGCGCTTTCAATGCCGCAATGATCTTCGCCGCGCACAATACGGAAGAAACCATTATCACCCCAGTCGGTGTTCCATGAGTTGCCAATTAGCCAATAGGGCACTTTGCTATCGCCCCAAACGCCCCAGCCGAGTATGCGTATGGCATGACCGCCCAACTCTTTTCCGTGGACATGCTTGTAGACGCCAGTCTTGTACAAAATCAAATCTTCATAGACTGTGAATGCACCCTCCACGGGTCCGTTGGTCATGATTTCGCGTTGAATATCGCGGGGATTGCGACTGATCGAGTATGACTTGGAACCGAAATGTTTGTCCTTAGCATAATCAACGGAGTAACTGGACTCACATTGATGCTGGCAGCGCGGAGTTTTGCCATTTTTGCAGGGTGGTCGTGTTCCGTTTACGTGATGCTCACAGGGTTCGATTTCATAGGGACGACAGCCCTGAAACATACAAAAGGCCGATTAGCTACTTTGAACTGCACTGCAGTGTTCTGTGAGTTTACCTCATTAGAATGATAGGAGCCACCGCTCACAATACCCTTGTGGGTCCAGTAACTCCAGGCAGCGCCAGGGAATCCGCCATTGCAGCCAAATCCGCAAGTATGGCAACAGGAGACCAAATCATCAGCCGAGAAATGAAAATTTACAGTGCCATTGGAATGTATGCACACCTAAAAATGAAACAAGTCAACAAATTTCTCAATCTAAACAAAGAGCCTACGCTAGCACACACACAAAGCCATACAAACAAATAGCAATGCAATGCAACGCAACGCAATTGTGTGAAATCGATAATCTAAATAGTGATAAGCATAAAGCAGCTGCGTCATCTGCTTTGTTTTTTTGTGGGTATGTTGAGCGAGGCTTGGGTCAGTGGGGCATCGCAACTTACACGATCAGACATCGCCTCAACGGCACCAAAGGCCCAGCAGGATCCGCATGAGCCCTGATCACGTATTTCTCCGATTGTTGGACAGTTGGGCCAGGCAGTACGTGCATCAAACGATTCGGGCAGCTCGTCCCCATCATCGCCTACCAGATTGCCAAGTACTTGGCTTTTTTCGGGCAGCGTAAACTTATGCGCATCGGGATGGACGCCCATAAGACCACGTATATGAAGCTCGGATACAGATTCATCAAAGTTGCGACCAGCCTGAGATAAACATTATAATAATAACCATTTTAGACACATGTATGTCACGTCATCAACTAAAAACAATAATATTGGCTTACCGTCCATGTCTTTGCTTTGCTGCGCACTAGCTCTATAAAATCATCGCTAAGCATATGCGGATCATCCTTAATAGCGGCAGCTATAGCTGCCAGGGCCAGCAGTGCTACAGTCGCTGCAAAATATTTCATTTTACAGCTGCGTATTCGTCAAAATGGCGCTGACAACGCAATTGAAAAATTGTCAGAGAATAGCCAGCTAATCGTATGTATATATAATATATATAAATTTGTCAATATAGATAAAAACGTAGGCCTCTCGAATGTTATTTAGTCGACTGACAGCCACCAGCAGCAATTGCAAACTGTTGAACAGTCTAGTTAGGCTTAATTTATATGCGTTGTTTCTTTTTTGTTCAAAGTAACTGATAAGCGGCCATTGTAGTGATGAGAAAAATGATGTGGTTCTCTTATCGATATATCACAGCTGCGATATTTGTGCAGTACTGGTCATATTGATATTTTATTTTTATTATGAGCAAGTTTTTGGCCAATTTGAAACTATCTGGTTGCAATACTGAAATAATTTATATATAATAATAGCCATAATATTATGATCTGAGTTATCAATCCCATATATATGTACAGTCTATGCGGACAATTATATCTGTACGAACATATCTAACTTATTTATTTAAACATTAAAACAATCAAATCATATTATCTTAACATTTATTTTATTTACAATGCTTTTACTACTTAATATTATCACAATCCCACATACTTTAGTTTAGACATATGGATTCCAGTTACTACCGTCTTCCGGTAACAAATTATTCGTTATAAGCAATATTACGTCTATAATCCACCAGACGCCAACGCCGCCCATTGTCAATAGTTTGCCCACAGCAGTGCCGGTTTGGCCCAAGCAAAATCGATCCATGCCCAAGAAGCCCAGCAACATGCTGTAAATCAGTGTGGTTACGAAATAGTGATCTGTGTAACGTACACATGGCACGCCATCCCGAAAGAATGTGCGTGCCCCGTAGCAGTCGATATCCGTGTAAACTGTGCATTGGACTTTAGTGTGCTCCACATCCTCATAGTTGGAACCACCAAAATGAAGACAGCCGTAGCCCTTCTCATTTTTTGCCGAATCGTTATTTCGATGATCAATTGGCTCTTTGCATTCTAGAAAATCTCGAGGTAAAAAGGAGCACATTACATTCGGTCCCAACGGATTGAACGCCGAGTTGGTTGCTGAAGCTGCTTGCGAATTGGAACCAACTTGTGATTGGGCCTGTACGGGTACAACCGATTGTACAGCCGTACCGGACACAACCGTTTGGGGCTGCTCCTTGTCACTGCGCGCTTGAATAGCATGGCTGACCGGATTAATGACTAGAAACGGGATGACAACGCTGAACAAAATCAGTTTTCGATCCATTGTTTTCTTGCAATCTGTTGCAGTGCACCACAACTAGAGATGTGAGAGAGACAGCTAGCTACGTGCCAAAAAATCATCGCACGCTGTAGTCTATCACGATTGCAAATCATCGATATTTCCTCAACGCTGCTTATCATTCTATAATGGCGTCCCTAAAATATGATAGCTTGTGGTATTATAAACTGCCGGCGTAATTATCTGATCGTGATTTTTTAAAGTATACATTTAGAATCAATAAGCAGAAAGTGTCAAAAACGGACGAATACAATGTCCTTAGTCAAGTTTAGTATATGTTATTTCCATGCTATACAGATTGCAAAACATTAACATTTGCAATGGATATTTTTGAAAATATATGTCGCACTTGCGGCAACGACTGCTTGGATGCAATGAACATATTTGAGGATAACATTACGGCACTGGAGAAGAGCATTCCTATATCTGAAATATTGTCGACATGCTTGCCCACGTCTGCATCACTGCCAGTGGTGAGCAAGGACGATGACTATCCCAAGCAGATATGCCGTGTTTGCATCAAAAAACTGATTATGATATACGAATTTAATAATAAATGGATAACGGCAAATAATGAATTCACCGTGGCATTGAAATTCGAGCAACGCCGCAATCGATCCCGCCTTTCGCAGTCAGTGCCATTGGCTCCCGACGACCAGATACCACTTAAATGTACTGTGCAGGCGATTGAGGCAAATGTTGAACCAATTGCACCAGCCAACGCCACTGGCATTAAGGCAGAAACCATTGTGTTTAAACATGAGCCACATGAAGGTAAGCTCTGCACATTGAACAGATTCGGGGCTTGAATTAAAAATTGTTCACTTTTCAGGCACTGAGATAGGAACACTCATCGATGAAGCTGAATTGAACCACGGACTGACCGCAAAGACCAACTCAGAAATTGCTTCGACAATCAACTACCAGTGCGCCTTATGTGATGAATGCTATCACACGCTTGCGGCCTACCAGAAGCATCATAAAGTCAGCCATCGCAACTCTCAGTTCCTATACTATACTCCAGGACAATAGAGCTATCTCTATATTGACATAAATAAATAAATATATATATATACCGAAACTATTTGTATACATTTGTTTGTTTTACTTAGCTATTTTTTATATTGCGGCAGCGCGTAAGAATGAAAACAAAGGGTACAGAATTATTTGACTAATTATCTTCGTCGTTGCGCACTTTTTCGGCGCGTGGATCATCGTGCCGAAAGACTACATATCCCATCTTGTAGCGACGATTGTCACCATCCTTGGCGTAGTAGTTAGTCAGGCCAATGCCAGCCATAACAATGCCTGCAAGAGCTAGGGCCGAACCGCCAACGATGTCGGGAATCTCATTCCAGGCGCGCTTTAACAGGGACGTTGTGCCTCGGGCGGCGGGTGCTGACATCGTAGGCGCCTGCAAGTTTAACTTAAATGTAATAATATTCTAATATCAACTAGTAATATTATTATACTTATTAAATATACGCGTTTCAGTTACACAACAAGAGCAATCCCGTTGTTTAGCGATGTGGTTTGACAGCAGTATTTATAAGTGTTATCGATAGTTGAAAACAACAAACTCAAAGCAGCACAGTAATTCATGCAAAGTTGCCAGTGCTGCTCAATTTCTCCAAATGCCAACTTTTTATTTGGTTTGCTGACAATAGCCTGTTTAAAAAATTAAAATATACATCATCTAGAAAATAACTGTTTACTTCATATAAGCATTTGTAATGGTTCTTTGTATAAGTGATCCGAAAGTACGCGTCCTGACAGTAACTTAGCAAGGCGGTGAAATGTACAAAAATTTGCAGTAATACCCGTTTGTCCGCCAAATTCTAAAATATATCGACTATTTCATTATTAACCATGTAAGTTTCTACAGAATTTTAACAGAATTTGCTCCTCCCTTTACAGACATTTCAACTTATCGCTTCCAACAAGTGTGTAAATTTCACTCATCTTTATTTCTGTTTATAAGCTTTTTATGGAAACACCTCAAAGTTAATCGTAGCGGCAATACAATATGACGGCCGTACCGGGACGTGCTCTACATTATGTTTTTAAGATTGGTGATCGCAGTAAGAATTCGTTCTTCTTTCGAACAATTCTGGGAATGCAGGTAAGATGGAGAGCAGTTTAATTGGCAAGCTGCAAAACCCGGTTATAATGAACGGTGTAGACAAATGTGTCTATGTGTCAGCTTGCATGTGTGAGCAATTGGTACACTGTGTTGGAGCTACAGATATATATTTTATCTGAATAACGTGACTTTGCAATTTCTTTGTTTATTATGTACTAATAGATGTTAGATAAGGAGCGACTGATATTCATTTATTCTTTTTCTTTTCAAATAATCAACAGGTCTTGAGGCATGAGGAGTTCAAGGAAGGCTGCGATGCTGAATGTAATGGGTATGCGCCAAGTTGAATGTGAACGCGATGCCCTCTAAAAAAATACTCATTCTGTACTTTTCATGCGCAGACCTTACGATAATCGCTGGAGCAAGACCATGGTTGGCTATGGACCGGAGAAGTCGCATTTTGTCATTGAGTTAACTTACAACTATGGCGTGAAAAGCTACACGTTGGGTAACTGCCTCCAGTTTCATCTGATTCTTCTCATCTCAACTCAACTTCTCATCGTGCACTTGCAGGCAATGACTTTGGCGGCATCACCATTAAGTCCAAGGATATATTACCGCGTGCCTCCGAGTTTGCGTATCCTATTACCAAGCAGGGCGATAAAAGTGTGCTAACCTCGCCAGATGGCTATAAGTTTTACATAGATGACGCATCGAGCGGCAGTGATCCAATGGAGCAGGTTGAGCTGCATGTGACTGCATTGAAAGAGTCACGCGCGTTCTGGGTCGACATTCTCAAAATGCAGGTGCTAAATGAGAGCCAGGATTCCATTGTACTCGCATATAACAAACAACAGACAGCTCTTCGCCTCACGGTACTTAATGGGAATCTGGATCGCGCTAAGGCGTATGGTCGCATAGCTTTTGCGGTGCCTGCAGCTGTTCAGGAGCCGCTGTTCAATGAAGTCAAGAATGTGGGCGGGACCATATTGAAGCCATTGATAGCACTGGAAACACCCGGCAAGGCGACGGTGACGGTGCTAATTTTGGCCGATCCCAATGGCCACGAGATATGCTTTGTTGATGAGGAGGGCTTCTCGCAGCTGTCCGAAGTGGAGCCTAATGCTGCCGCGCAACTGGACAAGTACATTCGCAAAGATCCATTCCAAGACAAGACGCAGCAGTAAACTAACCATCAACAGTCAGCATTGGGCCCACTTAAGTAATATTAATGAAAATATATAGATCAGACAATTAATATTATATATATATATAAATGTATATTTTCTTAAATAATGTAGACAAAGCTTAAGAAAATGCATAATTTTATTTAAGTGGGGCAATTGTTAATGATGTACGCCGTTCATGTTAAAGCTTAATGATTAAATCTTTGATGTATGTATGTCGTTTTGCATGCATACATACATACATACATGCGTACATGCATACATTCATATACATACATATGGCTTTACATTAAAGTTAATATATATGACTAATTTAAGTGTCTCACACTGAGATCTTTAGCGAAGCGATAATCGGTTCGCAGAGAGTGGACTAGTGGGGAGTGTTCGACTTGGGAATACCCTGCATACATACACGACACAAATATGACATTTAACTCGGTGTGTCCCATGGAGCTGGAAGTATTATTATATTTTTGCTCTTGTGGTTCATATGTGAAATGATTTTATTAATTTGCATCTATATAAGAACAGAAAGAGTTTGATGACGAGTCAGTTGTTCAGCAGATTGATCAGGGAAGCATGAGCGAGGGTATTACTTTAGAGTTCTGTATATATGAAATTATGTTTGACTTGCTTTTGGAACAAAGGTAACTGGCTTACCCTTGAGTGGATAACTGTCTACTGCCTTTATAGACAGAGCTATAATATGTATAAAAATACCCGACTTTGAAATCAAATTTAGCTACACACTTGTCCATTGTACGAGCATCCTGCAGTTGGGTGTACCCGGCCTGTGTTGAACTATGTTCAGAGCTTTGTCTTAAATGACAAAGATATATTATATATAAATATATATATTTTTAAAAACAATAATAAAATAAGAATAAAGGGTCAAAGTATTCCGTATTTATTTGTCATTACTTTCTGTTATTTTTCCACGTTTTTTAAAGTTGATTTTAGTTTGGTTTAAATCTGTTTTCAATTTAAATATTTTTTGTTTAATTTTTTCTTTTTTTTTTTAAGAAATTTTCATTTATTTTCTTAACCAAAAACGCGTTTTTATTTACATTTTTTCGAGTCTAATTAGTGGCGTCATGTCAAATTCCTGGGTAGTACCGCCAGCTGGTGTGGCGCCACAGATTCCAGCGTGGAAGTTAAAGGGCTGGTCGGAGCAACAGGAGCACGCGATGTGGCGAAGCTGGGCACAGAACTTCGCCAGATCTGGGCACAATGAGGCTGCCAATTATTACTTTGATAAATGCATCGACGGGGCGAATATCAATGACTTTATGGCCCGTTCTCTGCGCAGTAATTTCTATCGAAGTATTGCCAAGGTGGATCAGGCTCTTGAGGATAGCAAGCGGGCAGCTTCGATAGCGCCGGCCAATGCGTACGTCAATCTTCAGGTGGCCGATGCGCTCTACGATCTGAATAGGTTCGAGGAGAACAAAGTGTCATTGTACATCAACACGACCTTGTACACGGGCACCAAGCTGCAGCCGTACAATCGTCGTCTGCAGATCGTGAATGCCAACTTTCACAACAATGTCGGCGATAGCTTGCGTCCATTTTTTCTGAATAACATGTCGAAAATGCGGGAAATCTTTGATGCGACAATGAAGGTGGATAGCCAAATGGAACCCGCCCCACGCTGGAAGGTGCTTAAGGACCTCAATAAGTGCGAAGTTCGCAGCATCCAGGAGAAGAATGTGGTCCGGATATCGCCATTGGAGATGGCTAGACGCAAGCGCAAGACGAAGATCTATCATCAAAACTACTTGAACGGCTCATGGATCGATGTGGCCTTTCTCAAAGCACTGCGCAAAAGTCCCATTGTGCTATTGGATAAACATTACAAGTCCGCCAAGGAGCGCAGACAATACTTGGATAATTCCTATGCAACTGTCAAAATGTTTAGCAAAATGCTTCACAGTCGCAGTCCCATGTTCAGTGAGCAATACCAGCTACCTAAGACTATGGAAAGCCTCCATCAATCCAATATGTATCGCATACAGTATCAGACACGCAGGAATATGCTATCGATACTGCGCACTATTCGCGCCATACGTGAGCAGAAAGACGTACAGGTGAGTCGGACGAACGGCCAAACGGTACCCATTTTGCCCGAATGCTTGTGTTGTCAAGTATGGAACATGCAGCAGCTGGCATGGCTGTAATTCACAGTTTATATGCATTATGCTTGGTCAGCAGCATTAGACCGAGTCGATTCAGCTTTGTCCGGACTGATGTCCTTCCGAATGAGTTGTTGGGCTCTGAAACTCAGCAATTTAAATATTCAATTATTGATTAAAATCATGACTAAGATTGTTACAGTAGGGCGTCTGTCAAATGGACAGACGGTCGGACGGACAGTCGGATAGACGGAAACGCGGTGGGACAGATAGTCGGACAGATAGTAGGATAGACGGTTGAGCAAATAGACGGACAGACAGGTGGACAAATAGTCGGACAGACAGTCGGACAAATAGTCTGACGGATAGTCGGACAGACGGTCGGATAGATGGTCGGACAGACAGTCGGACAGGTAGTCGGACAGGTAGTCGGACAGATAGTCGGACAGATAGTCGGACAGATAGTCGGGCAGACAGTCGGACAGATAGTCGGACAGATAGTCGGACAGACAGTCGGACAGACAGTCAGACAAACAGTCGCAGAGACGGTTGGACAAATGGTCGGACTGACGGTGAGCCGACCAGTCGGACAAACAGTCTGACGGATAGTCGGACAGACGGTCGGCTGTGCAGTCAGACAGACGATCGGACAGACAGTCCAACAGAGGATCGCACAGACGGTCGAAGCGGACGTTCTTAATGCTTCATAATTATTTAAATAAAATTCAACGTGCAGCGTCTGCGTAAGTTTGTGTCAAAAGTCATGTTCGAGTTCGTTGTGCTGAAGACGAAGAGGGTAATGCCCTGGAAGATAGAGTTTATGAACGAGGTGTACAACCACTTGGCATTGAGTTTGTGCGAAGCGTATAAAGTGCCGAACTATAAGGTGTCCCCGTATGATTATGACTCCATGTGCCGTCTGCTCGGCGTCAATCCGTTCAAGCCCACCGAGGTGCACGAAGTGGTGTTTGGCAAGCGATCGTCGTATGTTTATGAAGACCACGGATCTGTATTCGACCAGGGCAAGGAGCTCAGGTGAGCTGCACTTAATCGTAGATGAATGAATGCAGATAAACCAAATCGGCATTTGCCCAGGCTGGCCAAAGCATTGCTGGATAAGCGCTTGTATTTCTCCACGCTGCCAATCGAGCGTAGCTATTTGCTGTTCGAGATCGCGGACTGTTTGCTGTCGCAGAATCATCTGGTGCAATGCCTGCTGTATGCCAAGCGTTCCATTGAGGAGGCCAGGCGAGCCAATAGCATAATCTGGGAATTTCTAGCCACCATGGTGCAGGCGAAGGCGCACGCCATCCTCTGCAAGTTCGAGCGTCAGGCGGAAGTGCTCAATTCGGCCTACCATCTGGCCAAGGGTCTCAAATCGGCCAAACTCTGCACCTTCATCGAGCTGTGTCGCATGCTCAACAAGGATTACATGATGCTACGGAAAATGGCAACACCCGCGGCTACTAAGCGAACGCGCTACCGTCTCTCGAATCGCTCCAGCTACGTACAGTCGTAGTCAAACGCCAAGCACGGGCCAATCGCGCCAGTGGAGCGAGTGCCGTACAATGACCACAATGCGGGACTTCCCTGCATTCCATTGTACAGCACCCGCTCCACTCTCTCGACTGCAGCTCTAGCACGGCGTAACTATTGCACTTCTTTTATTTAACCAAAATCAACAAAAAAAACTTCAAATTTTATGCTAAACAATACAAATTGATATTACAAAATTGTGTAATTCAAAAAGAAAACCCAAAAATAATTATGAAATGTTAAATATTTATTGAACTGTTATAGATCAAATTCAGAAAATTTTAAAAATAAAGATTTATTATTTTTTTGTTGTTACAAATTGAACTCATGAGAACTGCATAGAGGGGCAAGAAACGGACAATAGTGCTCTCACCTTGGTAAATATAGCTCAGGTTCGATTCGAGCTACTTTGGCTGTATTTCAAGCATACAGAACACACTGAGATTTCAATACACAAATATTTTTTGTTACGATTTCGTTGTGTAACGTTGAGAGGTATTCAAAAAAGTTTGTATCTTAATTCTAAGCATAGTTTATGAGAATTTATTTTTCAGATTTAATGCTTAACTTTTATAGTCTTTGAGTTATATTTAAAAAAGTATTACTAAATACTACTAAATACTACAGCTTATTTTCTCCTAAAAATTTCATGAGATGGACGCTAACGGCATTTGCTTATAGCTATAAAGACTTAGCTCGTTGTCTAGAACGGAAGCAAGAAGTCTTGATGATTGATTCTTTGGTTCTGTTACATAAATTGAAGCAAAAGTAAAGATTGATGAATATACCAAGTCAATATTTTTTATATAATACACCTTTGGACTCGATCCTTCCTCTAATATTATACCATAAAAATCCGCATTTATTGATGTGATAATAAATTCGAATGGAAGCTTTAAAAAAAGTTTCTTTTTTGAGTCTGGAATTACTATATATAACAGCTATAGAACATATTTAGGTTTAATTGTGTACCATAAAATTAAGAGAATGCCATCAATGCAAAAAGCTTACTGAACAAATTAATAGCTCATTTTTTATTTACATTTTTTCAGTTTAATGGACAAATTTTTGGAAAATATGTTGACATTTAGTTATTTATATACAATAATTATTTCCCCAAAATTTTTTAGTCAAAATTAGAATGTTTATTTTACTGCTAATTAATTGCTAAATACTAAAATGCCTACATTAATTATTTGTTGATTTATTAATTTAAGCTGACAAAATTAGAGTAACAAAACATTAGAACAATATGAAGGGAATACCCCTTATGTTGCTGCTAACGAGTCAACTAGACTCTTTTATATGCATAATCACGATTTTCTTTTATCAATCGAGTTTTACAATAAAACTTAGAGTTTTAAAAATATACTACAGGGAATACCCCTAGTTGTTGCTTATTGACTGAACTGCGATTAGTTATATGCGTATGTAAATGTTTATTTTTTTATATTCTGTCATGCATAATTTACATTAGAAACTGTTAATTATATAGGGAATACCACTAAATTTTTTTATACTTTTTTATAGTCTTATAAATTGCTTTTGATCATATTTAACTGACAAAATTAGATTTGTAAATTGGTATTAAAATATATAGGAAATACCCCTTATGCCATTGCAAATCACTCGACTAGAATTTGTAATATGCTTTATTAAATTGGCTTAATTATTAAAATTATTTATTATTAAAAATTTTATTGAAATGGCGCAAATATGCTAAAATATGCAGGGAATATCCCTAGTTGTGGTTTATTGACTTAACTAGTTTAGCTATATGCGCTTCCAAGCGGGTTTCAATAAACAATTTTCACGCGCAAAAGTTACAAATAACAAAATGCCGCCACAATTTATAGGGAATACCCCTGCTGACAGCTAACGAAGCAACTGTACTATTTTATAAATGTTGCAAAACAATTTTCACAAAATTACAAAATGTAACAACAATGCATGCATAGGGAATACCCCTAGCCACTGCTAAAACCGAACACCCATAGAGCCAGCCACCTAAATTTCTAGTTTGCCTGCGCCATTTACAGGGTATGCGAATGAAATTGAATGGGCCAACGGCTGAAGTGAGCATAAAATATGAATTGATGAACACTTATAGGAAATCCGTTCATTTGTAATTTCATTTCCTCAATGTTTGCAGTGTCAATTTGCTGTTGCATTGAGCACGTATGCGGCTCGGCGGCATTGTCAGTTTTAAATGCCATTTAATATTTTATTTTGAACTTTTGGCACGTTGTTGTTTTGTTTTGTTTTTGTTTTTTTTTTCCCTATTTTTAATGGATCTGCACATATATTTATTAGTATGCCAAATGCAATGCACTTGACTCCATTCAATTTGAATCTGAGTGGGACGAGGCATGGCCGGCGTTGGGGCTGGCACTTGTTTTCCATCGATGAGTTGTCGCATGTTTGCTGCCCCAAACGACATAAAATGGCCAAAAAAAAGAGAAAGAGAGAGAGGGAAATAATGAAACGACAATCGAGTGACGAACCAAGCGAACGAATCGAAACGAACGGCGAGGCGAACGTTTCATTTGTCGCATGCAACGCGGCCGCAAATATGCAAAAGAGCAAAATGCGTCAATAAATGCAGAATGCTACACTTGCAACACAAGCGGCACGAATGAAAAATGTGCTGAAAAAGTTTTATTGTGTCAATGCTGGCCGAGAGAGAGAGAGAGAGAGAGAGAGAGAGAGAGAGGGGCAGAGGGAGAGTGAGGGACAGGGAGAGAGAAAGCGCGCTGAGTTGGCAAGTCCTAATGGGCCAAACACACACACACACACACACATATATATATATATATATATATACATATGCAAAACATGTTTTACTCTCAGTACTAACACACACACACACATGTATATACATATATATATATATATATATAGTTATGCATGTGTGTATGTACTTGCGGCTCATTATGCCCGGCTGCCATTAAAAATGAAAATAGACGAAAAATACGCAAGTACACTGAGCGAAATTGTCAGTTCGAATGGCCAATGGCTGTTAGAGTCGATGCTATGTAGGCCTTGCCGTCCACTTCAGTCCGCTGGGCTTCGTGCCTTGCACTTCAATCTGTTGCCAAAAAAAAAAATAAAAAAAAACAACAATAATAAGAAGAACAAGCAGCAGCAGCGCCAGGCATGCCACCTGCTATGTGGCAAAAAACGGCAACCTTATTGGCCAAAATTGAGGTCAACAGAAGAAGGTCGCATCGACTCGACTAGTTGCAAGTTTTGCAACTCGCAAGACGATGCCAGTCAACGTCGGTTGGCAAACTCTGATGGCAACGGTGACGGCCACGATAACAGCACAAATAATTGGCCACGGCAACCAAAGAGCCAAATTGCATTGAATGTTAAGTTGCCATTTGTGTGCCGCTCGGCCAGAGTGCGCCACAGTGCCACGCGGGCAGCTGTGCCGCACAACTTCCCAATGATAGCATACACACATACATATACATATACAAATACATATAGCAATAAACAGTTTTCTTTAAGAGTCGAGTCTAGCGCTAAATGGATTCATATTTAATATCGTGCAACTCAATTCGTTGCGTGATCCCGTCTCAATTCGAATTAAAAACTTCGATTATTCCATTTGCCACACACAAATCACGTTGCGGCTAACGAAGTTGCCTTAAATTTAGCATTTCTCTCGAGCTTAGGACGAAATTGAAGCCACTTGAAACTGGGAAAGTTTCCTTAAATCGAACATTTCTCTTAAGCAAGTTGTTTCAGATGGAAATTTCGCTTGAACTTGCTCAGCAATTTATTGATTTTATTTCTTTATTTAGCTATAACTAAATAAATTAAGTTAAGTCATGTTTTATATTAATTTTTTTATATATTTATATTCATGATCAGCACGACAAGCTGCGTAGTTAGAGTCAAGTCTGTTCCTCTGTCTGTTCGTCCGTAGGAACGTAGCGATCTCATAAGCCACTAGAGCTAGAGGCTTGCTATCTTATATATATGTTATATTCCTGTATGCCATTGGCAGTGCGAGTTAAGCTTTTTTGTTAACTAATTCTATTTTATTATCGATAATAATCGATAGTTTGATATCGTTCGACAAATGATAATCTTAGTTGTGCCGGATTATGACTGCCTCCCAGTGTTCCTCACAAATAAAATAGTAGAGTTTTAAGCTAAGGCAAATAGACTCATTTAGACTCATTATCGTGCTCTAAATATCATAAAGTTGAACTAGAAGAAGAGATTTTTTAACAATTAATCGCCCATAGTAGAACCCATGCAGCTGAAGCGTATAAAAGAAAACGCAGAATGCTTCGAAGAGCAGCTTTGGGCAGGGTATTTTCTAGTCGGGCAGCTTTGAGCAGGGCTCAGGGTATCTTCTAGTCGGGCAGCTTTAAGCAGGGCTCAGGGTATCTTCTACACACCCGACCAGAGCCATTTCATGGCGATGCATTTTTGAAATACTCGAAATACTCGCAACTCTTTGACTTTGGTTGATTCGTTTGTATTTTTTTCAGTGTATATCTGATGTGTGTGTGTGTGTGTGCTTGCTGTGGTTGGTGGCAACTACTAATTTACGACTGGTTGCCTGGGTTCCTGGGAAGACTCTCCAAAGATTGCAGCAATTGTCGACCCTCTCGTGGCACGCACAGCGCAGTTAAATGAAAGCGAACCACCAAAAGCATTAACCAAATAACAAATACTAACTCCAACCGAGTACCGAATGCCAGAATAAACAAATATCCATTTAGATAGAAATAGGGGCATTAAGTTTAGGTAAGACACTCGATCATTTTCGAGGGTTTCGCAACGAGCTAAGGCTTTGAGCTAGGATAATAATAAAATGTAATCTCGTCTGAATTAGAATCAGTCAGATTAAAGAATTTACTGATAAAAAACATTATTGGATAATAAATAACATAAATAATACATATATAACTTATATACCTTGTATTAGTCAAAGCTGCGGGGTATATATATATTGCAAGTAAACCATTTGAACAAATGCGAAAAATGTCCAAAACTAAAGTAAAGCAAATACACACACACACACACACATGTAGATATGATGGCTCGTGGGCGAATAGGCGTGGCTAGTGGCATTTAGTGTCCCCAATAGGCACATGCAATGCATTAGGCCCAGTTGGTACGCTAACGCCCTCAATACAATCAATGGACCCCACCAAGGTGCCATTAGCCAAAACAAACAAT